AATAATTTTTTTTTCGTAATTTCTTTAAGTATATCAACAGCATCTCGAGTCGATAGACAAGACAAGACCAGAGGGAGACTTTGTACAAAAGTCGATTGCTTGGGTACCTCTGTCCTATTCGTGTTTCTACCGTGAAGCAGTTGTGTTTGCACGGCTGTGTTTCGATTTGAAGGGTGGGATATGGCGTGAATTTACTGGGTACGGAGGAATAACACCTGAGTCCTTAGGAATGGCAAAGCATAGGGGTACCATGGGCGAAACAATATACTCTGTTATGTCCATGCTACTGCTCATGTCTATAGGCGACGGTTACCACTTTCCATCAGGTGGGCCGTCAGCTTGTTTGCCATTCTAAGTTGTATAAAAAAAAAAAAAGTACAAACACCTATACATACATTTTCAATACACAATCGGGACTTAACGTGATGACAAAACCTTTGCAGGTAAATTATACCTACATACCTACTTCCTTATTACCGACGTTTACGCCCTATACTCATATAGTACACAAAATAATGAATTAATAATTAAAAATGTAAAATCGTGAATAATACATATTAGAAGACAGTTGATAAACAATTGAAATGTGAAGGTAAATCTTTCAGTGATACAGGCGTTCTGAATTGCAACACCTGCGGCCTGTCGCCAATAGAGCCGAGAATAACTCGAGGCGGCTCTAACTGGTTACAAGCGGTTCGGACATACTCGTATTATAGGACCGACGGCCCCGGCGGGCCAAACGGAAAGCGTGCGGCCGTCTGGCAGCGGACATTTGAGCGCCACTGTACATCAGAATAAAATTTTGTAGAAAGCTTCATTCCATTTTTTTTTTCTCACTTACTCTTCAATCTTGCTGATTACTCTGTTTGAGTCATTGATTGTTTCAATTGCTTTTTTTTTTATTTTATTTTTTACAACACAGAGGGCAAACGAGCGTACGGCTCACCTGATCTAAGTGACTCACCCATGATCACCCACAACACTAACGGCGTTGCAGGTGTGCTGCCGGCCTTTTAAAAAGGAATATGCTCTTTTCTTGAAGATTATGATACAGTTTATGCTCTTCTAATACTTAATTGTTTGTTTCAGTAATATTTAATTTTTATTTATTTATTTAATATATTATATGAATGTTTATATTAGTTTAATTATATGTTAATAATATATGAATATATTAAGTATTAATTTTTATATTTCCTCAATTAAATAATGCATCATTTACTTATCCTCAGTTTGCCTAATGCTTGACTGATAGAGAACTTCTTCCAGTGAAAAGGGATGATAGGTGAAGATGAAAGCAAGTCAGTTGGGCTATCATGATGAATTTCACAAGAATTAGTCCAGATTTCCAGGGAGGCACAGAGGTCGACCAAATAAGGTATATTGCTAGCAATGGGGCAGTAAGGTGCCTTTACTAGCAACCCCTTTGCTCTCTGTATACATGGGTAGGTGACTCGAATCTGTCCTGTACACAGAAGAATTACGGACTCGAATCTGTCCGTAATTCTTCTGTGTATGGCCCTTTCAAATTGGTGAAGGCGTTAACTCATTAGTCGATCTAAGCGTGACGTTCCTTGTATTTAGACCTCGCATTCCCTTGTCATCATCATCACGTGGACGGTTAATGGATGAAATAATGATGTTGACGATGATTCTCGTGTCACGATGTTGTTCACGCTAATCTTCGATTCCGCAAAATTATACAATGCAATATCCTATTAATATGTAAAATGCGAAAATTTGGAAAGTTGGATGATTGGATGGATGTATTGCAGACGTAACCGCCGCATCAGGCGGCCCGTATGCTTTTTTGTCACCTCGGTGGTATAAAAAAAAAGTTAAAAATAATATTTCTTACTCTCTCACTCAAAATCTACTAAATATTTTTTAATGAAATTTGATACACGGATAAGACATAACTTTTTACGTAGGAAATTTTACATACTAATTCACGTGGGCGCAGTCGTCGGATAAAAATAGTGTTTAATAAGTATTCCTATTATTTATTTATTTTTATTTATTTATTTATTTAACAAATTATTATATTTTAGGCATATTAATTACCTTAGATTATCATTGGCCGTGTGATCCCAGTATAGAATGGGCCACTCCCACTAATCCTATGAAATAGACCAATTCTAGACAACGTATCAAAATGAAACATACACCAGATTTTAAGTTCTCTCGCGTCACAGTCACTCATCACTAAGTATCACGAAATGATCCCGAAACTAGTCGAGCTTTTTCGATCTAATTTCACCGTAAGTTGAACCGGTACCTATTACATTAAAACAATAGAGATGCGTGTTAATTTAGAATTTGTTAAATAATAATATAAAAACTATAAATAATACCTATATGTGGCCTATACTCCTTACTAGGGGGAAAAGGATTGTTAGCAATGGAGTTTGACAGCCCCATTGCTAGCAATATACCTTATTAGGTCGACCTCTACGTGGTTCCCCCTGAAAACCATCGTGAACAATTCTTGTTGAATTCGTCACAATGGGCTAACTGACCTGCTTCATCCTCACCTATCATCCTTCATTGGTGCCCCGCCGGTGTATACCGATAGTGCGGGTGGGGTTACCGTTCCATTATCATCCATTTATACTCCTTACTGGCAAAATTATAGGCTACCAAATTAAAATTGTCCCAACCGTACCCAGTGTGTCGTACTCGTTTCTATTCAGCCAATATTTCGTTCCCGCCGATAGTGGGCAAGCGTGGTCCGAGGATAGTTGATTGATTGATGTAACTAAGTTCGTTGATGGTGATTAAATGTTGCCGATTTATTGACGACTAGCTGATGCCCGCGTCTTTGTCCGCCTGGTATTTGTTATTCCTGTTTAGTATATATCGATCGATAGGGGGGAAGGGATTGTTAGTAATGCGGACTACCAGTCCCTCTATTAGCAATATGCCCCATAAGGTACCAGAGGGAGACTTTGTACAAAAGTCGATTGCTTGGGCACCTCTGTCCCATTCGTGTTTCTACCGTGAAGCAGTTGTGTTTGCATGGCTGTGTTTCGGTTTGAAGGGTGGATTATGGCGTGAATTTACAGGGTACAGAGGAATAACATTTGAGTCCTCAGGAATGGCAACGTATGGGGGGTATCATGGGCGAAACAGTATACTCTGTTGTGTCCATGATACTGCTCATGTCTATAGGCGACGGTTGCCACTTTCCATCAGGTGGGCCGTCAGCTTGTTTGCCACTCTAGGTTGAATAAAAAAAAAGGTCGACCTATACGTGATCTGCCCTGGAAATCATCGTGCTGAATTCCTGGTGTATTCATCACGATGGGCTAACTGACTTACGTTTTCATTCTCACCTATCATCCCTTACTGGTATCTAGCCAGTGTATACCGTTAGCGCAGGTAGGGTAACCATTTCATTACCATCAATTAATAAAAAAGTATGTACCTACCTGTTTATTATGTCTGGGAATAATGGACCAAAATCAACAAATGACGTGTCGTTCTCACTCTTTGCCTTAAGTCAAAATTACTTTACTTAAGTAGGTTGTGTACTAAACTGTATAAGTTACTATAATTTTTTAACTATTCCATGGGAACTCTTTAATTTACTGTGATTAAAAGTATCTAAAATGTTGACCGGGAATGTGAGGTACCACCATGCAAAATTTCATTTAAATCGGTCCCACAGTTTAGGAGATTAACCTGTACAAACAAATTGTGAAACAAAAAATTAGAAAAAATCTGGATGTATTCTATTTCACTTCTAACATGCCTTTTTTGGTTTTTAGTGTTTTTTTTTTTCTATGTACAGACAATCGACCTCTACAGTTTTATTGTATGTATATATAGGACTAAATAGACACTCGGGCTTTGTAACACACTAGTCGCTAACTGGTATGCGATCCACAATTAGGTAATTAATATAGTTCAGAGGCGCCGTTTGATATACTTTGGCCTAGAAGTGAGTTAGAAAAGGACAAACATAATATCTGTTATTGCTGTTACTGTTACGCGATAGTAACAGGTACCAATATATCTAATGTAATGTCTATGGTGTCCCTCACGCGTTGCCATTCCAGAGAACTATAGTATTCCTTATTGCTCATAAAACTATGGCCTCTGTACCTTGTAATTTCATTGCCCATACACACACCTTTCAAATAGAAACAGAGCAATGCATGCACAGCTGTTCAACTGCAGACGCACGAAAAGAAAAACCTAAAATAGATTTTTTTTTGATGGGTGAAAATGGTATGGTAACCCCGCCTGCGTTAACGGGATATGCTGGCGGAGCACCAGTGCAGGGTGATAGATGAGAATGAAAACAGGCCAGTTAGCCCATCATGATGAATTCATCAGGAAATAATCATGATAGTTTCCAGGGAGAACCGCGAGGAGGTCGATCTGGTTGGGTATATTGCTAGCAATAGGATTCTGTCTCCATTACTAACAATCTCTTCCCCCCCACCCCTCCTTAAAATAGAATGGTGAACGATCCCTGCATGTGGAAGTAGTTTAAAAATAAGGAAATCTCGCCGCTGATCATACTTATTTAGGTTCGCCGTCGTCACGGCCGGCAGTCGTTGGACAATAGCTCGGCAACCGGAGACCAAATCGAGCCAAGGTGATGGTTAGGATATAGGGCATCAACAGGAAGAAGGCGATTGTCCGCGCAAGGTTAAGAGGTTAATAATATAGCTGCCGCTACATGTGACACGACATGGATACTGTAGGTGGGTCGACGTCTCGACTGATTATATTAATACATTTAAAGAAGTAGCCAATGCCCACAAGGATTTCTAGTTCACGCGACTTCCTTAGAGTTTGTATAAAATTTGTTTTTCGTAAGAATATCTTTTATTGAGAAATCATCATCAGCTATCATTCGTCTATAGGAGAGGCTTATGTCGTACTGGACAAATAAGACTGCCATATTATTGAGTAAATTTACTAAAACGTTACCTTTATACATCTCGAACGTCTAATTAGGTAGGGAGAATAAATAATGAAAAGCAAACTAAATTTATAAATAATTTTATTACAAAACATTATAACACAGCCTCGCCAAACAAGTGCACAGACGTTTTACACAGTCACAAGGAAGCGTAATCCTTTCCTTTAATGAAACTTATTTACACAAAATTCATTTATTTAATATTAAAATCTTTCTTATCAGATATAGACATCTGTTCAAATTCAAAATTAATTGGATCATAAACAATTACAGACAAACACTAGTATTTACTACATGTACATAGATATGGCATATTATATTTAATATTGCGCATACATAAATATATGTATATAAATATATGTATATATATATATATATGTGTATATATATATGTATATATATATATATATATATATATATATATATATATATATATATGTATATGTGTATATGTATATGTGTGTTTAAGGGGCATGGAGGGAATGGGCTGTGGCCACCCCAGGATACGAGCAGTGCATTCAGTTGTGCTGAATGAACCGCTATATAGAAATGTCTGAGATATTTGGGTTATTTAAAGAGACACGCCTCGTCTGGAAAATAATCTAAAAGTGATTGGTGTAAAAACAAAATTGAACACGAAAAATACTGGCGCTAGGATGGTAGATTTATGTTTTTGTTGATTATTTCGTAATTAAACATAACTTGAAGCAAAATTTCTAAATTAGCGAATAAGTTTATTTAATTTTTACCGATATAGTAATAATTTAACATAACTTTTGTCTTTATTCTCTTGTACTATAAAACTTGGTTAAAAATATACACATATTAGCAAGGAACATTGTGATTGTTGGAATGCAGTGTCCCAGTCTTTTGCGCAACTGCTGTATCCCCCCCTTTCCTTTCCCACATAAGTCCCTTATTCCTCTCATTTAATAATTTCCTTTACGCATTTCCAACGTTCCCTTCCTTTTTTTCTCAATCCTCCCTTCCAAACCGTACGTAGCGGAAACCACCAACAAATGCATTAACAAAGAGGGTTGACGTCAGGCAGGCGGCCGGTCGTAAAACTATAAGCCAAATCCTTTAGTAATATGGATAAAACTATATTAGGCCGACCCCAAATAATAATTGGGATAAGGTAATGATAATATAATTTAATTATGAAAAAATGGCGTATTATGGGGGTAGGAATAACTAGTAGACAAAGCAGTGTAGCGTTCTAAAGCTATACGCCAATGCACAAATGACACGTGCATATGCATCACATCATACAAAAATAATAATATTACACTTAGATAAACCATACAACCATAGAGATCCAGTATTGAATTGTCTATGGTTACAAAAGGCTAGCCAATGGTAAAATATTTTCAATAATACTGCTTTAGTTTTAAAGCTTTCTTTGTGACTTATCAATCACATCATAGAAATAGAATAGCACCAGTAAAATTTGACCAAATTATACATAATACATTATAATTTCCCTTTTAAACATACAACACACTAGACATCACCAAATATTATCACCCTTCTATAATAATTATCAATAATATATTTTTGTAGAAACATTTGTATCAAAACTGTGACAAATTTATAATACAACATAATAATAGTTTAATCCTAAATAATTCGTTCTCATTAAGACGTGTATAATGAAAAATTATAAATCATAATTAATTATAAATAATGAAAAATATAATCAAAATATTGGGGGAAAGGGATTGTTAGTAATGGAGACTGAGAATCCCATTGCTAGCAATATACACAACCAGATCGACCTCCTCGCGGTTCCACTGGAAACTATCATGGTTAATTCCTGATGAATTCATCATGATGGGCTAACTGGCCTGTTTTCATTCTCATCTATCACCCTTCACTGGTGCTCCGCCAGCGTATCCAGTTAACACAGGCGGGGTTACCATACCATGTTCACCCATCAAAAAAAAAAAAAACTATGCGGTTCAGTTAGGTTACAAAGTTTCATTAAAATTTCCATGCGTGCAGAAATCAATGGCGGGATTTTAGGCTATACCAACTAATATAAACACCATAGATAGACAATATATTTAATTGACGTTATATAATTTCTTGTCATATTTTTATACCATATTTTATTTTCGATCTAACATTATGTCGCAATACAGGGGAGATCTATGGAGAAGGACTCTATGCCATGTAGTCACAGCATAAAATTGGCTACCATTCCTTTCACGTGGGTGTCGTAAGAGGCGATTAAGGGAACTCAATGATCGAGGTATGAGCAGCAACGTCCCTTTTGAAGATTAACTGCGGTTACCAATCTACCTACAAAGTGTGGCAACTACTGGTAAAATCCCCGACGAATGGACAGAGGTGTACAAAGTCTCCCTCTGGTATTTATTTATTTAAGGAACACCAACAGCATATTATTCACTACCGAACATAGTCTGTCCCCCCCTAGAATGCCATAAGGAACTGTTGTAAGCCACCAATGCATTTTAGGTCGTCGCTCCATCTAATGGGAAGTCGACTTACAACGTATTTGCATGTACAGGGTCGCTTCTCGAGAATCGTTCGTCTATTCTGAAGTTATAAGGTCAACCTATGGCATCTTTTCTGATTCTATCAAGTAATTAAATTTCCAATATAGCCCTCTTGGGGGGAAAGGGATTGATAGTAATGGAGACTAAAAATCCCTTTGCTAGCAATATACCCAACCAGGTCGACCTCCTCGCGGTTCCCCCTGGAAACTATCATGATTAATTCCTGATGAATTCATCACGATGGGCTAACTGGCCTGTTTTCATTCTCATCGATCACCCCTCACTGGTGCCTCGCCAGCGTATCCCGTTAGCGCAGGCGGGGTTACCATTCCATTTTCATCCACCAAAAAAAAAAAATATAGCCCTCTTTATAAAACATAATAATTACACATAATAATTAAATAAAAAATACTCATTTAATGACATTTAATAATTTAATTGCATTTTAATGTTTATCAAACACAAGGCACGCTGTGGTCGCCTATAAATGTAAGAACAGTTAGATCTAATCTGCCAGTGTATTGTATTGAAATGTTTCGCTGTATCTTATGTTGGTGATCCTATAAATAAATAAATAAATAAATAATAACCATTTGAATGTTTAAAAATTAAATATTTAAAAAAGCGAATGTCAATAATCAAATTATACATCATAATATAATAGCAATATTTAAAATAATTTATTTTTATTAAATATAACAGTAATAATTACATATATTTACAAATTATTCAAATATAATGATAAGAACACCAATTACGACGTGGACAATGTTTATACTTGCATGCATTCTGCTTCAATATATTAATTTTTCATTGAAACATATTTAAAAAAAAAAACATTTAAAAAAAAATAATTACAATAATTTTATATTTTATTACTCCTTCTGCCTATCAATGTTTTCTATTACTTTTTTTATAAGTTAAAAAACGGCCTTACTGATAAAAGTTTGTAAACACAATTTTGACATTTTCATTAAAACAGAACTGTCATTGAATAAAATTTAGATACAACAAATATTAGAAATAAAAATTACACAGTTGAATAAAACTAACACTCTTGATAGGCAGGTACTACCTACGTTAATATTTTTAACTGATATGTTTAGAGTACTATGGATTAAAATTCGAATAAAAAAACAAAAAAAATAAAAATAAAAGACATCAAAGCAAATTACAAATTCGTCGAAAACGAAAAAGTTTTCTTCAGTCAATTCGGTAGGCAAATAAAATTGTATATCTAATAAAACGCACAATTAATGTAATATTATCCGGCTCGAAGGGCGATACGGTATATTGGACTGCACGTATGTACAAACCACAGTATTATTTTGTATGATTAGTCGTGACTATCATTTGCTTACGTAATGAATGTATGAGTTATGATCATGTACATAGACACGATTTGCCACAGTATCATTAAACTCCGAGTAGTGTTTCAATATTACAGTTTAGAGAACAACCAACTGCATTTTTTCAATAAACCATACCGTCATCAATTAAAACTTCCTAAATAATTTTTAATTCATTTAACATTTTCATTCTTGCACTCATAAATTTCTTTCACTGTACATACATAAATTTATAATATATACAATACGTTAGTTACGATGTATAGGAATATTTTACAGTACCATAGACTAAAATGCGTGATACACAGTCAAGAACTAGCCTTTCTGCTGAAACAACCTTTCTGGCTTCAAATCACGTCGTAGTCACTTTTAAACTTTCGTATCATATGGTTTGTCCAGTCTCAGTAAGAATTCAAAAAAGTTATGCATAAATCCTAAATAATATGACGTGGACGCCTAGATAAAGCGAACATTTTGACACAGGTGACCTTGGCGAGGAGTAGGTTTCAATCATGTATCCCACATTTAACGTATAGGAATGTGTCATCACTGACCGTCATGGCCAGTCTATCAATCATTCATTACTCCATGTACATGCCCTTACTGCAAGTATAGACGAGTCACTACTCAGTAGCCCACGTCCCTACTGCCAGTATACCAATACTCGTAATGGAGACACGGGGCACGGGGAACCAAGCGGGGTTTATCTACCACTTACTGGTCCACGTGCGCGGTGACGTCACGGCTACGTCACAAGAGCGGGAAGTGCGTGTCGGCGTTGTGGTGGATGGCGCTAGTGAGCGTTGCGTACAGTGCGTGTGCGCGAGCGGGCGCGGGCAGCATCGCTAGTACGCGGGCCTCCGCTGCGGTCGTGCCCTCCGCACCAGTATACCGGGCTACACGGGCCATCGCTGCTGCACTTATCTATATGTACAAAACGATTTCTTACTACAGCATACAACTGGGTACAGACTTCTAAATTTGAATGTATGGCGTATGAGGATTTTCGAACTTCCATAAAAAACGATTCCTATACAATGCGTAAAATATTATACCGCCGTACATGCAATATGCAATACTCTATGATGTCCAAAGACGTGTCTATGGACATCATAGAGTAATGTCAGCGTTCGTGATTCACTGTTCATCCCAAAGGTTGACAACTAGAGAATGCTATTAAGTACGCCTTTTGTACCCAGTAACTACACTGCCACATCCAACTTTTAAACCGATAATAAACTGGCATAGCTAGTTGGCGGCAAATGTGTTTTCTGGTAAGATGATGCAATATTTTATAAGTGATTTTTAAAAAGAGATTACTCAAAAATTTAACAAATTTAAGAAAAATATATATAAATTATGTATTAGTACCTGGAACTCATCATCTTCATCGACGGCTCGACTCTCCGACGCCTTTGTAGGGCGCCGTTGTGTGACGCATAACTGTGACAAAGATTCATACGAGCATAAATAGTTTAATTTTGCATATATATACATATATAATTCCCAAGGAAAGTTGATGTCAGGTAGGCGACCGATCGTAAAAAGTATGTTGGTATGTGCGTGTGTGGGTGTGTGTGTGCGCGTGTGTGTGCGAGTGTGTGCGTGTGTGTGTGTGCGTGTGTGTGCGTGTGTGTGTGTGCGTGTGTGTGTGTGTGTGTGCGTGCGCGAGTGCGTGTGTGCGTATGTGCGTAAATTCGTGCGTTCGTGTTTGCGAGCGTGGATGCGAGCGTGAATGCGTGCGAGGATGCGTGCGTGCGTAATTGCGTGCATGCGTGTGTGTATGTATTTGTGTATATCTTACAAATATAATAAAATTCTACATACACGAGATGTGTACATGAGAGATATTTAAAAAAAAATATAAGGGATATTTAAAAAAAAATGATAGTCAATAGTTGCCAAAATATTAACATTTATTTTTTAATTTAATATTTTTCTATGAATCTACTGCAGAATTGAAATCTGATAAGAAAGACTCGCAAGAAAATCGACAGTTACACTTTTAAATCTCTGTTGTGTCTGAAATTTTGTTAGAGGATCTTTTTTTTACAACATTAAGGGCAAACAACCATACGGCTCATCTGATGGTAAGTGAGTGAAGAATTGCTAAGTTACAATCTTTTCAATTAAAACAACATGATCTATTTCTCGCGCGTAATGTCTCTGGTATATCATAGACTACGATAACTGCTTACCGTCAGGTGGGACGTATGCTTGTTTGCTACCTTAGTGGTTTAAAAAATATATTACCCAAATAGGCAAGAAATTAAGTAACATTTTTCTTTTAATATATAAAACGCTCACCTCTATAACATGCCCCTGGAAGGGGTGCAGTGTACAGAACCTGAAGTCTATCATTTCCACTATGCGCTCCGTTTCAGGATCCGCCACCACTAAGAACTGTAAAGAAATATAATGGTTAATTCTTAAGGCAAAAAAAAAATCCAATGCATCTACCAGATCTACGTCAATTCGAACAAAAAACGTTTGTATGTCACCATTTTCTTTTCCGTGAGTGTCGTAAGAGGCAACACAGGGAGGGCGAGGGATGGGCAGCAGCGTCCGTCTTAAAACATCTCTAAAGCCTAACGGCGGTTGCCAATCCGCCTACATGACATATTGTCAACTACTGGCAAATCCCTCCAAGGGGGAGGCTTATGTTCAGCAGTGGACAGTTAAAGGCAGTCAAGAACAGTCAAAAAAAGGTGATACCAATTAATTTAAATTTGGAAATTATATACGTTCAAATCAATATTTTTATTCTTTATTTAAATAGACTTTTTTTTTTTATTTACGTTTAATTTGGGATTTTTGTTTTTTAACATGTCAACCCCATACAATTTTAACAAGTTATCTACTATTATAATTATAACTTAGTAATGCTACTTACTAATTCACTTAAGCACAAAGCAATTTTGGTAGTAGGAGCATGCATTATGCTCTGAACAATCCCCACATCAAATTTTATTAATATTAAATGTTTTTAAAAATGTTTCCCTTTCCCTTCGGTTCCTGTCACATTCCATCAATAGGTGCTGCACATCTTCAACTTTTCCACAGACAATGCAATTTGGCGAATTTTCTTTTTTCAATTTTTTTTTATACTACTTAAAATGGCAAACAAGCTGACGGCCCACCTGATGGAAAATGGTTACCGTCGCCTATAGACAATAAGTCTATTTTTCAAATAGACTAATTTACAAGCTATTCTAAATCGTCAATTTTTATGATTGTACTGCTGGGTTCGGGATATAGTTACTTATTGAGAAGAAATCCCAAGAAACTTAAGTTACTATTTTCAAACTATTATGTACAAGACAATTTTACATTTGTATGTATACTGTGACTTCCCATTCTGCACGGTCATCAGCTGTGGCAGAGGGCCGATTTACTAAGTCATCGTGTATGGGGTTTAAAATATTTAAAATAATTTACAAATCACATTCTGATGATAAGTACCTTGTGCGTGATAAGGAGCTGCAGGGGTGCGTTGTCGAGCAGCACCTCGAAGCCGTCGACGGCGGACAGGTCCGCTAGTCTGAAGGTCCAGCGGACGCAGTCGCGTCGCCACCCGCTGATGCAGAGCTCGCCGCACTCGTACTCCGTGTGTAGTGTGCGAGGCTAAACATACACACACATACACACACACACACATAGGTAATCTATACTTATAATAAATCTGTAGAGATGTCAATTCTGTACATGAAATATATTTCCAAAATAACTATCAGGGGTGATTAGTGATCGATACTGATGCCAAAAATGCAATCAGTAAAATTTTTGTCTGTCTGTCTGTATGTTCGTTATAGAACCAAAAACTACTCGACGGATTTTAACGAAACTTGGTGTAATTATTCTTCATACTCCTGGGCAGGTTATAGTATACTTTTCATCACGCTACGATCAATAGGAGCAGAGCAGTGAAGGGAAATGTTGGAAAAATGGGAGAAGTTACTCCATTTTTAAGCTTCCGTCGCGTGTGCAGCCTTAATGGCCACTTTTTGAAATGTAAAAATGTCCACCCGTGCGACGCCGGGACGGGCCGATAGTGATGTAATAATAATATCCATTATTAATAATCCCTTTTCCCCCTGGTTACCTTATTTAGACTCTATCTATCTATCCTATTTAAGAGCTGCGCTCTTGTCGGTGGAGCTCTTGCCACTCACCACTATTTTCAGCGAGTCTCTTCACCTCTTGATACGACACGACACCAACTCCTTTCTTGATCTGCCTGATGTAACTATGTCTCGGTCTCCCTCTTCCTCTCCTTCCTTCTATCTTACCTTCTATTATAATGTTCATAAGTTCGTCGTGTCGTATCAAGTGTCCCAACATTTTTTCCCTTCTGTCCTCAATAGTTCTTATAATTTGTCTCTTTTCCTTAACCCTAAGCAGGACCTCCTCATTACTAAATCGATCTTATTCGATTTAGATTCTAAGAAGTAACAAACAAATAAACTCACTTTTAACTTTTTTTTATTACGTAAGTATATTATATTTCATTATAATTGTGTTAGTAAAACTATTTACATAATACTTACCGTTTAAAAATATTAAAAATATTATGGTAGGATTTATGACGAACGAAATGTTAAGCTCCACTTACTGGCCTGATTTAGGTGTGAACAAGAACACGAAATTGAGTCCGATACTTCGGAATTTCATTTCATGGTAGGCCTCCTGGTCATATAACGAATATGTTAAAAGTATGTTATCCAAAAAATAATATTGGATACTTTTAATATATTTTAAAAATAAATATCAAATGATGGGCGATGACCTTTTTTCCGCCATCAATGTCCAGAAGAATCTAATAAATAGATATGGGATCGGTCTCCATATTACCATTGCCTAAAAGACAATTTACCTGAGGTACAGGGTCCCAGCCGGTCTGCGTGAGTAGCCCGTGGCCGGCGTAAGCGACCAGGTCGGCGGTGGCGCTCAGCGGCTTCGTAAGTGCACCGAGCAGCCCTCGCCGCAGCGCTGCAGCACCGCTCTCCGTCTCGCCCACCGCCACGCCCACCAGTGGGTGATGGGCGAGACCGCCCACTGCGCCTGCGCATTTCACATGCGGATGTTTAAAACTTGTTAAATTTTTTAAGGTCTCCTACATGACACGCATCCTTCTTAAGATTTTTGCGACTATACTTATTATTTAACATAATTTCTTTTATCTCTTTCTAACATATATTTCTAGTCCTATTCATTCTGATAACTACTTAAATGTTTGTTACCAACCATTTTGATCAATTATTCAAGCGCATAATTTCAATCCACAATATTTATTGACATAAAAAAGTCTATTTTCATTGATTTAAAAACAAATTATTTAACGTAATTTCATTTGCGTAAATGAAATAAGGGGCGGGGGGGGGGGGGGGGGGTATCGTGGGCGAAACAGTATGTCTCTGTTATGTCCATGGTACTGCTCATGTCTATAGGCGACAATTACTACTTTCCATCAGGTGGGCCGTCAGCTTGTTTGCCATTCTAAGTTGTATAAAAAAAAAAAAAAATGAAAAATTTTAAGAATAACATTTTATTTTACAAAAAGAAACTTAGACTTCAATCGTGGCATTATTAATTATGTTGATTTAAAAATTAAACTATTGTATCGCTTTAAATAAAATTTCTTTACGACCAATCTGAAAGTATAGCGACTCAGACAAAAAAAAAAAATACTCCGAGTTGGTTTATAGATAACGCAGTTATGAGATAATATAAAACCAAAACCTTCTCATTATTGAAGTCTGTTGACAATTTGAACATCACTTTTATTAGAGTTTAAAAAATAACGACGTTTACAATGTCTTGTTGTAATAAAATTTTTGATTAGTTCAGTAACTGCAAAATTTAAATTTACTTTTTATTAAAACCGAAAAAAAGAGTTTATAAATCTATTATATTTAATTTATATATAGTGTTACTGCATAATCTATGGTTGCTGAAAGGAACGTGAAGTGTGAAGCAAATTGCGACGACCCACTAATCAGCAGCTACATTCACGTCATTCGTTATAATTTAATTGCATTATATATGCATATATATATATATATATATATATATATATATATATATATATATATATATATATGCATGCCCAAATATAAAGATAAACCAAAATAATTATTAATATTCTATGTGACAACTAACACTTACTCATCATATCAGCCGTTAAGTATCCACCGCTGAATATAAGCTTTCCCCATAAGGAGAGTCTTGCCAGTAGTTGCCACGCTTGGCAGGCGGGTTGCCAGTCACAGTCACGCCTTTGGTGATGTTTTAAGAGAGACACTATTGCCTATCTCTCGCCCTCCCTTAATCGCCTCTTACGACATCCACGGAAAAATAAGGGGTGGTCCATTCTATGCCGGGACCACACAGCGAACACTTACTATATCACATCTAATTATATGACAATCAACTCACCAAGTATATTGATCGCGAAGTTGGTTATCCCGGCCGCCAGCCCGGCAACGAAGCTGGGCGGAGGACGCCTCCTGGCGGCGGCGGCTCGTCTCGCATGCTCCTCATCACCGGCCAGCAGGTCCAAGTTCCTGGCCAGGGAGCCGGCCCACGCGCTCAGAGAACGAAGCAGCGCGGCCGCAGCAGCGGACGCCACCCCCCGGACACCCCCTGTAGCACCACCCACCCTGGCTGCTAGAGCCCCGGGAGCACCCAACAGCTCTAGTCCGCCCACTACCCATCCTGTTGTGGAGAAAAATGTATTTTCCCCATTATTATTATAGTCTATATATCCCACTTATGGATGAAGGGGATTGTTAGTAATGGGGTCTAATAAACCCATCGCTAGCAATACATCCTGACAGTTTTTAATAGGTGATAATGGAATGGTAATCCCGCTTGCGCTATAGGTATACGCTGGCGGAGCACCAGTGGGAGATAATAGGTGAGAATGAAAAGGTGGGACAGTTAAGCCATTTTGATGAACACACCTAAAATTCAGCACGATGGTTTCCAGGAGGGGACTACGTGAAGCTCGACCTGACAGAGTATATTGCTAGCAATGGAACTGGTAGTCCTCATTTCCAACAATCCATTCTCCCATCCTCCTCCAATACACCCTGTGAAGTCGACTTTCACGCAATTCCTCTTGGAAACCACCGCCTTTCATTCTTGTCGAGTTCATTATGATAGGCAAATTGGCTTGCATTCGTCCTTACCTATAATCCCTCACTGGTGCCCCTCCAGCACCGATAGCGTAGGCGGGATTACCATTCCATTATTACCTACTAAAAGCCCTTTCCCCAACTGTGTTAACTTCACATGATCTAGTCCAGAGTTCAAGCTAGTAGAAGAAAAAGTTTTGTTTTAAAATTTGTTTGGTGGCATCAGTTGTTTTAGAATTAGTATGGAACCAACATATGGATAAACCCTGTCGAATGTAAGAAGCATTATCAAGACCTCTTCCGAAGTATACAATTAAGTCAAGTTAGTGGACATGCAGAAAAAATATAGATAATTTAGCGCGGTTTCAAAGATGTTTCCTCCCACGAACACTCAAGTTATGGAATAAGCATCCTGGCGAGATTTTTTCAAGAGGCTATAGCATGGGGCTCTTCCAAAAAGGGATAAAGAGGTGGCCATTAGGTGGGCCGCATGCTTATCCAAACAAAATTATGTATATAAAAAATGTTGTATGCCAAACTGGCTCAATGTGCAAGCTACTTATCGTCATTGATTCCATCCCATTATGTATCACATTCACAGCAAATAAATATCATTTCATTGCAAGGCAATTGCCCAAAACGGCAAAAATTAACAAATCATCGTCTTCCTATCCTTATCCCAATTATTATTTGGGGTCGGCGTAATATAGTTTTATCCATATTACTAAAGGATTTGGCTTATAGTTTTACGACCGGCCGCCTGCCTGACGTCAACCCTCTTTGGGAAAATGAACAAATCATTAGTGTTAAAAGAAATTGTTAATTATATGATTACAATTGGATTACACTCGTGTGGGTGTTAGTAGGAGCTTTGTAACTATGGAGTCGTCTTACCGGCACCGAGTATGGCGGCGGACAGGTAGTGCACGGTGAGCGCATGCGTGAGCCGCTCCGGTGACGTCACCATGTCCTGCAGGCGGAACGCGCTCAGCCGCAGAGGGCTCTGGTCCAACGCTATGTACATACGCACCTGCGCAAGAGGATGGCTTGATTTTACATATTGTTCAAAAACACTTGTACTAAAAAAATAATTAGTAGCATAGTATGTATGTGCGTGCACTTGTGTATTTGTGTATTTGTGTGTGTGTGTATGCGTGCATGCGTGCGTGCTTGTGCATGTGTGCGTGCGTATGTGTGTGTATGTATACCAAAGGTGTTTGATTCAACTCCAAACAATGGGGAAACTGGATTGTTCGGATCAAAACACAATTTAGACACAAAATGTTTAAATTTGCTAACAGGCCAGTGCATAATTAATGTCAATTCTTCAAGTTATAATCACCATTATCCATCATTAAACCGTCAGCTTGTTGCCCACTAGAAGCAAACATAAAAACTTCTAAGGGATTTTACATAACCCAATAATTAGGAATGCAATTTTTCGGATTTCGTACCGCAGTGTGCAGTGTGAGCGTGAGATCGAGTGGTTGCACGTGTAACGTGCGCAGACGCAGCGGACGCTGCAGCGTGCGCTCGTCGGCCAACGCAGCGCTCGCCTCGCTGACTACAGTCGCTGGTAGCGCTAACCGCCACAGCGACACCAGCGCGCTCACGTACGCGTCTTCCACATACAGAGCTAGCGGACCCAGCGATATCTCCACCTCGGTTAGCTCTAAACAAGGATATCATAAAATATATGCAAATAATATATATATATATATATATATATATATATATATATATATATATATATATATATATATATATTTAACTCTTTATTGCACCATAAATAAAAATATACAATGACAAGTGAATAATTCAAGTGAAATACAGTAACATTAAATAATGATAGGTAAAGATGAAATAAACCAGGAATGAACCATAGAATATATTGCTAGATCTCATTTCCCGCCATTTATTCCCCTAGTCTATGATTTTAATACACTAAAAAGAACCTTACAGAAGGCATAAAGGAGATTAGATATTAGAATCGTTCAAGTTATGTACCGTTGTAGTCGCAGTTGGCGACGGTCCACTTGTCGTGTTGCAGGGCAAGCGTGAGCCGTGCGTTCCCGCTCTGCGACTCGAACGACTCTTGCTCGGCGAACATGCTCCACAGCGGAGGCCAGCGCTCGCTCGGCGAACGTTCGCCGCGTGTGCTCGCTACTACAGCGAAATCGTATTGTCCCGAGTCGTACTGTAGGTTGTCTATTTGTACGTCCGATATGGACAGCGTTGTTCTTGTTCTCTGTTTGGGATAAACAATTTTTATATTGAGCGAGAACTTCTCCTTATTATCATTTATCAATTTACTTTTTACAAAATATACTTCTTAGGAATCAGGAATAAATAGTATTTTCTCAAACATGCTTGGAAATGTGAGCATTATTTTGACAATCTTCTTAGATATAAATCAAAATTGCCGTACTGGCCAGATACATGCGGGTAGCGGCCGGCAAAAGTTGTATGAAAATCCATATCTGTCGTGTTTTGCGGCCAGATAAATTACTATGTAAACTCATATCTGTTCTGTAATTTAAAAATGGAATGACCTTTTACTTCGAAACATGGCTAAAAGTAAAATTGTGTTTTTGATTTCCGCGTATTGTTTGAGAAAAGTACTATACAAGCCTTGGCCACAACTAGGCATTGATGGAATCACGTATGTGTGCCTCGGCTACGCCTCGGTCCACATTTGCACGTTCGTCCATCAATACCTCAGTTGCTGGCCGCTGCAGTAATGTACTATTAATTATAACAACTGATTACTGATCATTTAAAAAATCTAACTATTCATTCGTCTCTGTATCACGATAGTGGTCGAGAAATGAGTCAAAATTTGAATTAGTTAATAGAAATATCTTATGGTCAAGTATTAGCTAGCTAAAATAATGAGATGGAAGGTAGTTAGAATATCTAAAATTATATTATAAAGAGGAAAGATTATATATTTTTTGTAATTAAAACAGGATTAACTCAAAAAACTACTTAATCAATTTTTAAATAATTACGGTACATTATTAACAAGTAGCAAGACCTATATTTCATTTCCAAAAACTTGTGCGAAGTCGGAGTGGATTGCTACTCGCTAGTGAACAATATATTGGTTTGGTCCTTCGGGTCGGATCGTTCAGGCGCTGTCCTATCGTCGCGCAGTCCTGTGCACGTTACCTTGCGGTCTGCGAGCATATGCAGCGCGGCGTGGTCAGCGTGCAACGCGAGTAACGGGCGTGCGTCAGTTGCGGCTGCCACCTCCAGCACCACTGCGTCCACCACGCATCGCACGCGCTCCATCTGCGGCCACGCGCCGCCGCTACCGCCGCCGCCTCTCTCCCATTCTAACACAACAATACAACACAGTCTTATACAACAGCATTCACAATTATAGCACATAATGACGAGGAGAGATGAGGGAGGCACTCTTAGTGTTAATATTGGGTCTAACAGGGATTGTTCTCTTGGTGACGTGCCTATTTTTTTTTATACAACTTAGAATGGCTTTGTTAGCCATTCTAAGTTGTATAAAAAACTGACGGTCCACCTGATGGAAAGTGGTAACCGTCGCCTATAGACATGAGCAGTACCGTGGACATAACAGAGTATAGTGTTTCGCCCATGATACCCCCCATGCATTGCCATTCCTGAGGACTCAGGTGTTATTCCTCTGTACCCAGTAAATTCACGCCATATCCCACCCTTCAAACCAAAACACAGCCAAGCAAACATACTTATACTTTTAAAGGTATTTTAACGTCGCCAATTTACCTGAAACTGGTACCTCGTTGAATGTGAACGCAGTGTTGGACGAATCGGTGTCGCCCAAATTGTTCGGATCGGTCTCGCCTTTCTTTGTCAGTGGTGATTTCTCAATTTCTATTCATGAAACACGAATCGTAAATTAATTCAAGATATTCATACTAGTAATTTCTAGACAAGTGGCGTACGAATCTATCGATAGATAGGATATCGCTACCACATACATGATATGAAACGAGACAGTGACGTCATAGTTTAATACGACTGATTATTAATGAGGAGAAGAATAGAAATAGTATGTATACAGGAAACTAAATGAAAAGGAGCGAAAGGTGGAGATATTAGGGAGGGACGTTTTTTTTAATGGGTGATAATGGAATGGTAATCCCGCCTGTGCTATCGGGATACGCTGACAGGGCACCAGTGAGGGATGATAGGTGAGGATTAAAGCAGGTCAGTTATCAGCTCATCGTGGCAATCATCCCATCAGCGTATCCCGATAGCGCAAGCAGGGTACCATTTCAATATCACCCATTAATAAATAGACTCAAATTATTCACGTCACCAAAGGAGGGCGATGGCAGTCTTTTTTTATCACTTTTTTGATGAAAATCTTCTGTTTAACTGGTAGAACACTTTATTAAAAGAATGATAACAATATTGATTTCACAGTGTACTTAAAAAAAAATATCGTACCTGACTCGATTCCTCCTCCATCATCCATCCCGGTTAACGTTAATGCCTTCATGGCATCCACGTTTCCATCAAGAGGCACGAGTGTACCAGCGTTCTGTACTCGCTCGTCCGGCACCTGTAGTTAGACATGGAATATAAAAAAAATAACACTGGTTATTTGATTAGAATCATTTTGTTTAATTCCGCTACCATTAGTATGTGTGCGACTGCCAACATTCGAAAATTGACCAACACTATTACTACCAGAAATTCCACAACCTTCCATATTAGCTATTAATCGCCGACTGCTATTTCGTTCAAGCACGTTTCGCGACACGTGTCTCACCTCTAAACGAGGCATCTTTAGGCAAATTAAAAATAACATGTGAAATTACATATGAAACAAAAAATCATTTATCACAGTTGTGATTTTTTTTTTCATTAATTAATTAATTGTGATTTTTTCAATATTTAATTCCCTTAACTATAAACTGCTATCATATCAGAGCGAATGCGAACATAGGTCTCCTTCATAAGAGATATTTTGCCAGTAGTTGCCACGCATGGCAGGCAAATTGGCTATGGCAGTTACGCTTTAGAGACGTTTTAAGACACTGCTACCCATCCCTAGACCATTACGTTACTCTTACAACATCCACGGTACTGTATAGACTGCTATCATCATCATCATCATCATCACATCAGCCGTCTACTGCTCACTGCTGAACTGTTATATTCAAAATCACAAAAGTTGTTTGGAGTTTCATGTTTCACTGGAGGCGTTAGTTCAATTTAATTTTCATTTTCTTTTTATACCACTGAGGTGGCAAACAAGTATACGGCCCTCCCGATGGTAAGTGGTTACCCTAGCCTATGAACACCTGTAATACCAGAGGTATTACGCGTGCGTTGCCGACCCTGAAGAAACCTCTTTACCCCTCTTTTGAAGAACCCCATGCTGTAGTCCCTTGGGAAAACCTCGGCAGGGAGCTCATTCCATAACCTGAGTGTTCATGGAAGCAAACATCTGTGAAACCGCGCAGTACGCGACCACTGAGGCTGTAGGATATGAGGATGAACTCCCTGTCGATGGCGAGCCGTACGATGGTAGAAAGTGGCCATGGGCATCATATTGAACAATTTATCTGATATATTACGAAATAAAAATAATCTATTCCTTGCCAACCTGCAGTGTCTCGTTCGTTTGCACAGTGCTGCCGGACGCGACGCTTTCCATTCTGGCAATCGCCACCGTTGACTTTTGTAAGTCTACTTCTGCCTTCTTAGCGGTTGGTGTTTGTTGCAGTACAGTAGATACATTTAATACTAGAATAAAGAGTCATTAATATATAAAAGGTTTACTTTTGACCTCAAATCCGATTCACTGCATTTTTTTTCAATTACATAATAATACCTTTTTTATTCTAAAGCTTTATCATATAAAAAAAAAATGTTCTGATCTCGTATTGGTCTTTCTGTGCATCTAATTTCTTTCCAACTCGTTCCACTATTAATACATAATTCGTCCATTACCTTAAGGTTGTCTTGAAAAGATTGCTCCCAGCAATAAGACCGCCTTACTGTACTTATACAACTGTAACGTTGCGTTTGTAAATTGTCTTGTTTATTCCCTATACTGTATAATGCAAATAAAGTATACTCATTCATGATTGAGCAAAACACACACGCAAGCACGCATGCACGCACGCACGCACGCACGCACGCACGCACTTTTATAATTTTAAAATTAAATAATAATAAAATAGCCCCTCTCACAGCACCACAGCAACAGAGTATAATTACATACATAGATTACACACATATACGTACATCACACATATAACACACACACTACTACACTTTGTTATGACCCTTTAGTATAGTAATACGCTAGCATAGTAGCGTGTATACCAATTAATACTTAGTAATAAAGTTAAATATAATAGTAATAAACGTAAAGTATGTAAACAAAAATAAAATATGGCATATCTGACAGGATCAAATACTAAAACTCACATTTCTCCTCGGCAGCTATCCTCTGCAACCCACATTTTGAATGGGAGTCGATGTTACTCTGAAAATATACGTACAACTAGCAATCCGACCCGGCGTCACACGAGTATAATACGAGATATATATATGTCCATGGTACTGCTCATGTCTATAAGCGACGGTTACCACTTTTCATCAGGTGGGCCGTCAGCTTGTTTGCCATTCTAAGTTGTATAAAAAAAAAATGTGTACATCAGAATTCGGCCGTGTGGTCCCGAGATAGAACAAGCCACCCCTTCCTTTCTCGTGGGTGTCTTAAAAAGCAACTGAGGGAGGACGAGGGATGGACAGCAGCGTCCCTCTTAAGACATCTCTAAAGCCTAACCGCGGTTGCCAATCCGCCTACCAAGCCTGACAACTACAGGCACTAAATGAAGCGGCTAAAGCTGCCAGATACAGTTAGTAATTGAATTCTAATTACCGTAAGGTTGGCAGAGTCTTGCGATATGAACGGGCCAAGTAATCTCCTTCTGATGTCGCTTGCTGATATGTCCCTCTGCGGAGTTAGGGTTTACTGATAGAATTATTATGAATTGATATATTTTAGCTGCTGTGAAAGGTCATTGCCACAAGTATAAATTGGATAAAATGGTATTATGTAATCCACTACCTATATAGCTTGTATTTATATATATATGTAATATGTACGTATGTAAAATCCTTTACATAATAAAAAATGATACGTAATGTAAAATTTAACTACATATTGCTTGTGTTGACTTCGAAATTTATTATCCGGATTTTCAATTATACGGTTTTATTTGATCCGGATAATCGAGATTCTACTGTATTTATAATGCTTTTTTATGGACAATATAAAAACTGCATCTTAATGAGATGTTGCTTTTATTTTTGACATACAATTTATATATGAATTATTTAAATAAATATATAAAAACTATATATTTAAAATTTATATCTAATCTATGTATGGGTATATGTGTAGGTCTATTATTCTTTATTTATGTATTATTATTATTTACATATGTAGATATATGCAGTTACTTTTTATTCTATTATGAACATACAGTTCAAATTTAACTAGTTATTATTGAGTTTTATCTTTAACTGTACAGTTTTTACTCTTGAACATTTTACAGTTTTTTTTTCAGCTTCTCAAATTTTGTCTGTAAGAGATCCCTCTATGGAATAAGTCCGTCATTGTATATTAAATCTTTTAACCACTTAATGCGAGGGCTTTTCTGTGAAATGAGGTCAAATGGCGAACGCATTAAATTTGAACGAGCATACAATAAATATACACTAAGCTCTATGAAATACAAACGGGCGAGAAGGTATCGCTCCAGATAAAAATATAAACGTAATATTTATAAGTGGCGAGAGGTACTCGAGATCACAAATCGGAACACATTTGATGCGCGACAGGGTCTCGTTCGAGATGCTTAAATGGGTAATGTGTCCCATTTAAATTATGTACCAATGTTACCATATTTCTTGCAAATAAATATTCATTATTTCATAAAAAAAAAATGTATGTGTAAATAAAGACAATACAATACAATGTGCACTATGGTCCGTACATGGTCGACGTCGTGCAGCTCGAGCAGCGTGGTGTGGTGGTGGGTGCGCACGCGCAGCTTGACCGTGACGCCGCCGCACACCTGCACCAGCTGCTCGCCCTCCGCCGCCGCCACCGCCGCGCACCACTGCGGCGCATCGTCTTCTGCTGTACAAGTAACACGAGCACCATGTGTAATATCACCACCATCATCATCATAACAGACTAACTGTTCACTACTGATCTTAAGCCTCCCCTTTGGGGTGTCGCCAGTAGTTGCCACGGGGGGGAAGGGTTAGTAATGATGAGTGTTAATGATGTGCGTTTGCGTTTTGATGATGAACGGGTAATGATGATGATGAGGAATAAATACACCTAGTATTTGAAGCGGTTTAACTAGGGTAAATAAAAATAAATAATTTTGAAGCGTTGATGTAATATAAATTTGATGTAATGCGCTGAAGTTTTTTTTTGCAAGTAAGTTACAGTTTGAAACCTGAAAGCTCATGTAAATTTCTCCTGCGTTATGATTGGCGTTCTCGCGATGTCGTGATGAGCGGCTCTTGTGACTGGTTGATGTTGTGTATGATTGTCTATTAATAACTTAGCAGTCGTCCATTGGCTTTACCGCTGAAACCGCTTCATTATACGCAGGAGTGATGAATATTCAGAGCATATTATTAATGCTTTAACAATGAGGTTAGCCCCTTTGCTATCAAGCTATTGCTATCAATATACCCTACCAGGTCGACTTCCACGCGGTTCCCCCCTGGAAACCATTGTGACTAATTTATAGTTGAATTCGTCACGATGGGCTAACTAACCTGCCTTTTCATCTTCACCTATATAGTATACCATCCAGTGTATACCATCATTCCATCATCATCCATTAAAAAAAAAAGTAGTTGCCACGCTCTGCAGGCGGATTGGCAACAGCAGTTAGACTTTAAGAGATATTTTAATAGTCTATATATAGATAGATCCCTCGCCAGAGGGAGGCTTTGTACAAAAGTCGATTGCTTGGGTACCTCTGTCCTATTAGTGTTTCAACCATGAAGCAGTTGTGTTTGCATGGCTGTGTTTCAGTTTGAAGGGTGGGATATGGCGTGAATTTACAGGGTACAGAGGAATAACACCTGAGTCCTCAGGAATGGCAACGAATGGGGAGTACAGAGTACAGAAACAGTACGATTATGTCCATGGTACTGTTCATGTCTATAGGCGACGATTACCACTTAACATCAGGTGGGCCGTTAGCTTGTTTGCCATTCTAAATTGTATTAAAAAAAATTAAAATAACGATTTTTCTATTCTAATATTTGTTAATATAATGAGTACTATATTAAATTGAAAGTACATATAACTGTACAATAAAACAGTACAGGTCTTCTTCGGTACAAGCAATCTACTTTTTTATTGATTCGATATTAAAAATTATACAATTTTTTTTTTTAATAATTTAACCTAGTTATAATTACCGTGTGATCCCGGCGAAGAACACTCAGGTTGTGGAATGAGCTCCCTGCCGAGGTTTTCCCAAGAGACTACAGCATGGGGTTCTTCAAAAGGGGGGTAAAGAGGTTTCTTCGGGGTCGGCAACGCACGCGTAATACCTCTGGTATTGCAGCTGTTCATAGGCTACGGTAACCACTTACCATCAGGTGGGCCGTATGCTTGTTTGCCACCTCAGTGCTATAAAAAAAAAAAGAAGAAAGAGCCATCCCGTCCTTTCCTGTAGATGTCGTAAGAGGAGACTAAAGCACCTTAATAATCAAATAATGTGCAGCAGGATCCCTCTTAACCCTTTTAGTGCCATTGATTTTTACTCATATCTATTTAAAAATGCCCAAGAAATCTTTGTCGTGTTGATGTCATTTACCCTTGTCTCCTAAAAAACTATATCTCCTCCAAAGATTATCCAATTTTAATATTTTTTTTACAGCAACCTAAACAGCGACTGATTTCACGAGCACTATGACGCTTGTCGGCACTCAAAGGGTTAAAACATCACCAAAACCTAACTGCGGTTGCCAAACCGCTTGCCAAACGTGGCAACTTATAAAGGGGGAAGCCTATATTTAGCAATGGACAGTTAACAATCGATATAATAATATTATTAAAGCATTTTTAGTCGACATTTGCATGAGTGTTATTTGTACCTAGTACACTTCTTATTATGTTACCTTTAGCTTTGGCGAAAATGAGGAATGGCACGGTAGGGGGCGCAGGCGTCGCTGGCGGCGGGTAGCGGGCACAGTGCGCCGGGCTCGAGTAGTGGGTTACCGCGTTGGGCTGCACCACGCACCACCATCGGACACCCGAGCATTCTGGTGTCGCCTGCGACCCGCGCGTAATGGGGGAAAGGGATTGTTAGTAATGAAATTTAAACAGCCCCATTGCTAACTGTGTAATGGACGATAATGGAATGGTTACCCTGCCTGCGCTAACGGTATACACTGGCGGGGCACCGGTGAGGGGTGACAGGTGAGGATGAAAAGACACTAGCCCATCGTGATGAACACACCAGGAATTCAGCACGATGGTTTCCAGGGGGGACCACGTGAAGGTCGACATATTGTTAGCAATGGGACTGATAGCCCACATTATTAACAACCCCCCCCCCCTCCGCCACATTGCTAGCAATAAACTATATCAAGTCGACCTTCACACGGTTCCCCTTGGAAACCATAGTGGTTAATTCTTGTTTAATTGGTCACTATAGGCCAACTGACCTGCCTTTATTCTCACCTGTCACTTTTAGCCATGTTTCGAAGTAAACGGTCATTCCATTTTTAAATTACAAGACAGATATGAGTTTACATAGTAATTTATCTGGCCGCAAAACACGACAGATATGGATTTTCATACAACATTTGCCGGCCGCTGCCCGCATGTATCTGGCCAGTACGGCAATTTTGATTTATCTCGAAGAAGATTGTCAAAATAATGCTCACATTTCCAAGCATGTTTGAGAAAAATATTAAACATGATTTTCATATTTTAATAATAGTTTTGGATAAAAAAATATATATATACTACGAGTATATAAGTATGTAATTGGTAGATCGCACAGGGTTTCGTCAGTAAACAGTTTTTCTTGGGTCTAGTCATGTCTGCCACTCGTATATTTTCTTGTTCAGTCAAAAATAAGTGAATGCTCACTTTATAAATTTATCATAACAATAGTAGCTAGTCATAATTTTATATATATATATATATATATATATATATATATATATATATATATATATATATATATATATATATATATATATATATATATATATATATATATATATATATATTTATTTATCTAGTTATAATTCACTGTTTATCCCCAAGACTGACTGATAGAGAATGCTACTAGCATTAACTCTTGTACCATATTTTCTATAGATCAATAAATTTAATTGAATAAATAAATAGAAAAATAAAACGTTACGCTTTATTATATTAATAAAAATAAACATACATTAATGTATGAGGTGGATGGTTCATCAGTGAAGTGCACGGGTTGAGCTACCGCCAGAGGGCAGCTCGTGCAGTTATGTACTACGAACTGCGGGCACGGGTCGCGCGCTACCGATATCAGCCACCGGCCGTCTTGCTTCAGCTGGGTCACTACCACCGCCACCTGTACAATATGTTTATTTAAAACATGACAAGCTAATTAAAAAAAAAAATCGACGTAGAAATAAAACAAGACGCAATTCCTCCCTTCCCTTCTTTTTTATTTTTCACGTTATCATCTCCCTACCCGTATCCCAATTATTACTTGGGGTCGGCGTAATACGTTTTCCTCTTCCGTTCTTCTCTATTTCCAGTCATTTCATTCACTCCCATTCTGGCCATATCGTCTTTCACACAGTCCGGCCATGTCTTTTTAGGTCTTCCCCTGCCCTTATAGCCTTTTTTAAAACATGCTCCTCATTTCTACGCATCACGTGCCCATACCAGGATAGACGGTTACTTCTTAATTTTTCTATCACTGCCGCTACTTTCATACTTCTTCTGATATTTTATTTTTTATTTTTCACGTATGTGTATAAATTCCTTTTTGCCTCATTGTTTCTTGTGACGATTGTAATATTTAGCATGAATAATTTTACAATTTACAGAATACAAGGAACGGGTTCACAGTGTGGTCCCGACATAGAAATGCTCACCCTTTCCTTTCCCATAGATGTCGTAAGAGGCAACTAAGGAAGTTCAATGGTTACGGGGAGAAGCATTCCTCTTAAAAAAAAACCACCAAAACCTAACTGCGATTGTCAACCCGCCTGCCAAACATGGCAACTACTGGCAAAAGCCTTATAGAGAAGGCTTATGATTTATGTTCAGCAGCGGACAGTCAACAGCTGATATGGAAGTACCTATTCGTTCTTGAATAAGTAAACTCACAGATCTGTTGTCGGCGTCGATGAGAGCTATAGCTCGCCTGGCTGGCGCGTGTTCATCCCCTACACGGATGGGGACAGGTGTGTGGGTGGGGTATGTTTCCTCGCCGCTCTTGCCTAGCGCCAGGCAGATATACATGCGCAGTTCTAAAGGGTTACCGCCGCGCCAGCGCCCGCGCAGCCAGAACCGGCAGAGCGGGGTGCCGTGGATGCTGGAAGGATAATAAATAATCTTTATTTCACTCTTTGTTACAATATAGTTTGAAGTCCCTAACTCCCGAGGTAGGTATGAAAAAACCTGTAATTCAGGAGTTAGTGCCCTCTTCTATATGTTGTTGTTTTACATTTTTAGTGAAACAATATGAAAAAAAGAAGTAACAAATACAAAAACAAAAATTACAATAGAATGTGAGTGTGCGAGTGTGCGCGTATGTGTGCGTGTGCGTGTGCGTCTGCGTGTGCGTGCGTGTGTGTGCGTGCGTGCGTGCGTGTGTGTGTGTGTGTGTGTGTGTGTGTGTGTGTGTGTGTGTGTGTGTGTGTGTGTGTGTGTGTGTGTGTGTGTGTGTGTGTGTGTGTGTGTGTGTGTGTGTGTGAGTGTGTGTGTGTGTGAGAGAGAGAGTGTGTGTGCGCCTGTGCGCGTGTGGATAAGTAGCGAAATTTGTTGATTTATTAACCCTTTGCACTCCAGGATAGTAACTCATGGAGGACACCAATAACTCGAGCACTATATTAAAGTAACATGGTCATTTAAAAGTCCCTACATGATGAACTAGAACAATCCACGTTTGTCATTCAAATAATCATTTAATGTGTAATAATAGGATTTGTAAAATAATACCACGTGGCGTGTAATAATTTTAAACTGTTTAATGCAAATAAACACATTTCATTTCATTTAAAAAGAAATATAACGTATTACTCCTGAGAGGTAACATTAATGTCATGGACGGCTCCGTATATTTCATTTGACCGCAATTAAATATTTTTTGAGAATTCGATTATTTATACAACAAAAAAAAAACCAGTCTGACCTCCCTTCCTTTGTAGGCGGCACCACTTTGAATGCTTTCGGACATAGAACGATGTCGTCGCCGACTTCATTCGGTACTGCAATCGCTGACACCTGGAAGAGTTTTCCTTCTAAATAGTATATAACAATATTGCTTTGTTCCTTCTCTTACTTCCTTTAAAGCACGTAATAAATTTTGGCACATATTAATTTAATTCCGCTACTTTATATATATATATATATATATATATATATATATATATATATATATATATATATATATATATATATATATATATATATATATATATATATATATATATATATATATAGATATATAATAGTACCAAACAATTCTAGTCAACTAACCAGTGACTTCCACAAAATACCATCTAGTTTAGTAAAACAGGTATGAGTTAATTCCTAAGAACAAGGAATTACATAGGAGTGATAAAATTGACAATTCATAGCGGGCTAGTGTGTAGAAAATGTTATACGGCCGTATAACCCTACCAAATGCAGATACAACCTGCTTGCATACTTTCTACATAAACCGTGTCTAATATATAATCTAGTAATGTAAAATTTGTCATTGACAAATAATTGACATATCAAACATTTTCTATACACTAGCCTGCTATGAATTGAGAAAAATAGCAACTGATGGTGTATCTTTCGTCCTCTTTTTACTAATTATATTAGCATAAGAAGAAAGGAGGCAACCGTATGATTTACAGTTTTTATTTTATCACTCCTTCTATGTAATTCCTTGTTTTAAGTTTAATTCAATCAACAACGTTACCAGTATGTCGTTGTCGAGCCTGTTCAGGAGCATGTACGTGGAGCCGACGCCGAGCACGTTTATTTCCTCTTTGATCTCGTAGTGCATCGTGAGTAGCGCCACCTGTCGGTACAAACACTTTATTTAAGAATAATTATCATTGTTTTCACTATTAGAATGTGACCCACAGAGCAGATGGTAGCCATTTTAAACTTGCTTTCTTTGCTATATCTATAATATATATGCTACATATAAGCATTCTTTTCGTTCCTTTTCCTTTTCAATTCTATCCTATCCTATTAATAGCTGGAAGATTATTTACCGACTATTATCAGAAATAAAAGATATTTTTAATCTTGAATATGTGTGTTTAACACGTGTTCCCTGGGCAAAAATTAAAGCAGGAATGAATGACAGCCAGTCTATTCATTACTGCCCTCTCCAAAAATTATAAAGACAAAAATAATGTAACGGATACATGATCGAATCAATTACAATACTTAAAAATCAAAAATAAAACAATTGACATTTCAATAATGTAATTATCATTTACGTGACAATATTTTATTAACATTGTACTATAAAATATTGTATTGTATTTATTAAATAAATATACTAACTAATCGAAAAAGGAATGTTGCGTTGGTTTGGCCATTTGGAGAGGATGGATGAAAGGAGAATTACGAAAGAGATTTATCGAGCAAAAAATCAGGCTTTTAAGGGTTAAAGTATCCAGTCCTCGTTATTGGACGCTGGTGATGAGCTGCCTATATATAGTTTATAGTGTAGTGTATTGTGGCGTCTGTAAATAAATATTGTAAATATTCATCTCATAGCCACTTGTCAATACAACATCATTACTTTCCTTTCCATCAAGTAGGTTAATTAAATTGTACATAGATATGTCACCTCTTTCTATCTTTCGCACTGGACGTACAGACATGACAGCGACGTTTACTTCTCACATTCATTTCTGCTGTCACTCTCTCATTATTATGTGAAATAATGAAGTTAGTTGTTGTGGCATATTTCCTCCAAACAACAACAGTGTAGTGCGGCACCTTGTGGCTGCACTGGACGGCGATGTGCGCGGCGTGGCCGAGCGCTAGCTGCCCGGGCGGCGGCGCTGCGTAGCGGCCCGGCTCGCGCGGACACACCTGCAGCTGCCCGCTCACGAACGTCTCGCGGCCCACCTCCACCGACAGGAAGAACGGCTTCTGGTGGTGCAAGTCCACAAACACTGTAGTCGAACGTCAACATGACAGGTACAGGTACCCACTGGTTTTATTACAGAGGTACCGTCACAGAATACAATGTCTCAATGAATGAGTACACTTTATTTGCATTATACAATCTAGGGAATAAGCAAGACAATTTACAAACGCAACGATACAGTTGTATAAGTACAGTAAGGCGGTCTTATTGCTGAGAGCAGTCATTTCAAGACAACCTTAAGGTAATGGACTAATTGTTGTACAAGTAGGATATACATACATATACATATATATATATATATATATATATTCTACTAATTACTAATAATGGGATTGGTATACCATATTATTAACAATTTTTGTCATCATGTTAACCCTTTTTTGATGGGTGAAAATGGTATGATAACCTCGCCTGCGCTAACGGCATACGTTGGCGGAGCACCAGTGAAGGGCGATAGATGAGAATGAAAACAGGTCAGTTAGTCCATCATGATGAATTCATCAGGAATTAACCATGATAGTTTTTAGGAGGAACTTCGTGGAGGTCGACTTGGTTGGGTATACAGCTAAGATTGGGATTCTCAGTCTTTATTACTTACAATCACTTTCCCCCCTCCCCCCCGGTGTGTTTTTTTTAATGAATGATAGTAGTATGGCAATCCTACTATCATTCTATCATTCAATTTGCACTACCTGTATACACTGGCGTGTTATCAGTGATAGATGATTGATGAGGATGAAAGCAGGTTAGTTAGCTCATTTTGACGAATTCAACTAGAAACAACCACGATGGTTTCCAGGGGGAACCACGTAGAGGTCGACTTAATAGGGCATATTGCTAGCAATGTCGAACTCCATTGCTAACAATCCCCCCCCCCCCCCCCCCCGGTATATTAGGTTAGGTTGGGTGAGGTGTGGTGCCGCACCTGTAGTAGGGCGGAAGGTGGCGCCACGGCGCGGCCTGGCTCCAGCCTGCACAGCGGCGCCGCGTCGTGCGCACGCAGCGTCAGCACAGTGGGCGCTGCGTTGCACAACAGCACCAGCGGGGACAGCCGCGCCTGCAGGCTGCAGCCGCCGCCCGCGCGGACAGCCTCGTACCGCACCTGGCGACCACGCACTCTTTTTATTTTTTATTTATTTATTTAAGGAACACCAACAACATATTGCATTATAACATATAGGTATAACAAACATTAAATATAATACAATATTAATGCACATACCTATTATAGATATTCACAGCATTCACTTTAAACATAGTTATACAGTGTAAGAAAATTAAGTAAATAACAAAAATAAACATGTAATCTAAGTTGTGAGCAATATCAGAAAATACGATTATGAGTGAATTAAAAAAAATATTAAAAAAATATATATTATGACAATTAGAGTAAATTTTCATAAGATTGTTGTACAAAGTGCTTCAGCAATTTATTCCTGTAGGAATTCGAAAAAATAGTGTTTAAATATTTTGTGGTGTAGGGCCCTTTGGTGACTCCTAGGCCCTCACCAACATTATTTATCCAAGGCACACTAATATTTACTGAGGGTAAATACAATGAGGTACAGTAAAAAATGAATTTACGCATAAACGGAGTGAACGCTGTTTTTAGTTATTAAAAGATGATTTATTTAAATGGTTTGCAAGCACATACACAATGATTTGTTATAATATAATATAAAGCGAAAATATACAAATAATATTTTTCTTTTATTTTTTTTTTAATTGGACATAGGAAATTTTTGATGTAACAAGTACCAGCCAGTCCTAAACACTTTAGACATACAAGGAATTACGCATTTAATTTTGAGCCCAGTTAATGTAATGTACAAAAAAGTAGAAAAAAAAAATAGTACAAAAAACCTAAATTAATAATAATAATATACTTTATTACTCAAACTACAATTTGGTCCATTTTGTTAGTAACAATTTTCTTACAAACTATGTTAGTAAAAAAAGAAAAGCAAATTAATTAAAGCAGTTCACTGAGATGTGAGCCAGCCGACTAGAACAGCATCTGAATGAAATGCCCAATTATACGCGAGTTATATTTCTCGCCTATTACTTTTAGAGTGCTGTTGGTGCTTGTCCTAACCCGTCGACCCTAAATTAATCGACGTAAAACAATTTAGCCGACTCCATACACAAATAAAAGATAAAATGCATAAAAACTCCTGTTGAATTCGAAACGAGTAACTACGAATTTAGAACGTAAGTTTTGGCTACAGTAACCAATTACCATCAGGTGGGCCATATGCTTGTTTGACACCTGAATGGTATAAAAAAAAAGGAAAGCCAACATAATATGTTGTTTTATTAGTGCAGTACAAAATTGACATTAGCAATAGATTAGATTAATATTGATATTAAATTCAAGAGTTCTACTTTTAATGCTATTTATTTATTATCATTACGGTGTTTTTTTTTTTATTATTTTTAATCTACACTTTAAGCAGAAAACGCTTTTTTATTTGTATACTATTGCTTTTTTTGTTCAGTTTTTGTTTCTTGTTTTGTGTGTTATTATGTGAGTCGCATGCCTCTTTAATTAAATTATTTCTTTCTTCTTCTTTTTTTACATAAATAATTACATTATATATTACATTTACTATTATATTGTTTTTATTTTACAAGTGCAATAAATACTATATACATTGTTTTGTGTTCTGTAATATATTTTTTTTATACAACTTAGAATGGCAAACAAGCTGACGGCCCACCTGATGGAAAGTGGTAACCGTCGCCTATAGACATGAGCAGTACCATGGACATAATAGAGTATACTGTCGCCAATGATACTCTCCATACGTTACCATCCCTGAAAACTCAGGTATTATTCCTCTGTACCCAGTAAATTCACTGCCATATCCCACGCTTCAAACCGAAACACAGCCATGCAAACACAACTGCTTCACGGTGAAACACGAATGGGACAGAGGTTATATCTTTGGCTATGTGGTACTCACGGTGACATCGCTGCGCGGCTGCAGCAGCGCCGGTTGCCACTCACCCGGCCACTGCTTGGCCACTATCGAGTACGGCCACGCGGACTTGGCGTCGCGGCCCGAGCGACGCAACCTGGAACCCACCACGTTCAATCATTTCTTAAACTTTAATACACATTATTATTTCAGCTGTAAACTGCCCACTACTGGCGGGAAAAAGATTGTTAGCGATGGAGTCTGACAGCCCCATTGCTAGCTAGCAATATACCATATTAGGTCGACGTCCACGTGGTTCCCCCTGGTAACCATCGTGAACAATTCTTGTTGAATTCGTCACGATGGGTTAACTGACCTGCTTCATCCTCACCTATCATCCTTAACTGGTGCCCCGCCGGTGTATACCGATAGCGCGGGCGGGGTTACCATTCCGTTATCACCCATTAAAAAAAAACTGCCCACTACTGGACATAAGCCTTCCCTATAAAGCAAGTTTTGCCAGTAGTTGGCAGACGGTTTGCTTTTTTTCTTGCTTTTTTTGTTTTTCATTCTCTTATCTCTTTTTACTGTGTATATCTGTATTATGTGTATGTTTGTATTATTATGTGTGTGCTGTAAGTAATGCAAATAGATTATCTATCTATCTATCAACCATTACAAGATGGCCGGTACACTCACCAGGCTAGTACCTCGTCGACGACTTCCTCGATGTTGTTGACGGGTGTCCGCTTGTCAAAAACAGACGTGTCCGTCACGCCGTAGTGCAGCGGCGCCGCCTCGCGGGTGACCGGGCACTCTATGTTCCTGTCCATGAAGGCATACATACTATACATACATTGTAATCTATACACAATACACAAACAAATTGAAAATTAATCGCGTAGTCATAGAATGGGCTACCCCTTCCTTTCCAGTGAGTATCAGGGGGAAAAGTAAGTTGTGTTTGCATGGCTGTGTTTCGGTTTGAAGGGTGGGATATGGCGTGAATTTACTGGCTACGGAGGAATAACACCTGAGTCCTCAGGAATGGCAACGCATGGGGGATATCATGGACGAAACAGTATACTCTGTTATGTGCATGGTACTGCTCATGTCTATAGGCGTCGGTTACCACTTTCCATCAGGTGGGCCGTCAGCTTGTTTGCCATTCTAAGTTGTATAAAAAAAACGATGGGTTTATTATAGGGTGATGATAACGAGGATGCAAGATTTAACCCCTTCAAAGTTTTATTTATCCATACCTGTATTGAAATGAGAGCTTGTGCCTGGCTGCTGTGGTGCCGGGCGCGACGAGGTGCGTGCTAGCACCGCGCCCCGGCGCCGTCTGTATCAGGGGCGGCGGCCGGCTCTGATCGTTTGGCGGCTCCGTCGACGATACTGCAGTGTCCGTCACTATCATCACCTGGTTATGTCATCATCATTGTAAATATACATATATCATTAGTGGACAAATATTGTAATACATATGTATTAACTATATGATTATTCCCACTTATATCTTATTCAGTGTAACTTTATGTACTGTTTTGTACGGGTAAAGCCGCAGGTATACTTTATTTTAGAGGTAAACTTAGGGAATGGTATCACAGAATCGAGCTCATCGCCAAACGATCATTCTTTGGAATCAACTTCCAACAGCTGTATTTCCGAACCGATACGACAACATAACCTTCAAGAAAAGAGTATATTCCTTTTTAAAAGGCCGGCAGCACACCTGCAATGTCGTTGGTGTTGTTGGTGATCATGGGCGGCGGTAGTCACTTACCATCAGGTGAGTCGCATGCTCACTTGCCTCCTGTATTATAAAAAAATATAAGTTGTCGGTGTGTACGTACGTCTGTGTCGAGGGGCAGCTGCGAGCGCAGCACGTACAGCGGCCACAGCGCGGCCAGCGACCGGCCGTCGCTGCGGGCGCGGGCCACGCGGCACCACACCGCCATGTACGGCGTCCCGCCCTCGCCCTCGCTCGGCACTGTTGCCGCACACATGTTATATAGTGTTATACACGCACACATACACATTGACTCAAGTACGCACGCATGCACGCACACACGCACACACGCACAAAAAAAAAAGAGGGTAGCCGTACGAATAACATCAAAGTTAACTAGGTCCGTAATATTTTAATTATTTATATAGTTTAATTTTATCTATTCTATGTTTTAAACAAGGAATTGTGTAATTTACTAGCTCTGTAACACTTTGGATTATTAATTCCCTAAATACTCTCACTTTCAAAAAGAAAAGAAAAGAAGAAAGCTTGATACTATTAATATGGATCTGTATGCAAAATTGAGTTCTAACATGGAGGCCATTGTTGACTTATTTAACTCGCGGATGGAGCAAATGGAGCGAAATATTCAGGAGCAGCAAACATCCAAACCCTCGCAGCCAAATCTCGAAACCTTGACACGTGAGTTCTATGATTTTAAGCAGCTTATTTGGAAATCAGTTGCAATGTTGAAAAACCAAATGGAGCTTATGCTGATAAGTCTGGACCGTCATGAAATGTCCTCTAGAAGAAAGGTCTTATTATTGCATGGTATTCCCGAAAATACAGATGAAGATGCTAAAACTTTGGTTACAAAAGTCTTCACGGAACAATTAAAAATGACGTCAGATTGTATCACTAATATATCTGTTGTTCATCGGCTTGGTTTTGGGCAAACTAAAGCAAGGCCTATATTGGTGCGTTTTATGAGTTATGCTATCCGTAGTCAAGTTTGGAAAAGTAAGACTCTTTTAAAGGGGACGCAGGTCACGATGTCTGAATTCTTGACAAAATCAAGGTATGACACATTTAAGGCAGCCAGAGCACATTTTGGAATTAAGAACTGTTGGACTTCTGATGGCAAAATCGTAATATTATTATCTAATAAGACGCGTCGCAAGATCGAACAAATGAGTGAGTTTCGTCTGTTAAGTACACAGTATCCAACAAAAGAAATAAACACGAAAGCCGCGGCGGCCCCGATGAAGTCGGCTAGGGGAGCTTTGGCCTCCACCAGACGTCAAGTTGCACGTAGGGATATGTAAGATACCGTTTCTGTGGAATTTTATACTATAGTAGTGTTCCTGCCTTGTGTGCAGTTATGAGCAGTATTTTTTTTTTCTTTTTTATTTACCTTCATTAAATTCTGGATTGGTGAGGGTGGGTGGAGAATAAAATAATAAATAAACTTGTTTTCTTAGAAATAAAAAGAGAATGTATAAGGGGTAGTTACATTTTGTTTTGAAGTGTGAAGTTATATTTTGTCTCCTAGTTTGCATTTAGGTTATTTTACAGTTGTTAATTTTAAACTTTTAAAATATCTCTATAGTTAATCAAATACATATGTCAATTCAGTGTAACACTGTCACTTAGCAAGCAACTGATGTATTGTTTAAGAGTTAACTCTCTTTTAAGTAAGACTAAGTGATCTATCTGTGCAACCATCTGCTAACATCAACGATCAAATGAATACTTAGATAGTATTAAAAACTTTATATGTTAATGTGTGTGTGTGTGTGTGTATATATGCATGTGTATGTATGTATGTATGTATATGTGCAGTATGTGTATGTGCAGCATGTGTATGTGCAGTATGTGTATGTGCAGTATGTGTGTGCGTGTGAGTGTGCGTGTGTGTGTGTGTGTGTGTTATGTTTATTACCTCTGTCTGAAATTAAAATATTACTAGATATTAAAAAGATATATGTAAGTAACTTGCATAATATAAAATTTTCGATTATGATATTCTGTTAGTATGAATGGTTGCACAGTTTTATTCGTAGTAACTTATGCTTGGATTGTGTTTATTATTGTTATTCATATACTGTTGTCAATCATCCAAATAAAATCAGACATTTTTATTCATAGATTAAGAATGCTTGCACAGCTATTTTTTTTACTTAGTTATTTTTGTTTCTCTCTTTCTGTCAATTATTTACTTCTTACATATCATCCACATGATTCTATTTCTGATAAATCCATTACGATTTCTTATGTAAATATTAATAGTTATAACATGTATCGTCTATTCCAGAGGATAGACATTTGTAATTGTATTTCTTTTTTTTTTTTTTTTTTTTTTTTTCCAGTTCTACCCAATAGTGTTGCAGAGCTGGGTCTGTGACTTTGTGAATTTGAATTATTGAGTCAGTGTAGTCCTTATAATATATTTTGTTACCAATAATTTATATTTATATATATAATATTTATCTTATTATAATTTATTTTATTTTAGTATGAATACGTCCTTAAACTTTAGTGATAGTTTTTTCAGCAGTTCTTCCGATGAATTTCATAGTGCAGTGAGTGATGATGATGCTGATCCTGATATGTTACTTAAAGATAAACTACAGTCTGCCTTTGCCTCCCATAAAAAGTTCTTAAAGATTGCTCACATTAATGCGCAGAGTGTATTAGCTCATTATTCAGATTTATATTCCACTTTTTCAGACCAGCAGGTTGACGCAATTCTTGTATCGGAATCTTGGCTTAAACCGTCTTTTTCATCAACTTTGTGTTCTCTGCCAGGTTATCATCTTTTACGCAATGATCGTGTTGGCGCTGGTGGGGGTGGTGTTGCGATATTTTTGCGTGCTAATATCCCTTACAGAATAATTAGTCAATCTGACTCAGTATATAGTGCTTCAGCGGAGTATCTTTTTCTGGAATTGTGTATCCATCATTCGAAAATCTTACTTGGCGTATATTATAGTCCATCTCTTCGTGTGGACTACTTTCAGTCTTTTGAGGCTCTTCTGGAATCACTTTGTCCCATATACAATGAAACTATTATTCTTGGTGATTTTAACACCTGCTTACTCAAAAATGACTCACGTTCTTTAAGATTGTGCTCTATTGCTTCCTCTCTTAATCTTCATCTCCTTCCACTTCAACCTACACACTCGCCTCCAAACAGTGCGCCTACACTTCTCGACCTCATGATTGTATCAGATCCTGATAAGGTTACTACATTCGGTCAGTTTTGTGCACCTTTCTCCTATCATGATCTAATCTATCTGTCCTACAAAATTCGTATGCCTAAGCCGAGAGTAAAATTTCTTGAGCTTCGAAATTTTAGGGAAATTGATTCGGAGAAATTACGGAGTGATTTTGGCAGGATTGATTGGTTCATACTTTATGATTTAAATACTATTGATGAAAAAGTCACATATCTTAATCAAACGTTAAATAATCTGTTCGATAAACATGCTCCTATCCGAAAAGTTAGAGTGAAGCATCTACCGGCCCCGTGGTTGTCACAAAACATACGCAATATAATGGCAAAACGTGATCAGGCTAAACGTAGGTATAAAAAGAATCACTCCATCGAAAATTTAAATAAATATAAGAGGTTGCGAAACCGAAGTAATCGAATGTGCAGAGATGCTAAGAGACGCTACTTTCATGAATCAGCTGAAAGTCTTAAGCCAGCTCAACTCTGGAAACTCCTAAGAACACAAGGGATTGGTAAATGTTTAAACTCGTGTCTAGTTAATTTAGATAGCAACGCATTGAATAGTCATTTTTCGACGCCTCCGGTAATTATGGAGGACCATATTAAAAAGACTACTCTTGGAGAACTCAAAAACTTGCCTAAACCCAATTGTAAACCATTTTCTTTCCTAGCTATTACTACGTGTGATATTAAAAAATCAATCTTGTCAATTACTTCCAAAGCAGTTGGTGATGACAAAATCTGTATTCAGATGCTTCGTCTTCTCTTAGATGAGCTTGCACCGATTCTTTCTCACATATTAAATTATTCTCTGGAAACAGGTTCGTTTCCTGCTGCCTGGAAAAAAGCCTACGTTATTCCGCTTCCCAAAACCAACAATCCCACGTACCTTTCCGAGTATCGTCCTATTTCTATCTTACCTGTTCTATCTAAAGTACTTGAAAATCTAGTTTACGATCAATTGTCATCTTATCTTTTTAAAATAAACTCCTTACTCCTTTTCAGTCTGGGTTTCGTACAGCTCACAGTACTGTCACTGCACTACTAAAAGTTACTGAGGATATTCGTCTTGCTAAGGATAGGAAACAGCTATGTATTCTCACTTTACTCGACTTTAGTAGTGCCTTTAATTCAATAGATTTTGATATCCTTCTCGGTATCCTTGACTCACTTAATATATCTCCACTGGTAATAGCATGGTTTAATTCTTATCTTGTGGGGCGTATGCAGTGTGTTCGGTCGGATGAAACCAGCTCCGACTGGTGTGGTCTTGTTGCCGGCGTTCCACAGGGTGGCGTCCTGTCACCACTTCTATTTTCTATTTTCATTAATTCCTTGGCAGGACGTTTTTCATCCTACTTCCATCTATACGCAGATGACTTGCAGCTGTACAGTTTTTTTGACATTTGTGATATCGGTACTGCTATAGACTTGATTAATCATGATCTGGTAAACATTTCAAGATGGGCAAATGCATATGGTCTATTAGTGAATCCAACAAAATCACAAGTTATTATTATCGGAAGCAGATACATGACAGATTTATTAGATCGTATGACTGTTCCACCTGTGGTGTATGAGGGGACAATAATATCATATACAAATGTCGTTAAAAATCTGGGCGTACTTTTTGACAGAAATCTTTCCTGGACGTCTCACGTAAACCAGATAAGTAAAAAAGTACATGCGACTGTTCACTCACTCAGACGTCTACAAAATTTTCTACCTATTAAAACAAAGGTCAATTTAGCCCAAACATTATTATTTCCCCTTATGGATTATGCAGATGTATGTTTTCTTGACGCCACTTCAGAGTTATTTTCTAAAATTGACCGTCTACAAAATTTATGCATTCGTTTCGTTTATGGTTTGCGTAAGTTTGATCATGTCTCCAAATATCGAAAAGAATTGAAATGGTTACCTTCACGTTTTCGATTGAATGTCCATATACTGACGCTTCTTTACAATATCTTGCATAATCCCTCCATTCCTTGTTATCTCCGCGAGCGTTATGAATATTTATATTCAAGAGATAAACCACTTCGCCCTCAGACACGATTACTTCTAAGAACTCCACCACATCATACTCAGGCTTTTGGGAATTCCTTTACAGTTATATCCATTCGACTATGGAATAGTCTGCCATCCGAAATAAGGGAATCGGCAAGTATAGGCATGTTTAAGCGTCGTCTAAGAGAGCATTACTTATCACTATGCTGACGTATTATGTATATGTGTATGTATATTTATATATGTTTATATGTGTATATATATGTATGTGTATATGTATGTTTGTGTAAATATATGTGTATGTTTACAGGGTATTTTATGTAATTTATAATGTGTAGTTTGTATTATTCTTTGTGTATACATAACTTATGCGTTTATGCAATATATGCAGATCGTATGACTGCCTATTTTTATTTATAAAATAACACATTAACATGGAAAGGTTTTGCTGGAAGAAATCTCTTATTAGAGATAAGCTCGCCTTTGTACATTATGTTTATAATGAATTGTAATTACCAGTATGTTTTGTGTACAATAAAGAATAAAGAATAAAGAATAAAGAATAGTTGCCACGCTTGGCTGGCGGGTTAGTAACCACAGTTTGGCTTTGGAAATGTTTTAAGAGGGACGCTACTGCCCGTCCCTATACTATCAAGTTCCTTTGGTTGCCTCTTATGACACCCACAGTAAAGGAAGGACTGGCCTATTCTATGCCGAGACCTGCATTGAATAGGCCATTAATGCTAATTAAATGTTTTATATTTACATTATTTTTTATTCTATTAAGAATATGTTAACTTACTTCTACCAGAGGGAGACTTTGTACAAAAGTCGTTTGCTTGGGTACCTCTGTCCCATTCGTGTTTCAACCGTGAAGCAGTTGTATTTGCATGGCTGTGTTTCGGTTTGAAGGATGGGATATGGCGTGAATTTACTAGGTACAGAGGAATAACACATGAGTTCTCAGGAAAGGCAACGCATTGGGGGTATCATGGGCGAAACAGTAGTCTGTTATGTGCATGGTACTGCTCATGTCTATAGGCGACGGTTACCACTTTCCATCAGGTATGCCGTCAGCTTGTTTGCCACTCTAAGTTGTATAAATAAAAAACTTGAATGGAAAATTTCAAAGTGGTAATTCTTCATAAACAGTACTATATCTGCACTATATTACGACACCCATATTGCTCCGGATCCTAGTAGTCTCATACAACGTCCATGGGAAAGGAAGAGGTGGCCTATTCTATGCCGGGACCACACAGTCTGTTTCAATATAACTTAATGACAATTTAATAATGTGTCTCATAAAAAGACCTACTAATTAATAATTAAACTAATGAAACTAATTAATCTGATTTGACAATTAAATTACTGAACCGATTATGGTAAAACTTCTATGGGACCAATCTGTAAGTATATTTTTTTAGATAAAAAAAAGAATATTTCAAATCGGTTCATTAACCACGGAGTTATGAGGTAATAAACATAAAAGAAAATACAATCGAATTGAAAACCTCCTTTTAGAAGTCGGTTATAAATAGCAACAGATGAATAATTAATATTTATTATTATTATTCGTTAGCAAAGTGCACTGTATAAAATAAATAAATCAAGGAAGGAAGGTAGTCTGAAAATCTTACCTTTCACTAACCACGGCACATTCTCTTTGGGGCATTCCTTCAATGGAATATCGCCCGACCAGCCGGTGTCGTGTGATGTGAACTTTATTCTATAATTACACAAAAAAAAATAGTAACATAGATGTCTCTGCGGAGACTTGTACCTTAAAAACATTGTCCATTTAATATAGACCAATATGACCTTTTACAGCATGTAATTTAAATGAATATTTCCGAAGATATTACAGATTTAAAATGCAGGGACATAGCGGTGCGGCGGTACCAGCGCGACCGGCGGCGCACTTTATCATGTTTGTATTGTCTAATGACAAAAAAGCTGTAAACGTTATTTATAAGGACATTTTGAAGTAGGTAGGTATATTTAGTATCAGCATTGCACCTGTGCGAAGGTAATGCGGGTCGCTAGTATATTCTAAAGTTAAAACTCTTAGCCGGTTCAAACTGGTTTTAACTAGTTAACAATAATGATGGCAATGCATACTTGAGCACCATGTCGCAGTCGGCGGCGCAGATGACGCTGCGGCCGACGCTCTCGTACTCGAGCTCGCCCGAGCACACGGTGCGCCACTGATTCGACGACGGACAGTGCGCACGCACCTGGAACGTGTACGAATTAACTATATTACTTAACGTTCGCTACCGATTGTGAAAAATACAATGTATAAACGGCAACATGACATCATAAATTAGAAATTAAATCCTGTACCTAACTATTTACAGTGGGGGAAAGGGATTGTTAGTAATGGAGACTGAGAATCCCATTGCTAGCAATATACCCAATAAGGTCCACCTCCTCGCGATTCTCCCTGGAACCTATCATTGTTAATTCCTGATGAATTTATCATGATGGGCTAACTGGCCTGTTTTCATTCTCATCCATCACCCTTCACTGGTGCTCCTCCAGCATATCCCGTTAGCGCATGCGGGGCTACCATACCATTTTCACCCATCAAAAAAAATCTATTTACAGTTGGATTTCTATCGCATATCTAAATAATTGAAATATAGAAAAAAAAGGAGAATTTCGACTTGTCTCTACCTTGAGGTTTTATCTATATTTTTTTATGTCTTTTACATATATATTCCATAAGACGTATTTTTTCCCGGAATAAAATGAATGAATGAACGATAACTTTATTTGCTCGAATACAGGTTATTACATTAAAAGTGTTTTATGTTAAAGAAAAGAACCTCTGAATTCAAGCGTGCGGCGTGCAAACAAAAAATCAATATGACGCCCACAACCACTTTCTACCATCGTACGGCTCGCCATCGAGAGGGAGTTCATCCTCATGTCCTACAGCCTCAATGGTCGCGTACAACGCGGTTTCAGATATGTTTTCTCCCACAAACACTCAGGTTATGGAATGAGCTCCCTGCCGAAGTTTTCCCAAGAGACTACAGCATGGGGTTCTTCAAAAGGGAGGTAAAGAGGTTTCTTCAGGGTCGGCAACGCGCGCGTAATACCTCTGGTATCGCAGGCGTTCATAGGCTACGGTAACCGCTTACCATCAGGTGAGCCGTATGCTTGCTTGCCACCTCAGTGGTATAAAAAAAAATCATTTGGAACTTGTTCTTAAAATATTACATTAAAATAGTCTTCAAGTAAATAAAGACATTGCTCTATAAGCCAATTGTAATGTTTTTCATAAAATTTTTTTTCTCTATCAGATATGAGATGACTGTATTCTGTCCGTAATTTATTATTTTTTACATGTTTTAATTTTTATGTTTTTTATGTTTTGATTATTATATTTTATATGTACACTGTAATACAATTATACCTCTATGGGTTAAGTACTTGGCAATAAAGAACATATAATTATTTTTTTTTTCAAAAAATTCACATCTCCCCTCTTAAGGAGAGGAGATGGGAAACTAACCCCCGGCAAAAGCATTGGTCGGGGTTCAGGGCCCCAGGGAGAGAAACCGGCGTACAATGCGGGCAGAATCTAAGAGCACCGCTTTCTGTATCTTCGCCGAGAGTGAGCCGCCTCGGAATCCCAACCGTCTGAGATGTTGTTCCAGACTAGTTGGGAAAAGACCGTTCACCGACAAAACGATTGGAATGATTTCGGTGGACGCCACCTCCCACATTTCGATCACTTCGTGAGCCAGGTCGAGATATTTTCTCTTTTTCTCGGTTTCGGCTTTCACGAGGTTCTCATCATGCGGTATTGTGACATCTACCAAAAACACCCTCGGGAGTGCCCGATCCATTACCACGATATCAGGTTTATTATTATTATATATGTTATTGCCATGTAAAAACAATTCTTGTGTTTAATTTAATAGTGTTTAAATTACATTAGTATACTGTACCTTGTAGAGCACGTTCCGCCTGAGCATGTTGGCGAGCGTAAGCCGGCCGGATAGGTGCATGGTCCTCGTCGCGCCCGCGTCCTCCACGCGCACGTGCACGTGCACGCCGTCTTCCAAACGGACGCGCGTGCTACCGCCCATGAATGGGATGCCTTACACATATACACATACAGTTGTAGTGTTATACAATGCCACAGTGTGAAGAACAAGTAGTGGTAGTAGATTTTTTTTAATGGACAAAAATAGAACGCAATGCCATAAAGAACAAGTAGCGACAATAGTTTTTTTTTTTCAATGGACACAAATAGAATGGTTACCCGGCCTGCGTTATTGGTATACGGTGGCGGGGCACCAATGAAGAATGATAAGTGAGGATGAAGCAAGTCAGTTGCTTCATCGTGATGAAGTCATCAACCACGATTGTTTCAAGAGGGAATCGCATGAAGGATAACCTGTTAGGGTATATTGCTAGTAAACGGGTCTGTTACATCTCAATATCAACAATCCCTTTCCCCCGGTAACAGTAGTAGTACGTGTAGTACCAGAGGTAACAGTCAGACAGCGTCGCCCTCTGGTGTCAAGTTTGTAGACCACCTTTATTGTGCATGCGGCCCTCTGACGTGGATAACTGACGTTTGACTTGACTAACATCACTGACTTATGCAAAGTCAGTCAAATTCTTGAATGAGCACATGACAGTAACGTATTTTACTCTGTAGGTGGACCTATCAAATGTTTATTTATTTATCTATTCTTTATTGCACAATAAAATTTTGTACAAATGGCGAGCTTAATGCCATAAGTGATTTTTAAGTGATTTTCTATAGAAATGATTTACTTTTCTATATGAAACACTAGCGTACTGGCCCGGTTTCGCACGAATAGATATAGCCTAAGTTACTCTCTAATAATGTACCTTTCTGTAAATAAAAGAATTTTTAAATTCGGTTAAATAGTTTTGTGTTTATACATTATAAACAAATCTTTATTATTTATGATTTATTAGTATAAATGAATGGAAATATCAGTTTCGAAATATCAGTAGGGGTCGCCCTAGAGGGGCGTATATCGATCAAATATGACGTGCTTAGATCTATAGATTATATAGATAGAGCGTCGAGCCTCAAAAACGGGTCAACTTTTGTCAGCTAATTGTCAAATTAACTGACTCGTTTTTTTTATCAATATTCTATATAGCTAACTTACGCATAAAATGTATATTAACGTATTATCTTATAAATAAAATTAATGTTTATATATTAAAAAGATGCCAGAGGGAGACTTTGTACAAAAGTCGATTGCTTGGGTACCTCTGTCCTATTCGTGTTTCTACCGCAGCAGTTGTATTTGCATGGCTGTGTTTCGGTTTGAAGGGTGGGATATGATATGATAAATAAAATTTTTATCTTTTTCTTTGTGTGCCGCCAAATTTTGAAATCGTTAAATATGTGCCGCAACAAAAAAAAAAAAGGTTGCAAATCACTGATCTATATAATCTAAGATGACCGTTTACGAATTGATAACAGAATGTGAAGAAATCGAAAGAGGTCTGTTTTACTCAGAGCATGCGGCGTTCTATTGTCTCTGCCAACCTCTATGGAGGACAGGCGTAACATATAATATACATGTAGATTTAAAGAGTTTCCATTATACGTATATGAGTGTATTTAGGACTATTCTCACTGAATATTTATTATTATTGTACTCACTGTTGGACCAACGCCAGTCAGCTGTGGGCCCAGCGAGGGCAATGCGCAGCTTCTTAGCAGCCACAGGACTACGCCACCTGAAAATTAACACATCATATAATAATACTAAAATAATAATATAAATGGTAGGTTGTTTCCAACCGACTTCAAAAACAAGATGGTTCCTAATTCGATTGTATTTTTTTTTTAATGTTTCTTACCTCGTAACTTCGTCAGTTGTTAACCGATTTGGATCTTTTTTTAACACATAGATCGGTGTCATATAAAAGTTATCAAAATTAATTCAGTATTTTAGTTTTGTCATTTTTATTACATACATACATACATATCTGTCACTGTCTGCCTGTGCATATATACATATCTGCCTGTCTCACATGTTGAATGTCTCAAGCATCTGTGTTTCCTTTTTCGTTATTGTCATTATTTTGATACATACATACATATCTGTCACGCCTGTCTCCCATTAGGGTAGGCAGAAACAATGGAACGCCAAATGCTATTACTAACATTACTAATACATAAATTACTTAATTATTACTTAAATTACTAATTACTCAATTATTCGCCAATTTTTATTACTAAAATATAACAGACAATTAGGCAATTTAAAAATGTTTATATGTACCAAATTTTAAATAATCATCATCTATCAGTTATTAACTGTCCACTGCTGAACATAAGCCTTCCCCATAAAGGAGGTTTTGACAGTAGTTGCCACGCTTTGCAGGCGAGTTGGCAACCGCAGTTAGACTTTGGAGATGTTTTAAGGGGAAAACTATTGCCCATCCCTCGCCTTCCCTTAGTAGCCTCTTACGACACCCACGAAAAAGGGGTGGCCTATTCTATGCCGGGACCATAATTCCAAACTTTTGAATGTTGCTACAATAATTTTAAAACGTTCATTGTTAGAGCAATTTTTTTAAATTTATTTTTTATGTAACAAAAAAAAAACAGTAAACAACAGTCCACGGCCAAATGGTCGTATATGTACATAGAACATAACAGAATACTCGGAGATGTCTCAAACATTGATATTTCTGACAACTAAAACGTTACGTAGACAATTTTTTTTTTGGTGGTATCTGGGAGTCGTGAAAGACTATGTACCTGTACGCGAGCCTGGCTCCAGGCCCTAGCGGTACGACTTCATCAGTGCCCTCTTGTCCGATACGCAGTGCGGACGCGCAGCTGTTGTGCACCCAAAGCGATACGCGGCCCTCCAGCGCTTCAGCCGCCGCCGCCGCCGCCTCGCCCGCAGTACGCACCTTCACTTCCGGTTGTGGCTCATCTGTCGCAGGCTTCCCCGCACACTGTATGCGTTTTGGTATATAGATTCGATTAGTTAGCTATTAAGATGGTATTTACAAAGAAAAATTATTTGAATTTCTCCCCTCCCCCTCCTCGTCGGCAAAAACATAACTGCCAATTAAAAACACTTGATTAGATTTTATTAATGAGATTTGGTTATAATTGGAAGCTCAAATTTATGAGTTCTAATAAAAACATCCTCGCTCTGAACTTGTAAGAATACCCTTTATAAATAACGCAATAAGGCAACGCATGGGGGGTATCATGGGCGAAACAGCATGCTCTGTTATGTCCATGCTACTGCTCATGTCTATAGGCGACGGTTACCACTTTCCATCAAGTGGGCCGTCAGCTTGTATGCCATTCTAAGTTGTATATAAAAAAAAAAACACACAAAACATGTATATCTAATCGCTATTTAGCAACAAAATTGTACATTTTGTCTGTTCGTCTTGCTTTTACATAATTAAGTATTAATTTTGTTTGAGAACATATTTTTAGGGTCGTACCTAGATCCAAGGTAGGGCAAAATAACTTTTTGGTAGAGCAGAAACTATAAATGACTTCGGAAATGCGAATCTAATATTCTTAGGAGGGGGGGGGGGGAGGGATTGTTAGCAATGGAGTTTAGTAGCCCCATTGCTAGCAATATCCCCTATTAGGTCAACCTTCACGCGGTTCCCATTGGTAACAATCGTGAACAATTATTATTAAATTCATCACGATGGGCTAACTGACCTGCTTCATCCTGATCTGCTTCATCCTCACATATCATCCTTCACTGGTGCCCCGACAGTGTATACCGATAGTGTGGGTAGGGTTACCATTCCATTCATCAAAAAATTCTTAGGGCCTTTGTCAAGGCTAACAGCCTCTAATTAATTTCTATTACATTTTGTACCTTGTCTATGGCAGCCTTCCAGTCGGCCGCGAGCGATAGCAGCGTTCGCATACGCGGCACGTGCAGTAGAGCGTGCACGCACGCGGCTCTACAGCGCACTCGGGGGCCGCCCGTCCCCACCGACGCGGCCGCCCGCACGCGGAACTCTTCCACCAGCTTCTCCATCGTGCCCGTCCCGCTGTCCAGGATATTGCTCCTGGAAGGTTAAATATATAGATAGAGAACCAGCCTGTACAATTTTCTGACAAAATAATCAAATTTTGTTGAACGTATCAAAGAATCCATTGGCCACAGTGACCGTTTACCATCAGACGGACTGTATACTTGTTTCTCACCTTTAGTGGTATAAAATAACAAGACACTAATAACTGTAACTACTAGTCGGATTTGAAAAACTCTTTTTGTATTTGATAGCTCGTTTCTTGAGAACGGTTGCAGGCCGTTCAATATCACAATATGGCCACGAGCGAAGCCACGGTATATACAAGTATAATAAGCTGACTCACCCGAGCTTAGCGTCGAGCAGGAGCATTTTGCCAGCGGGCGAGTCGAGATGGGCGTGGCCGATCACATCGCGAGCACTCACGCGCAGCACGCGGTGCGACCGCATCAGCGGACGCGACACGTAGTAGCCTTCCAACGCCGTCGCTTGGCTGACGTGCAATTTACGACACGACCAAATTTAAATAAAAAATATCCTTTGTAATATTAGAAACAATGAATGGAGAATTTTGACTTGGAGAAAGATGGGATGGAGAATTTTGGTTTAACACGAGTTTTGGTCCTAAAAGAGATAAAATTCGTGTCAGTTGTAACTAAAAGTTTATTCAATCTTATTATCTGGTGGGAAAAGATCATTAGTAATAGAAACTGGCAACCCCACTGCAAGAAATGCATTGCTATTGGAGCTATATTTATAATCTATTTATTTATATATGATAGGGTATGTCTTAACATACTCATAACAACAGAATGAGGTAGAAAGGGATTGTTAAAAATGCGGGCTACCAGTTCCATTGCTAACCATATATCCTGTCAGGTCGACCTCCACGCGATTCCCCCTGAAAACCATCGTGCTAAATTCCAAATATATTCATCACGATGGGCTAACTGACCTGCTTTTTTATTATCCGCCTGTCATCTCTCACTGGTGTCCCGTCGGCGTATACCGTTAGCGCAGTCGGGGCTACCATTCCATTATCATCCATTAAAAAAAAAACATAAGAACGATACAACATCGTATCCTTCAAGAAAGGAGCATATTCCTTTTTAAAAGGCCGGTAACACAGCAATGTCTCTAGTGTTGCGGGTGCTCAAGAGCGGCGGTAGTCATTTACAAGCAGGTGAGCTGCATGCTCGTTTGCCCCCTGTGTTATAAAAAAAAACTAACTGTTATGCGAATTACCTCAAATGGGTTCTTTATTTTTTAAAAAAAAAAAGCAATTGTTTACACTCACGATATATTAAAATAAATTACTTAGGACAAAATAGTTTGTATGTCCTTAGGCAACCGTTCGCTTTGAATGCTCGAGACAGACAGACATAAAAATGTGGCCATTGTTCGTCAAGGGAAGCAGAAATGCTGACCACGGTGGGTTAGAGCGCCAACGCAGCACTAACCCGTACAGGGCTATGGTACAACAGAACGTACCTTAATAAAATGCGATCGTTACCTAGTGAGCGCGGGCAAGGAATTGTGCGCGTTCAGCTCGAACGCGACCATCCGCAGCGAGAGCTTGGCACGCGGCAGCAGACGCGGCGCGAAGTACGAGTCCACGCGGAGTACGCCCGACAGCTGCTCGGCGGTCACGCCGCCGGTGGGTACGGACGTGCGGCCCGCCTGCGACCCGGGCGGACTCTCGCACGCCTGTTGCGAACAAACGCGTCAACGGATAAAGGCAATTCCATAATGAGCGAACGTGCTCAAATAAAGGCAATTCCATAATGAGCGCACGTGCTTAGATAAAGGCAATTCCATAATGAGCGCGCATTTTTTATACAACTTAGAATGGCAAACAAGCTGACGGTCTACCTGATGGAAAGTGGTAACCGTCGCCTATAGACATGAGCAATACCATGGACGTAACAGAGTATACTGTTTCATCCATGATACCGCCCATGAGTTGCCATTCCTGAGGACTCAGGTATTATTCCTCTGTACCCTGTAAATTCACTGTCATATCCCACCCTTCAAACCGAAACACAGCCATGCAAACACAACTGCTTCACGGTTGAAACACGAATAGGACAGAGGTAGCCAAGCAAACGACTTTTGTACAAAGTCTCCCTCTGGAGAAAGTTCAGTGCAAGTAGATCTACATTATAACCTATATCCAACCACCAGCGACACGTCATCGGACGACGGGTCTGCTAGAACGGCAAAGGCGTGAATTTACAGGGTACAGAGGAATAACATCTGAGTCCTCAGGAATGGCAACGCATGGGGGGTATCATGGGCGAAACAGTATACTCTGTTATGTTCATGGTACTGTTCATGTTTATAGGCGACGGTTACCACTTTCCATCAGGTGGGCCGTCAGCTTGTCTGCCATTCTAAGTTGTATAAAAAAAAAGGCATCATAGTCAACAGTGGGCAGACAACTGAAAAACTAATTAATTATTACTATCACTACATAGTATAAAACAAAGTCGCTGTCGCCGTCTGTCCGTCCCTATGTACGCTTAAATCTTTAAAACTACGCAACGGATTTCGAAGCGGGTTTTTTTAATAGATAGAGTGATTCAAGAGGAAGGCTTATATATATAACTAGCGGCCCGTCCCGGCGTCGCACGGGTGGACATTTTTACATTTTAAAAAGTGGCCATTAAGGCTGCACACGCGACGGAAGCTTACAAATGGAGTAACTTCTCCCGTTTTCCCAACATTTCCCTTCACTGCTCTGCTCCTATTGATCGTAGCGTGATGAAAAGTATACTATGTAACCTGCCCAGGAGTTTGAAGAATAATTGTACCAAGTATCGTTAAAATCCGTCGAGTAGTTTTTGTTTCTATAACGAACATACATACAGACAGACGAAAATTTTACTGATTGCATTTTTGGCATCAGTATCGATCACTAATCACCCCCTGATAGTTATTTTGGAAATATATTTCATGTACAGAATTGACCTCTCTACAGATTTATTATAAGTATAGAAGATATTGCGAAGCTGGGGCTGGCTGCTTGTAAACAATAAATAAATACAAACCAAAGGATCGGTTCTGGGCAAGAACTTGATCAGGTTGAACTCGAATGGTACAGTCTTGTCTAACGCCTCGGAGTAAGTGCGCACTCGCCACATTACGGCAAACACGGCATCTGAAACAAACTGTGATTGTAAAACAGCCCGCCGATGTCCAAGCAGTATTTCCGAACCGATACGACAACATAACCTTCAAGAAAAGAGCATACTCCTTTTTAAAAGGCCGGCAGCACACCTGCAATGCCGTTGGTGTTGTTTAGTGGATGATCATGGGCGGCGGTAGTCACTTACCATCAGGTGAGCTGCATGCTCGTTTGCCCCCTGTATTGTAAAAAATTCTTCTTTTCATTTAAGAGTTTCCTCTTGTCGGTGCAACTAATTCATGCATCGTCCTCCAGCCAGCTCTATCCCAGGCCATATCCTTGACCTCCCTATACGACATGACACCTACTGTTTCCTTTATCTGTCCCATGTAGTTATTCCTCGGACTTCCTCTTCCTCTTTTGCCCTCTATTTTTCCTTCTACTATGCTCTTTAAAAAATCGTCATGTCGTATGCGGGGCCACCTTGCCACGCATTTTGCCTCTTCTATTCTCTATTGTTTTAATTAATAATAGTATAAATAAAAAAAGCTGGTCAAGTGCAAGTCGAACTCGAGTAACGTGGGTTCCGTACAAACTAGTAGGCATGTAAAAAGTACATATTAAAATGAGAGCAGTTAGGCAAAAAAATATACAGCTACATTCACAAAAAAAAAAATGTTTTTCGTGAAATTATCCCATATTTATTGTATTTCAGATTTTTTCTTTTATTTGTGCTACATGACATTGCTTCTTGCCAAATTTCATGATTCTAGATCAACTTACACTTTAGTTATAAAAATATGACAGAGGTAAACAAATGTACAAAGGCGAGCTTAACTCTGATCAGAGTTTTCTTCCAGCAACACCCAAAGTGGAAAGGAGCATCAATGTCAGCGGATACAGCAGTGTACAATTTTTTAAACAGCCAAAATTAAATTAATTACATTATAATTTATTATTATTATTATTTATTTATTTATTTATTTAGGTCGATTCGTACAAATGTATGACTGTAACTACTAATCAACTGTCAGTTTATGTCATATTGGATTTGCTAGTTGTGTACGAATCGACTTTTCATCCTCACCCACCTGTCATCTCGCACTGGCGCCCCGCCAGCGTATACCAATAGCGCAGGCGGGTTTACCATTCCATTATCACCCATTAAAAAAAATATTGATAATATTGTGCACCCACCAGGTGGCGTGACGTACAGCTTCAACTCCCTAGGCTCGTGGACGGGCAGCTCGAAGTACGTGTGTGGCTGCCAGCAGCCCAGGGTCTGGCTGTACAGTTCCAGCACGCACTCTGTCTCCTTGTCCTACGCACATAGTACATACACAATGGTAAACAAATATATTTTGTAACTAGCGATCCAAACCGGCTTCTCACGAGTATATACAGACAGAATTTTCGAAAATTAATACATATCACAAACAATAAAAAAAAAAAATTCAGCGACTGTTTTTTTATACGTGATTCTTAAGATTGATATAACTTTTTTATCTATGAACTGATTGATTGAAATAAAACAAACACTAAACGTTAAGTGCAGCAAACTGCGACGTATTAGTGAAAACCGCATTCAACTCGGTTAAGACGTTTCTGAGAGTAGCGTGCATAAATGTACAGACAAACAGACAAAATTTCTAAAGATCATTGTTTTGGTTTCTTTTGCGTTCATAAAGCCTCCCTCTATAATAGTTTTTCTTATATATCTTCCATGTACTGACAGCAACCAGTTACGATTTTATTGTATGTATTGATTTTATAATTACACTCTGCAAAAAAAAGCAACTTTAATTCCAACAGATGCACGCAAACATGCATGAGTGCACACATACGCACTCTCAACACACACACATACATTAATAAATAACGACATCAATCATACACACTCGATTAAAAATATTTAAATTTAGAATACAGAATTCTTAATTTAAACATTTACTATCACTGTCGATTGTAAAGTCTTGTACAAAATTGACAACCTAATAGTGTAACATGGGGGGAAAGGGATTGTTAGTAATAGAGACTAAGAATCCCATTGCTAACAATATACCAAACTAGGTCGACCTCCACGCGGTTCTCCGTGGAAACTACACTCCTCGCAAAAATTAAGGGAACATAAAATTTTTTGAAATTTTTGGGTGATTTTCAACAGGCTGTATTTCAGTGAAAAATAATCGTACAGGAAATTTAAAAAAAGGGTTTTGAAGCTTGAAAACTCTAGTTTTCAGATTTTTGGGTGAAAAAATTTTTTGAGCTCCGGTTTCTATGCAATTCTTAAACAAAGCTGAAAATAATTTTTTTCTAAATTTTCTAGGTTTTGTTTTTCACTCTATGGGCATGGAAAAATTTTTTCGAGCTACTCCATTGTATAGGTCTCTTAGCGTGTTTATTCAGCTTCAAAAACCGCTTTGGATGGCTCAATTACGACCATTTGTCTCCGAGATATCGAACTTTGAATGCAAAAGCATCCTTTTCCATTCAACTGCTAATACCTCTGGAACTACTGGTCGCACAGCAAGCGGGCGCCGCGTTTCTTTATCTGCATAAAATTTTCTTGATTTTTTTCGATTTTTTTTTGATATTGAATTTTTAAAAAACAAAAAATTGAGTAAAAAGTGAAAAACAAATGAAATAATTTCATTATAGACATATCATAGAAAAATCTGAAAACTAGAGTTTTCAAGCTTCAAAACCCTTTTTTTAAATTTCCTGTACGATTATTTTTCACTGAAATACAGCCTGTTGAAAATCACCCAAAAATTTCAATAATTTTTATGTTCCCTTAATTTTTGCGAGGAGTGTATCATGGTTAATTACTTGTGAATTCGTCATGATGGGCTGACTGGCCTGTTTTCATTCTCATCTATCGCCCTTCACTGGTGCACCGCCAGCGTATCCCGTTAGTGCAGACGAGGTTACCATACCATTATCACCCATCAAAAAAAAAAAATAGTGTAACATAAACACAAAAATAGTCGTTTAAGAATAATGTACTGGAAATCGTTTAGTACACTTCGAGAATACTTATAATTTTTTTTTCTTTTGTTAATAGTATTCTATAGTATAGTACAGTATAGGACCTACCTGTCCAGGTATGGGGAAGGCAACGATCCGCGTCACAGTCCTGGGATGCGGGTAGCGCCACGACACCGCGTTTCCGTGTACCGTCACCTGATACGCCATCGGCAGCTGTCCGCCGCTCACAATCTTGAATGCACCACTCCTAAACAACCATATATGGCATACAATCTCCATAGAAATGTCTATATAAAAATGCTACGAGAAAAACGAGTCAACTTTTAAATACAATTTTGCGTGATAATTTTTTTTTTTTTATACAACTTAGAATGGCAAACAAGCTGTGTTCTATATAATTACGCACGCAATGTATCTTGACGTATCTATATTTAATTATTTAATAAATAAAATGAGTTTCTGCGCATTAAAATGGTGCAGTCAAAATAAAAATATAGAAGTTATAAAGGAATCGCTCATAGGGAGACTTTGTACAAAAGTCGATTACTTGGGTACCTCTGTCCCATTCGTGTTTCAACCGTGAAGCAGTTGTGTTTGCATAGCTGTGTTTCGGTTTGAAGGGTGGGATATGGCGTGAATTTACTGGGTACAGAGGAATAACACCTGAGTCCTCACGGATGGCAACGCATTGGGCTACATTATCGTGGGCTAAACAGTATACTCTGTTATGTCCACGGTACTGCTCACGTCTATAGGCGACGGTTACCACTTTCCATCAGGTGGGCCGTCAGCTTGCTTGCCATTCTAAGTTGTATATAAAAAAAAAACAGAGCGGATTTTTTACACTTAACTCACTCGTCACCGCTGGGGAGACTCTGAGATAAATACATCACGTTCTCATACATCGATAACAGGCATAATTACCTCAGATCATCCTTGTAGTAGTGATCACCAGCCTCGATGTCCACGGAGGCGACTGAGGAGGTGCGGGGAACTAAGCTCGGCACGGACGGCTGCGATATCGGACCGTCCTCGTGGACGTGACATGTGTCCTCGCTGTCTGAAGAGGTCGGCGGTGGACGCTAGCAAATCACAATGTCTGCTTATTAATCATAATAATACACACCTACATAAACTATTAATTAATATAGTCGAGGGATGGGCAGCAACGTCCCTCTTAAAACATCAAGAGCCTAACTGTAGTTGCCAATCCACCTGTCAAAAGTGGCAACTACTGAAAAACCCTCCAATGTTATATTTATTTATTTATTCTTTATTGACCACATTCCAAAAAAATGGTACAAAAGGCGGAATTATACTATATAGCATTCTCTCCCAGAATTTTAATTATATGGTAAAAAAAAAATCAAAATTGTTGTTATATGTCCTGTATTCACCAGTGGTCAGTTAAAGATTGATATGATAATGACGATGACTTATCTATTACATACAACTCACCACCTTCTCCCCGAATAGGTCGTCGACCGTCTGTTGTATATTACTGAGCACTGTGAGGTCCGCCGGTCGTAAGTCCAGAGTGATTCGATCGAAGTCCACGTTCAGTCGGATTGTCGGCTCGCAGGCCGCGTGGCCGCCCTCAGCACGACGCCACGCCTCCCACGTCGCTTGAAGCTCAGCTCTATTTATTCAGTGATAAGTAAAATTTTCGTAAACAATATATATTATATAATACCCATCTTGTGGGAGGCATATGTGCAACAGTGGACAGTAAAGGACTGGTATGGAATTGACTGGAATGGACTGGACTGGAATGGAATACAATGGAATGGACTGGAATGGAATGGAATGGAATGGAATAGAATACAATACAATAAAATAGAATAGAATAGAATGGAATGGAACAGAATAGAATAGAATGGAATAGGAATAGAATAGGAATAGAATAGGTAAAGATGAAGTAAAATATTCATATTTATTGCTCTGGCAAGCTCCGAGGCGTTTATTTTATAACACAGAGGTGTAATACTATACTCATTCGAAATAATACCGCGTGACAGTAGATACGGGCGTCACAGAGCGGACGCATCAGTCGTAGTTACATAAGACATGTAATGTAATGTAAATTGGACTCTGTTTTCCGCACTGAGTCTCTCATTTGGGCCGTTGCGCGTATGAGTCGTGGCTAGTACAGCCACACACACAGGCCTCACGAAGAGACCTTATCGTTCCGATGATTTTTAAACGTTGATGGGCCACAGCTTCAAATTCCAGGATCTCACGTGATCCTGGAATTTGAAGCTGTGGCCCATCAACGTTTAAAAATCATCGTAGTCGTTTCTTCAGCATCGAAACAGCCTCAACATAGAGGGTTAATTAGACACTACGTAAGACAGCACTTGCCCGATGATGAGAGGGTGAAGTAGCACGTGGCGGCGGTCGCTGGGCGGGCCAGCAGCCACGACCAGCGCGGTGATCAAAGCACGCGCGTGAGCTCGCTCGGGTCGGCTGCCGGCCGCGGCCTGCGCACACGCCGCGTCCCAGCCCACGGTGCCCTCTGACCCGCACACTAGCACCTGGCTCGTATGCACCGTCACACTCTCCAGCGAGTTTTGTACTGCAAGGCAAATATGTTACCTATAGTAAGACAGTCTAGTCCCATTCGTATTTCTACCGTGAAGCAGTTGTGTTTGCATGGCTGTGTTTCGGTTTGAGGGGTGGGATATGGCGTGAATTTACTGGGTACGGAAGAATAATATCTGAGTCCTCAGGAATGGCAATGCATGGGGGTATCATGGGCGAAACAGTATACTCTGTTATGTCCATGGTACTGCTCATGTCTATAGGCGACGGTTACCACTTTCCATCAGGTGGGCCGTCAGCTTGTTTGCCATTCTAAGTTGCATAAAAAAAGGCTACTAATGACCAAAAGTAGTACGAATTAAAAATCGATAAATCGAATGAATGTTTCGATTTGTTACTAATTTGATTTAGAGAACAAGTTTTTAAGAGAAACTTCGGCCATAAAAAAGATTATTAATCCAACATTCTAATAACAAAGCATTTTAATTAATACGCTAGCGACTTTAAGACTTCTACACACATCTCTATCTGTAGATACTTAGTAACAGCCGAATAATTTTATTATATTTGCTCTTTTTAAAAATTGCACATAATCTTGCAAGTGGTATTTTTTGTCATACAGTAATGTTATTTAATTATATTTTATTTTTATATTAAATATATTTATACTTTCACATTTTCCTATAAAATATTGAATATTCAAGTCAGTACAAAAAAAAATGCATCAATACGATTCGTAGAATAAATAAATCAAATCAAATCTTTGTTGTGGATCCTAAGTTAGTTAAAAAATAGGACATTTATCTCACGATTATATGCCGATAAAGTAAGTTAAGGACTTCACTGTCATATAATATTATTACAAAGGAAATAAATAAATTATCACAACATTAAATTAAATTAAAAATATATTAATTTTGTTGAATTAAAATAAATCAGTTTATTTAAACAAATCTCACGTCCAAAGTGATACGTTAAGCAAGAAGTCTATAACTGTCATGGAGGATTTTTCATGTTACCAATTTCCTTATTAATATTATATATACATACGTATACGAATATGACATAAAATTAAAATACATTTAAAATATGATAGTGGTATACCCATAAAACGTCGGAACTTGTACAAGAATGGTAGTTTGACCACGGGCGTCTGAAACTCCTGTACAGGACTCATTACTCTGCCCTCAATCTATAACAAAATATATCAAATTGACATCAGTTAATAATAATAATTAAAATTGTTAAATGGCATTTAATTATTAGAAAGATATTTTTTAATTTTATATCTATACAAGCTTCTACCCACAACCTCGTTCACGTGACTGTAATATGTTACTAACCGGGTTAAAATTAATTAATCTAGGTCCTTCTTCAATCCATGCAATGTCAAGTTAAGGCACCAAGAAGTAAACAAACAAACTTACTTTAATATTTATAACACTGGCAAGGATTAATATTGATTTTCACATTTGTAAAATTGTCTTTACATAATATTGGCCATTTTTTAATCAATATTGATCTTTTAAAAACAATACATAAGACAATCGTTCCATTGTGTCTACATAAGCATCGGTAATAACTTTCACCATGTGCAAAATAAATCAATTCCAGATGTATGATAGATAAATAAGAGAATAAAAAAGAAAAAAGAGAAACAGTGTCCATCTACGATGCAACTCACCAGTGCATGGATGCCTTTAATACGACGCAGCCTGTCTTCTGAGACTTCGATCTGTACTGGGCGTTCGACATCGATTCGGACAGTCCCGCGCCCGCTGCCGCTCGATGTGTATCCACCTGAATAACCAATCGATCGTATTAGTAGATCAATCTACCAATTTCAGCCGATCAATTAATTTAGGAAAATCAGTCACCAGATGGAGACTTTGTTTGTTTATAAAGTCATTTGTAGAAGTATCACCTGGATACTAGGATTGTATGTGAAACTAAGCAGGCGTGTACTTTCATGACTGTTTCGATTTGAAAGGCGAGGAGGACATGCACGCACGCACGCACGCACGCACGCACGCACGCACGTACGCACGCACGCACTCGTAACATACCCACAGAAAAAATACAGATGAATTGTTGAGCTACATTTTTTGGTTTTTTTTTCTATCGCAATCAACATTGTCTGTTAATATACAATATATAATATACTGTAACAACTCATTCCCATCAGCTGTTAACTGTCCACTGCTGAACATAGGCCTCCCCGATAATTGGAGTTTTGCCGGTAGTTGCCATACTTGGCAAGGGGGTTGGCAATCGGAGTTAGGGTTTGATGTTTTTAAGAGAGATGCTGCTATCTATCCCTCGGCTATTAAGTTCCCTTGATCGCCTCTTACTACACCCACAGGAAGGTCCATTCTATGCAGAAATGACATGGCAAGACAACCCATTAACATCCTAGAAATGCTCATGAGTCTCTGCATAGGGGAAGGAATATTGTCATGCTATAGCCAAGTCAATAACAAAACAATTACTATAGAATACATAATAGCCATATGTAGATACAAACCAACGGTGGGTACAACAATTTTCATGGTGGCCAAGGCGGGCGGTATATCGGTGACGGGGTCGGGCACGCCGCGGGCCGTCGACACGAGGGCCGCGTGCCACTGACCCTCCACTTGACCCACGCCGAGACCGAGCCACGCGTTGAACAGTGATACCTGGTAAAGACAATATTATTATTTGTCAATTTTGACAACCCTACTGGTGTGAGTAAGATAATTACTAGAACTTATTTTTTTACACAATTTAGAATGGCAAACAAGCTGACGATCCACCTGATGGAAAGTAATCACCGTTACCTATAGACATGAGCAGTACCATGGATATAACAGAGTATACCGTTTCGCCCATGATACCCCCCATGCGTTGCCATTCCTGAGGACTCAGGTGTTATTCCTCTGTACCCAGTAAATTCACGCCATATCCCACCCTTCAAACCGAAACACAACCATACAAACAGCTGCTTCACGGTTGAAACACGAATGGGACAGAAGTACCCAAACAATCGACTTTTGTACAAAGTCTCCCTCTGGTGACTCTCACTGGTGAAATGTATAGTAACCGATTCAATTAGTAATATATGCAGTCATATCTAATTCAAAGTGGTCTCGTTTGGAAACTCAATTCAAAAAAGTTAATTCCTAGTGAATTTATAAAGATGTTTCAAGTCTCTGCAAAAGACTGCACTCTTACTAAGTGCGCCAGAGGGAGACTTTGTACAAAAGTCGTTTGCTTGGGCACCTCTATCCCATTCGTGTTTCTACCGTGAAGCAGTTGTGTTTGCATGGCCGTGTTTCGGTTTAAAGGGTGGGATATGGCAGTGAATTTACAGGGTACAGAGGAATAACACCTGAGTGTTTGGGAATGGCAACGCATCGAGAGTATCTTGGGCGAAACAGTATACGCTGTTATGTCCGTGGTACCGCTCATGTCTATAGGCGACGGTTACCACTTTCCATCAGGTGGGCCGTCAGCTTTTTTGCCATTCTAAGTTGCATAAAAAAAATATCGCAGTTATATCATAGTCAACTGAATTGGACATAGTCGATTATTGTCTTTAATCTCCTATGATATTAGCACTTTATGGACAATTTACCTGAAGACTCTTCTGGTTTTTCCTCCTCCAGTAATAAAGGTTCGGCTGGTACAACGTCATGTGGAGCAGCGGCAGGTTGCCCTCGTGCTTCCTCACGTGGGACATCAGGGCCTGACCACATTCACATACAATTTAAATACATAAACAAATGCTGCTAGGATTTCCTGTTCGGAGCCTGTTAGTTAGTTCAAAAGAAAGTAATTAAACGTATTATCATCTACGTACCACCCATTACTGTTCACTGTTAAACATAAGCCTCCCCCTATTGGGGGGTTTTGCCAGTAGTTGCCACGATTGGTAGACAGGTTGGCAAGCTCAGTCATGCTTTTGATGATGTTTTAAGGGGATCGCTGATGCCCATTGCTTGACTATTTAATAATTCCCAAACTTTTTACACAACAGAACATCCAACAAATACCTTTTATTTTATTAGAAATATTTTAAAAGTTTAGCACTTTATAGTTAGTTTCCTTTAACTTTTTAATGTGAAGAATGAAATTGTTTCACTGTATAAATAATTTCGCGGAACATTGATGATTATTTTAAGCAACCCACTTTAAGAATTGTTGGATCATTAAGCCCCCTTAGTCGCCACTTACGACACCTACGGGGAAGATAGGGCCTGTTCTATGCCGAAACAACACAGCAATAGTTGGGTCAATTATTCTTTTGAAGCATTTTTAGTTTGTTTTGATAATGAAAAAAGAAAATGTATATTTCTTTAAAAAGTATCAAAACTAAAAATTTGTTAAAATAACCATAATATATAATAAAAATAATAAATGAATTAATAATAAAAATAATAAATGAATTAATAATAAAAATAATAAATAAATTAATAATAAAAATAATAAACTTTTTTAAATAAAGTGTCTATTATATGATACTAACCGCCCCCTCGAGCTTGGTCTTCCCAATGTCCGCGTTCCTGATCGTCTCCGTGAGGCTCCTGCTGCACTGAGAGCCTGCGAGCCTGTCGTCGTTAGCCGCCGTCTCCTTACTCTCTTCAACCACGGTCTAATACAATATAAATATTCTTTATTGCATTAAAACGTACAGTTATAATAATTAGAAACAATGTTAGCAAAGGTGAAGTTAACTCTCTGGAGATCTAAAGAGATGTCTTCCAGTCAACCTAACATAGTGGCGTAGGAAGTAGTGATTAGGCAATAGTAGTGCAAAATTGAAATCAATCGTTGTGATGAACAATCGTGATCATCATATCAGCCTTTAAATGTCCACTGTTGGACATAAACCTTTTATTGGGGGATTTTTGTCAGCACTTTCCACGCTTGGCAAGCGGATTGGCAACCGCAGTTAGGTTTTAAGAGGGATACTGCTGCCTAAACCTCGCTCTCACATATTTGTCACATATTTAAGCTTTAAAATATTCAATAACCGAGTAAAAATTTTTTCTACCAGCCATTTTTTTAGTTTCTTTTTAAATATATTCAAGTGTAGTGTTTTTATTTCGTCCGTTAATTTATTATAAATGCTTATTGTCATACAGTAGGCATTTCTGCTATACAAAGTTGTAGTTTTATAAGGTAGTACTAAGTTTTGATGATTTCTTGTGTTAAAATTACTGAGATCACTTTTTAAATAAATGTAAATGTGTTTTCGCGAATATGCATACTTCGTATATATATTTACATGGGACAGTAAGTATATTTAGACATGACCTGTATTTAGATACGGTGACTAAAATATATAGATAACTACATGCTATGTATTTTTAATGGGTGATAATGGAATGGTAACCCCAACCGCGTTATCGGTATACACCGGCGGAGCACCAGTGAAGGATGATAGGTGAGGATGAAGTAAGTCAGTTAGCCCATCGTGACGAATTCAACAAGAATTGTTCACGGTGGTTTCCAGGTGGAATCACGTGGAGGTCGACCTAATAAGGCATATTGCTAGCAATGGGGCTGTAAAACTCCATTGCTAACAATCCCTTTCCCATCTATTATTGCTATGTATTATCCACCCCAAGTAGTCATTATAATTGAATCCACAGTAATATAGTTTACCATGGTATGTCTTATACTTAAAGCCTAAAAGTTTTTAGTGTCAAACAGAAGCAAACTCATCGTGAGTTTATATATATATATATATATATATATATATATATATATATATATATATATACCTAAATAGGAATAAAAAAAACTACACTCACCTGCACGACAGGCTCTGTAGGCGCGGTGGACGGTAGCGTTGGCGGTCTCAGCGCTACCACTTCGGGGCTGCCGTCGTCAACAGTGTACAGCGACACCTCGATCATTCCCATCGTAACAAACACTTCCAAGAATTCAGACGCGTCAGCCCTGCGCGAGGTACTTGGATTAATATTTTTGGAATGGTTAAGACATAGATAATTTTCACTTAGTTATTTACAAAGTCTGTTTGTTTAAATCAAATCTTACATCATCATATCTGAAGATAAGTCTCTCTTTTTTGGGGGGTTTTGCCAATAGATGGCACGCTCGGCAGGCGAATAGCAAACGCAGTTAGGTTTTGATGTTTTAAGAGGGACGCTGTTGGTCATCCGTCGCCCATTAGGTTCCCTTAAACGCCTTTTACAACACCCACGGGAAAGGATGACTTATCCTATACCGGGAGCTACACAGGGAATGCAAATCTTGCATGCTAAATGAAACATTTTAGTAAAATTTTGTTAACATTTTTCTTACATCCTTAATTCTGAAGATAATACAATATGTAATATTGTACTATCCTCAGAACACACATATATATATATATATATATATATATATATATATATATATATATATATATATATATATATATATATATATCGCCGAATAACAGATATTTTAAATTAACGGTTATTTCAGTGCAATTAATATAAAAGGTATTCAAGGTATCCTAACTAAAATTTCAGAGCCAGTCTTTAAGATTTGGGTTTTTTTTACTGGGTGAAAATGGTATGGTAACCCCGCCTGCGCTAACGGCGGAGCTATGCTGGCGGAGCACCAGTGAAGGGTGATAGATGAGAATGAAAACAGGTCAGTTAGCCCATCATGATGAATTCATCAGGAATTAACCATGACAGTTTCCAGAGAGAACCGCGAGGAGGTCGACCTAGTTGGGTATATTGCTAGCAATGGGATTCTCAGTCTCCATTACTAACAATCCCTTTCCCCCCTAAGATTTGGGTTGAGCACCAGATCCCTATGCCGGCCAGTCTCAAAAAGTCCTGATGATCGGCAACCTCCAGTGGAGAAGACACGACAAGAAGAAGAAGAAAAAGAATGTTAATTAACTTACATTTGTTCCGCAAAAGCGACAGAGACGGACTTCTTGGTGAGGAGCGGCGTGTCCTCGGTATGGCGGCTCGATTTGTACGTAGAGTTTGAAGTTTCTACACCAGAGTCCGCTTGTACACTCTGGCCCATGTCACTAGCGCTCTTTGACGTTTCTAGTATTATATTGTTCCATATTTAATGTTACAATTTAAAAAATTATTCATTCGGGTCGGAGAAAAATAATGTACGTGACCTTTGGAAATTATTCCCATCCCCCCTACCATCCCTCCCATCACCCTGTCCATTAAAATATATAATAAACTGTGACAACCCATTCCCATCAGCCGTTAACTGTCTACTTATGAACATAGGCCTTCCTTATAAGGGATGTTTTGCCAGTAGTTGCCACGCTTTGTTTGCGGGTTGGCAACTGCAGTTAGGTTTAGGTGATGTCTTAAAAGGGACGCTGCTGCCCATCCCTCGACCTCTCTTAGTCATTTCTTACGACATCCACGGGAAAAGAGGTGGCCCATTCTATACCGGGATCATACAGCTAACTAAACTATTATTAGCACATCAAATAACACTGCTTGGTTTCTTCAAAAGGGGGGGGGGGGGTAAAGAGGTTTGTTCAGGGTCGGCAACGCGCGCGTAATACCTCTGGTATTGCAGGCGTTCATAGGCTACGGTAACCGCTTACCATCAGGTGAGCCGTATGCTTGATTGCCACCTCAGTGGTATAAAACAAAGAGATGAATTTTCGTCTCTGCAGTCAATCGTCACAGCTTGCATGACGGTGTTTCCATTTTATGGAATATCATAGTTAAATTACAGAGTACGGTGGTTTGAAACCATAGTTTGTTTGCCATTGTAAATTGCATAAAAATGTAAACAGTGATTAAAAATATATACTATTTGTGGGTGTTTAAATTGGAAAGTACCTTCGATGAGTGTGGAATCCGACAGTAAAGTGGGCGAGTCACCCGTCGTGTCGCGGCTCATGAGCAGCGTCGCGTACGGACACACTCCTGGCTTCTCGTCCTCCAATGTTGAGCCCGTATCCCTGAGAGATAATTTTAAAACAAATAATGAAAATGTATATATTATTCTCTTATTGTGATTATTTCTTGTAATTATTTATATTTATAATAAGTTTACTATTGTAATCTTTTGGAGGGAACAATAAAGAGTATCTATCTATCTATTATACATCCATATATATATATATATCTATCTATACAATTACTAAAAAAACTTATTCGAATTATTTATAGGCATTATAAGTATTTTCTATTATTCTCAATATATTTGGCATCAGTATCGATCACTAATCACCCGCTGATAGTTATTTTGGAAATATATTTCACGTACAGAATTGACCTCTCTACAGATTTATTATAAGTATAGATTACTGGTACTGCATTCGAGTATTCTGACACTTCAAAAATGCAATTAGTAAAATTTTTGTCTATCTGTCTGTCTGTATGTTCGTTATAGAAACAAAAACTACTCGACGGATTTTAACGAAACTTGTTACAATTATTCTTCACACTCCTGGGCAGGTTATAGTATACTTTTCATCACGCTACGATCAATAGGAGAAGAGCAGTGAAGGGAAATGTGTCTGTTACATCAAATCGCAGGCAACAGCTAGTAATAAATAAATAAATATCGCTTAATATGAGATGGAGAAGGCCACAGCTACGTACGTGGCGTGGCTGACGGCCCCGTGGATGTCGGCGAGCACGGCACGCAGCAGCCGCAGCTGGGCGGCGCTGAGCTCGACAGCGCAGTCGGACAGCAGGCTGAGGTCGACGGCGGGCCCGCAGCGCAGCACACCGCCAGCGTACAGCGCCGGCGCCACCACGCACCCCATGTCCACGCTGCAGTACCAAGTCACCACACGTTATATGGTATACACATACATACAGCATGCAGTGTCACAACGATATACCAGTCAACTAAGATGACGTTTGTCTGATTCCAATTGGTCACTTACACCGGGGATTCCCAACCTTTTTTGGTTAGGAATCATTTTTATATTATTCTTTTTTTTTATACAACTTGATTCACGATCAAATATAAACAAATCGAATATCTGAGATTTTTCACTTAATGCTATTTGTGATATTGTATGAAGTGAAATAACAGGTGCAACGCTTGATGTTGCATTTCATATGAAATTTCACATGCATACTGTGAAATGTGCAATGCCTATTTCGAAATATAGCAACTAATGTTGTTTGGGGGAAAAGGGATTGTTAGTATTGGAGACTGAGAATCCCACTGCTAGCAATATTCCCAGCCAGGTCAATATCCTCGCGGTTCCCCCTGGAAACTATCGTGGTTAATTCCTGATGAATTCATCATGATGGGCTAACTGGCCTGTTTTCATTCTCATCTATCACCTTTCACTGTTGGTCCGCCAGCGTATCCCGTTAGCGCAGGCGGGGTTGCCATACCATTTTCAATCCATTAAAAAAAAACTAATGTTATTTATATATATGTCAAATAAACAAAAAACTTTTACGATTATTTATAACTATACTATGATTATTTAGAAAACTATGAGGTTAATTATAAATCAATAATATTATTGAAAGTGTACAAACGCGTGCAACATGGGCGTGATGACGGGAGAGACAACTGGTTGACTCCACTTGAGCGCTGGGTTCTCGCCGCCAGTGCCCTTCATTATCTCCGACTCGCTCGCCTGCAATCCACACAGTTTTGTTAGATTTTTATGTTTTAAAAGATATATTTACTCTTCTCTATCCAAAAGTTGCCTGGAAGAGATCGCTCTTAGTGACAAGGCCGCCCGTTGTTTTCTCATTGTGATTATTTCTTGTAATTGTTTATATTTATAATAAGTTTACTACTGTAATCTTATGGAGGAAACTATAAAGGGGATCTATCTGTTTAAAGGTAACAAAAAACTTATTTAAATATTTATAATATTAATGTGTATAGTACTTAATATATACATGTTTCTGGGGCCATAACCTAATCTATACAAATTACGTTATGGGCCCAGAAATGCTTTTTTTATGATATTTATAGTAGCAAACAAGTTGACAGCCCACCTGGTAAGAAGTGGTAACCGTCGCCTATACATATGAACAACAGTATGGACATCACAAAAAGTATTCTGATTTCCATATCAGTCTTCCTGAGGACTCTGATCTTACGCCTCAGTATCCTGTAACATCACTTCTATACATACATATTTCACTTTTATCATACCCCTGTTAGGGTAGGCAGAAACAACAGAACACCAAATGCTTCAAACAAACCTCTTTCGCTTCTTCCATATTTATCAATCTTTTCATACATAGTTACGGGTACTTTTAATTAAGCCCTTCTTCAGCACGTCGCTTATTTTTTTTTTAATTGATGATAATGGAATGGTAATCCCGCCCGTTCATAACACGTCGCTTACATGATTTACATACGTCCGTATAGAGCGGGGTGGATGGTAAACATTGCTAATGGATATATCCTCTCTGGTCCACTACACGGTTCTAGTCGAATTCACCACGATTGGTCTGCTCTCTAGACAAGTAGCAAGCGAATTTATCGATGGAATCGACATCGCTAGTGAGTCTGTGAAGTAAAATGAGATAGCGACGTCGGATGTCTCATTCCAACACATATATTCGCTAGCGATGTCGATTCCATTGACGAATTCGTTTGCCACTTGTCTAGGAAGACTGATCTGCTTTTATGCTCGCCTATCGTCACTCACAGGTGAACCGCCAGGGTATACCGATAGCGTAGCGGGATTACCATTCCATTGTCATCCAACAAAAGCAGACAACTTTTATACAAAGTCTCCATCTAGCAAACTATAGACTCACCTCCTGGAAGACTAGCTGACTGAACTGCGCGGATCGTATGCCGACGTTCTTGACCAGCACTTCGTACTGGCGGCCCTCGTACGCGTTGCCGAGCCAACCGCTTTCGGCGCCGGCGTTGATCGAGCGCCTAACATATAATATGGCAGATTAATAAAATTATAGTAAATGTATATGTATGTATATATATATATATATATATATATATATATATATATATATATATATATATATATATATGATATAAATACTAATGAACCTCTTTATTCGTAAAAACTAAAACCTTTATTTTAAATATTACACTGTTCTGCCATTTTCTTTCAAACTATGAATTTAGTGTAAACGAAAGAGACAATAACCGAAATGGGTTTATGAGATGTTTTTTTTATGAATGAGAGGGTAAGTGTCTGTAAGTGTTCTCTTTTCATTTAACAGTTTCCTCTTGTCGGTGCGACTAATTCATGCATCGTCCTCCAGCCAGCTCTATCCCAGGCCATATCCTTTATCTCCCTATACGACATGACGCCTAGTGTTTCCTTTATCTGTCCCATGTAGTTATTTCTCGGTCTTCCTCTTCCTCTTTTGCCCTCTATTATTCCTTCTACTATGCTCTTAAAAAAATCGTCATGTCGTATAAGATGGCCCAGCATTTTGCCTCTTCTATTCTTTATTATTTCAACCAAGTGTAAGTGTTGTGAATTATTAAAATTTATTTTCATTCATTCATTTGCTTTGTGTAACCTGCTGATGTAAAAAATTTATAATAATAGACCAAATACGTCGTGGTCGTCAATACACGTCGTGGCCACGACGGAACAAACTGCCGACGTTTGTTCCGTCGTGGCCACAAAGAATAAAGAAGCTGGTACGTAGGTACGTACTATTTACCTGTAAAAGCTTTCACATCGCGTTCATTTCAGATTGTGTATTTAAAATATGTATAATAACAAATTAACTAAAATGGACTTAATATGATGATATGGGATATGGCGTGAATTTACTGGGTACAGAGGAATAACACCTGAGTCCTCAGGAATGGCAACGCATGGGGGGTATCATGCAAGCATACTCTTTTGCTAGTTTGAATTGACACAAATTTATAATTGTAAAATCAACTTTTTTTTTAACAAAAAACAACAGTTGAGATTTTTGCGTGTTCTTCTCACGTGAAATTACATTCATAATGGGTGGTAGATTTATAAAAATGAACTATTTAAAAAATGCTTGTTAAGTTGTTTAAGTTTCCTTCAATAAAAAAAAATATCAATACAGAGAACGCTCTATATAAGCAACTTCTCTATAAGCAACGTTCTTTATATTTTATTTATTCTATTCAGCTTAGTTAGTAAAAGAAATAAGTAAAAATATTTTCCAGACGGTAAGTATTTTTATACTCCTTTTTCCCCTGTAAGCAACTTTTACAAATAAGATTTTTCTTTATTGAAATTAGTTCAAATGAGTTGCTTATATAGAGCGTTCACTGTATTAACAATCCGTCAATATTACGCCCTTAATAAGAGGTCATTAAACACAGCAGGTTAACTAAAGCAAACATTATTATGATTCGTGCAAAGTGAGCTTTTAAGTTCATTTAAAATGTTGATTTCAAAACAGACCTGCATATAGGATTCTCCGGATGCGGGTTCACCGTGACCTTCCCCACCTAAACAAACGTAAGGTAACAATTTATTATCGTATCTTTTAATCCTAGTTTCATCACCATCTCCAGATTCTTCTCTATTCCCAGTCATTTCCGCATTCACTCTCATTCTAGCCATGTCGTCTTTCACACAGTCCATCCATGTCTTTTTAGGTCTTCCCCTTTTGGTCCTAGTATATTTTATTCCATCATATTCAGTCTAGTGGTACAATAAGAGCTTGTAACTGTATAGAACATTCTAGTACGTACTACAAACATAAAGGTGTCGTCATTCTCACTGTTCTCGTCCTCTGTGGTGACGAGGAGCCGCAGCCCGCCGGCGGTCACGTAGCAGAATGGCCACTGCCATGTAGATACCCTGAAATACATATAAAGTGTGTCATACTCGGTGAACGGCACCAAGGTTACCTACCCATCATACTCGTGGACGGAATCAAAGTCAGTCATTCGGCATACTCAAAAACAGTGTTAAAGTTACTCCTTTATCATACCCTTGGATGGAATAGAGGTCACTCGTTCATCATACTCGGTGACCGACATCAAGGTCAGTCGTTCGTCATTTTTGGAAACTACATGAAGGTATTCTACCGTCATACTCGTGAACGACACCAAGGTTACTCACTATTTATACACGTGAACATAAGAAAATTCAAATTTGCTAAACGATCATGAGTTTTACGTTCATTACAATACTCCATCTGATATACCCAATAGCTTGTGTACTTGCAACACTAGGATTATCATCACTATCACTGCATAGGAATTTTTCAATGAAAAAAATTAATTGTATTTGTACCTATTTGTTTTAATGTAATAATGTTTTATTTATTTTATGTTAATTGACGATATATATATATATATATATATATATATATATATATATATATATATATATATATATATATATATATATATATATAAGCCGTTTTCTTAATAGATATAGTGATTCAAGAGGAAGGTATATATGTATAATACATGCGTAATATTTTAAAGAAACACTGATAATTTTAGAGGTTTCTAATGTAATGTCGTGGATAAATACATTTTTTACGCTTACATTGCAAACGCTGGCTGAACCCCACGAGATAAACAAAAATAATGTACTACAGTATTGTACACCTTAGAAAGGTCAACAAAATAATCCGCGATGGTATATGTCTATCTCTTAAGGATAATCCGCAATAACCATTTTATATCCTTTACATTTTACGGGAAAAATGGTTTATTTACGAAGGGATTTTAAGCAATACAGAATTAATTTTTATCCAATTAAGTACCTTAAATACATTGTCCATTTAATATAGATCCTTTACAGCATGTAATTTAAATGAATATTTCCGAAGATATTACAGATTTAAAATGCAGGGACATAGCGGTGCGGCGGTACTGGTCCCGCCGGCGGCGCGTACGTATATAATAGCGCGTCGAAAGCCGCACTTCGCCCTATAGCACTTTATCATGTTTATATTGTCTAATGACAAAAAAGCTGTAAACGTTATTTATAAGGACATTCTGTAATAGGTAGGTATATTTAGTATTAGCATTGCACCCGTGCGAAGCCGGGGCGGGTCGCTAGTTGTGGTATAAAAATACCTATTCATACCACGTGACGTACTCGCTGCGCCATGCATATAAAAATAGTATTAAACTAACTTCCACACAGTATAGTATAGTAATAAATAATTATATAAAAAAAAACAATTACACCTGCACGTTGCCATCCTTAAAGAAACCTTAAAAAAATCCCGTTTTAAAAAGCTCTGTACAGTAGTATATTTAGAAATATCGTTTTATATTCACCTCTGCTCCACCTGTCCCTGTAGCGGGCAAAAAGACCGCGGCGACATCTGGTGTACGAGCGAGACAATGTTCTCCAAAACGCTCGGCTGCAGCACCACCTCTAGTGGCGCTAGCGTCGCGTATATTTCCCACATGCTGTCTGTACTCTATTAGAAAAAAAAAGCAATCTTCTGAAATATTTAAATGAATAATTTGTGGGACGTCAAAATAAAGGAGATTTCAAGATAAAGTTGATTATAAGTTTAAGACGAAAATAATATTAAATTAATTAAAGAATTAAAAAATAAAAAAATAAATTATTCCTTACAGTTTTCTGCTCCAGCAATTTTGGATGTAGTTCTTCTTTCCAGCTCGGTGGCAGATTTGAAATTCTAGAAAAAAATATTTATTATTATTCTAAAAACATTATCATTTTTTGAAGCAATTTAGAATGGCAAACAAGCTGACGGCCCATCTGATATAAAGTGGTAACCGTCGCCTATAGACATGAGCAGTACCATAGACATAACAGAGTATACTGTTTCGCCCATGATACCCCCCATGCGTTGCCATTCCTGAAGACGTAGGTGTTATGCCTCTGTACCCTGTAAATTCACTGCCATATCTCACCCTTCAATCCAAAACCCAGCCATGCAAACACAACTGCTTCACGGTTAAAACACGAATGGGACAGAGGTGCCCAAGCAAACGATTTTTATACAGACTCCTTCTGGTATATTAAATAAGAAGATATAATAACATGATGCTTTTTGTTAATACTTTTGTGAAATCATTTATTCTTCTTTTCCTCCATCTAAATAGACTTTTTTCGCCATTTTGACGACTATTTCTGGCTGCGTAATGTATAAAAGGCTCATACTGGATATAAAAATTATATTTATTTATTTAAACTTCAATGCACGATTATATAAATATAAGTTAGTGTACATATGGCGGACTTGACACCTAATGGCGTTCTCTACCAGTCAACCATGAGGCAAACAGAAAAAAAGTAGGCGGTGTATTTAATACTAAAATAAGTATAAATATTGTTACTACATATTACATACATACATACATCCATATATATATATATATATATATATATATATATATATATATATACACATATATATATATATATACATATATATATATATATATATATATATATATATATATATATATATATATATAATACACAACTATAATTCCGATGATAATAAATTAGAACAGCAGAGAAATTAGGCAGAAAAATATATCCAATTATTATTATTATTTCTGCTATCTACCATGTCTCGTTTTGCTATTTCAAAAGATTTTTTTTAAGAATAGAATAGAATAGAAACATTTATTGCCATACAATTACAATACAAAATACAAATAACATATACAAAAAGTGTCCCATACTCGGCAAAAGGAACCGGCTCAGCTGATGCTGTGAGTGTCCCAGTGCAATGTGACAGCACAGTGCTTGTTTTCAGCCAGTCCCTCTCTTAACAAAACAACCAAAATGCAGGGTACCACTGTAATTTTTTTTTAATTTATAAACGCGCCAATTTGAGTATTGTCTCAATCCTTCACATAGTTTTTTATTTTTATTTTATCCCCCGTTGCTATTCTATAAACCGATGCACTTACTGCGCCTGCGTGATGGTGACGGCGAGGAAGTGATTGTCTTCCTTCGCGTTGGTGGGCTCTCGCGCTTCCAGTACACGACCGCGGAGCACGCCGGCCGCCCAGTCGTCGTTGCTCGTGCTGTTTTAAAACAATATCAACGTTGTTTGACAAATAATTTATATAAACAAGTAATTTTTTTATACACGAATAAATAAAAAAAAATTAGTCGACCTGTCTACAATTAAGTAGATCTATTCAGCCATTCATATATTACAGAAAAAAAAAATTAAATTTGACTTTATTAAATTTATGATGAAAATAACGTCTAGAAATACCATGTTATTTCAACAAAGAAGGCCATGTTTAAAAAGAAAACCGATAAATGCTCCTTTCCAGATTATTTATAAGCACAGTTCATAAGCCATACTCTACCGTGATCTCTGGGATATCGTAACTCCCTTAGGGAGTTAGGAGGTAATAAACGAAATACAAAACAAAAATAATGAGATTCCCAAATCGAATCTGAATCAGAATTCTAAGGCAGTGGTTCCTAAAGTTGAGTATATAGCAACCCACCAAAAAAAACTACCGAACTTGGTACTCACTTCTAGGCTGACTTAAAATAAAAGGAGCCTGAACTACTAGTGATTCACAGGTTGGTATCGTGTTCGCAATTTAACAATATACAAAATAATTCTAATTAAATAATTAGCTAGGCCGTGTGGTCCCGGCATAGAATAGGCCACCCCATCCTTTTCCATGGGTGTCATAAAAGCCGACTAAGGGAGAGCGAGGGATGGGCAGCAGCGTCCCTCTTAAAACATCTCCAAAGCCTAACTGCGGTTTTCAACCCGTCCGCTGTGATGGTCCCCCCCTTTGTGCACCCCTTATAATAATAACCCTCTAAACTAACCTACACATGGAAACCTACAAAGCCTAAGAAAAGCCTACGAAGGCTTTACCTAATGAAATCCCATGAAAATCTAATGAAAACCTACCCTAAAGAATGACCTAACATCCTCAATATAATCCCATACCTATATTGCCTTATACACCCCAAACATCCTATGAATCATATAAACCCTTACAATAAACACTTAATATTGAACAGATCTTATAGTAGAACACTTGATCATCTGGCCAGATAAATAAATGTGTGATCGTCTAGTAATGTAGGACCCGTTGTGTGTGTAATAACCAAAAGGTTCTTTAATTGGTATATGATAGGAGTTAAATAATAAAGATGATTGATAAATCTTTAAGGATTAAGAATAATTAATGAATTATACTCATAATTCATGTAACTAGGAAGTTATGTTAATTTAATAGTAAATTACAGAATAACTGTAATAATAAAAAAATGGGGGAGCGGTCGGGCCCCTCACACGCCCGGACCAGTGGAAGACTTTCCAACTATCTATAACTCTTCCTCCAAAAAGGTAGGGAAGGGTATTACTATTTATTAATGCACTCTGATGGTAATAAGGGAATGAGTATTCTCAGTTCCAAACCAAACATAAGTACATTTACTTCAACATTACAGTGGCTCCACCAGCCCCACGATGCTTCCAGTATAAATTGGTGTTTGCCAGAGGCAAAAAGATCGGAACTGAAATCCCAGGATCACTCCGACACGAGAGCTTACTCATGGGCGATGACCCTTTCAGTCCTATATGGCGACATAGAGATCACCCACTAACAGTACGAAACTGTTTCCCAGCGTCACCCTGTTACGAGCTTACTCAATGGGGGTTTCCCTTCGGCTCCACAAGAGATCAGACCAAGAAGCGAGATCACCCAGACACCAGAACTTACTTTGATGGGACATAACCCTTCGGCCCTATAATGTGACATTAGAGATCACCTGTGAAGACAGTCCGATAGAGATAAAGATTTGTGTGATAGGGGATACCTTCCACACCCTGGAATTGGCCAAGCCATATAATGTTGATAATTGCTATATCATAACATAGCATTGTCAATTTAATATTATTTACTTAATACCAAGAATACTCAAGGTTCAAGTTAAATCTGTTGATTAGGCCGGAGCCTAAAAACGAGTAGTCCAACCCATAGGTCGAGAGCTACTAAAAGTAATGAGTGCTATTGAATGAACTATAAGTCCAGTCAATTATATATAATATTATTGTTGATTAACCACATTGTGAATTAACCAATTATTTATTCAGAGAGATATATCTAAAGGAACTATAAGTCCTTTAAAAGACACTGATTAATCACAAGTTAACAACGTCTCGTGAAATAACCAGTTGGGTTTTCTATAAGTTTGAGGACACTAAGTCCAACAAGCTATTATTGTGTTGAGAGTAATAGAAATCTTTTGTAATATTTGTAGAGGTTTGATTAATCACATTGTGAAATAATCAGATTAAATAATTATGTAGCTTTATAGAGAGGACTATAAGTCCTAATTGGTTGTTGTCATAAGTACTGATAAATTACACATTAAAGTGCCAGGTCAATTATTATATATAGGTATATAGGAAGGACAATAAGTCCTATTTGTGTATGTTGTAGTAGTAGAGGCAATATATTGCATAATTATAATGTGAAAGATATAGATTAAATATATATTTGTATAGAAAGGACAGTAAGTCCCATACAATTATTGTAGCTGTACTATAGTTATACTATATCTACTTCCTTTTAGTGTCTTAGTAAACCTATTTACTAAGAGGATTTCTCAGATAAACAAGTGTTTTAGTGTTTAAATCATCATGATTAAATCCCTAAGAAATTAGGTCTTTAAATAATTATCATATCATTTAAGTGAAATTTCTCATATAAATAATTCCAATATTTCCCCTACAGTTATTATAAAATAACAGAAAATTATATAAATTTTCTATAGACTTAGATATAGAATCATAACGTGTATAATCTCCTTTTTTGTTTGACGTCTGTCACTTCAATGACGTATTGATGTATCGAATTGAATTTTCATTATCTATCACATCTGTCAACGTAACAAATACTAGCAAGTTTGTTTATTTGTATTTGTTTAATATAATTAAATATAAAATCATCATATATCAACCGTAATATATAACTAAATTATCAGTGATATAAATAATCAAGGTTTACACCAGTAATAATTAATAGTATCCAGTAATACTGCAGTTTTATATTCATATCAGTAGCCAAGCTTACTTTCAAATTCAAGAATGAACAGAAGATTAGAAGTTTAACATTCTTATTGCAATTGCACTTGCAATAATATATACATACAGTACTAATTATCAAGAACATTCCTCAAATACATGTGTGGTGAAGATTTCCCAATATGCTATCTATTTGATTCCTAACCTCTAATGTAAATTTATTAAAGAAGTGAATAATCAGTGTTAGTGTTTGTTTTATTAATATTTAAAGTAATTGTCCTAACTTGATATTAATAGGATAATATCTCCTTGGATACAGTCCGACATAAACATATAACTCAATAATTAAATTTATAAAATACTAATATTATATTTTACTACTTGTATATCTCCATACTATTCCCATAAAATATTCAAACATGTATATTAAATATAAATCCAGTAAATATTCACTAATATTAACCCTGTCTGAATTTGTCTAGTCAATATAACATGTATAAACAACACACATACAAACCTTATCGCTATGACAACTTTCTTCCTAAATATGAGTAAAATAATATAATAAATAATAAATAACTCACACTTGTCATTTAGTACTAATTTTATACTGTACCTCATACCTAGTTAAGAGTAACTATAGTCAGAGAATCCTTTAGTACATTTATTACCATTAGGAAATAAATCCACACCTATAATATCAATATAATTAAATATTATTAAAAGCAGTAATATACAAAGAGTTGTTATTGTCAGCTTGCTCACTACAATAAAAGCAATATTAAAGTTTATAATAAATCAAGACAAAATATCTATTTAAACAATACAGGCTTGTTTACCATAAACACCCCACAGTCACATGAATTTATCTAATAACACAATTAATAATGTATTAAAAGTATTACATTCACATAATATTACATGCAACAGTTAAGCTGTTTCTTTGGACATCTGGTGTAAAACAAATCCCCACATGTAATCATGGGTAATTAGACGTATACAAAAGAATTATTAGTTCAGTCGACCGAGCAATGGTATGAAAACATTTTACCATAAGACGTTAAGCATGCACAGATATTCCAAACCAACACTGTAATAGTGTAATAAATACAACTATTCCATCATCATCATCGTCTCAACCATCATTAATCCACGACTGAACACAGGCAATTCCCACACACTACCACAAGGAACGGCCCGAGACTCCTGCATCCACTAACTCCCTGATCAACCTATAATAACTTTGCTTGCTTGCCTGACCGTTATAAATAAATAATGTTATATTAAACAATAAGCTGTCTTTATATAGGTGTTATAATAGCTTGATAGTTAATTCCTAAAGTAATCTCCAAATCTAAACAAGTACAACAATTTTGTAATAGTGGAACCTAAGTTTACATCAGCTTCACTGAATCAAAGTGATAAAGTTCTACTAAACAAATGTCTAATAAGAGTTTTGTATATGAATAGAATAACATAGATATATATCATCATATAGATTATTCATCATCATCGTTATATTGAAGTCAAAATTTTATCAAATGTGATAACATTTAAAGATTAAACGCATTACCTAAGCTTGTATTGACTCTAGTAAATATGTATTTCAATAGTTGGTGGAAATATTAAGTATAGACATTGCCTGCGATCACAGTCAAAAATCTAACTACGCAGTAATAAATGGAACGAGCTCACCGGATTCTCCAGTCTTCCATTGATTAATTTCACACTCTTAATCGATAGTGATACACTAAGGTCTCAAACCCCTTCATCGATCCAGTCCCTCCTAGATCTATATCCCAGTTAGTTTTTTATTTCTATTGCGCAATTCCTAAAACACGACTCCCGCGCCATTTTTTTTTTCTTTTTTTTTTTTTTTTTTTTTTATTCCTTTCTATTCTTTCTCTAATAATGTCATAGATTATGTCACCGAAGGGTAGATATTTCAATAATCAGATTTAGCCTATTATTCGAACTGAACTTTTCTTCAAATTCAATTTAATTATATGTTAACGTATTTTGGTATTTTTCTATTAATTTTATTATCGAATTTATAAAACTTTAAAGGCTCTCATAAACCTTATTAAACTGTGTTGTATGCATCCTTTTTACACCTGATGATAAAAGGTAAACTATAATTTGGTTATATATAAAATATAATATATTTTTGTTTAATTTATTTAATTTTCTTGTGACATCTACTACACTTTGGAAACACATCAAAGGAGTTTCCCTTCTGTGTCAGTATTTCATATATGGTAACGTCTTCTCTGTACGCTATTGTGAACCTTGACTTTAAAGTTTGTTTATATTAAATAGCTCAGCTTTCGCAGCGGTCACCCATAGGAACCCCTGTTTCTTTTCTATGTACTTATGGTATTAAACCTATTGTACTATAGGCGAACCGTCACACCGCCAAGCGTGGCAACTACTGGCAAACCGTCCCAAAGGGGAGGCTTACGTTCAGCAGTGGACAGTTAAAGTCTGATATGATGATGATGAATCAGCTAGGGAAAGTATTTCAGTATAGATCCCCATCTCACCGTTCGTAATGCCGCACGGAGGCGGACGCGAGCTTGACCTTGAGCTGGTTGTAGTGCTGCTGCACGTCCACGGTGGAGATGACGTCGTCAACGTCGAAGGCGAGCTTCACCCGCCGCGTGGACACCACCAGCGTAGCGCGGCTCACCACCCATTGCAGCCAGAAGAATGTTTTCATGTCCACCGGCTCTGTCGGTGTACAAAGGTTTGAGAGGCTTGAGGCTCGTTACTAATGTATTATGTACAGAGTGAAACCAATGATCGAGGGATAGACAGCAGCGTCTCTCTTTGAACATCGCCAAGGCTTGAATTCGGTTGCCAATCCGCCTACCAAGCGTGGCAGCTCCTGGCAAAACCTACCCAACAGGGAGAGACCTATATACAGAATGGATAATAAACGATTTATATGATGATTACAGTTATTATATATATATATATATATATATATATATATATATATATATATATATATATATATATATATATATAACTATAATTATATCACATATTTTTCACCACATCTGTCCTTCAATCGCTTTCTGTTTTTCTGTTTTTATCTAATAGTTAGCTGGTAGAGAATATCATACGGTATTAAGTTCGCCACTTGTTGTTGTACAAAGTCTTATTGTGCAATAAAGAATAAATAAATAAATAAGCTAATTACGAGGTCTGTCCGGAAAGTTCGTATAAAAGTGTTCTGGAATGCGAGAAAGAGGAGTGGGGAGGCCAGGTAAGCGCAGGACCCCTTCCTTATGTCCCTAACAATGCTTCAGTTCTGGTCTGACCGCCGTGCGGTGCGAACTGGCTTGTCACGCCATCTGTGAAGTTACCTCTTAACGAAACCCCGTCGGCATGGAGCCCGCTTCCGTTGAAGAGCAGCGCGTCGTAATCAAGTTTCTCTCGAAACTCGGCAAGAATGGCCGTGAAATTTTTTTGCAAAGAGTGGAAGATATCCGGGGAACCACGAACAAAAAAATCAAGAAAATCCCGCTCAAATGTCAAGACAATGTTGATTGTTTTTTTCGATGTTCGGGGGATTGTCCATCAAGAATTCGTCCCTCCAGGCCAGACAGTTGATGGAAAATTCTACGTCGATGTGCTCAGACGCCTCAAAGCTCGTGTGGCACGAGTTCGTCCAGAATTGGCGCGAGAGGGGCGTTGGATTCTTCACCACGACAATGCCCCTGCCCACACCTCTCTTGTTGTCCGTGAGTTTTTGAGTAAAAATTCCATTACGGTGACCGAACACCCCCCTATTCGCCGGATTTGGCCCCGTGTGACTTCTTCTTGTTCCCAAAAACCAAATTGGTACTTCGGGGGCGGCATTTGGGGGACATAAATGAGATAAAAAAAGCTACGACGGGGCAGCTGAGAAACCTACAACCAGAGGACTTTCAAGGAGCCTTCTCACAGTGGAAACGGCGTTGGCACAAGTGCATTATGTCACAGGGGGAGTACTTTGAAGGGGATAAAATTGATTTACCTGAATAATTGTAAAATAAAATTTTTAAAAACTTTTATACGTACTTTCCGGACAAACCTCGTATAATAAAGTACCAAAAATATTTGTTTCGCTTTTGACATCTACAAGTGTGAATGTTAAAATTTTAGTCTAATTCAGAGATAATGTTGTACCTAGTTACTGTATTTTGGTTTGATTAGTTAGTTAAATAAATATTATTAATTAGTTTTTTTTTTTTTTTACAGGGGCAATGAAGCATGCGGCTCACCTGATGGTAAGTGACTACCGCCGCCCATGATCACCCACAACACCAGCGGCATTGCAGGTGTGCTGCCGGCCTTTTAAAAAGGAGTCGGCCTTTTAAAAAGGAATATGCTCTTTTCTTGAAGGTTATGATATCGTATCGGTTCGGAAATATTGCTGCTGGAAGTTGATTCCAAAGAATGGTTGTGCGTGGAAGAAAGTGCCTTGAAAAACGCACGGTGGAGGACCGCCACTCTTCCAGATGATTGGGATGAAACTTTAGTTTATGGCGGGTTGTACGGTGGTGAAAATCAGTAGCAGGTATCAATCTGAATAATTCCTCAGAACACTGCCCATGATAAATTCGGTAGAAGATGCACAGAGATGCAATATCTCTATGCACTTTTAGCTACATAGTTAACGTATTATGATTTAAAATTTATGATTAATTTAATAGGATGAACATTCTTACTTTGCTGCACGGATTGCGACTCGAATATGGATATGAGTTCAGAGCGATTCTCGCTGGGCGTATCCTCCGACTGGCTGTTCTGTTCCTCCAACTCCGATACAGATCTACTAACATTTTACGCATTATTAGCAAACAGTCACTATTTTAATATAATTACTTATAAAAATAATTAAATATATATAATTACCGAGGAATAACTATATGGGACAGTTAAAAGAAACACTAGGTGTCATGTCGTATAGGGAAGTCAAGGATATGGCCTGGGATCGAACTAGCTGGAAGAAGATGCATTAATTAGCACCGACAAGAGGAAACTGCTAAATGAAAAAAGATATAATTCCTGATATTTTTTTATACAACTTAGAATGGCAAACAAACTGACGGTCCACCTGATGGAAAGTGGTAACCGTCGTCTATAGACATGAGCAGTACCATAGACATAACAGAGTATACTGTTTCGCACATGATACCCTCCGTGCGTTACCATTTCTGAGGACTCAGGTGTTATTCCTCTGTACCCTATAAATTCACGTCATATCCCACCCTTCAAACCGAAACACAGCCATGCAAACACAACTGCTTCACGGTAGAAACACGAATAGGACAGAGGTACCCAAGCAAACGACTTTTGTACAAAGTCTCCCTCTGGTATACCGATAGCACAGGCGGAGTTACCATTCCATTATTACCCATTAAAAAAATACAACCTTATAATGGTACGATGGGAGCCCCCCGCAGCGGTATGCACTTGTCGGGTCGCGGTCGGCGCGCGCTGTACTAAAGTCAATATGTGCTTGAAGCAGTGCAGAGCCGCTCCCACCACTTGCATCTGTTAAATGCACATGCACTATTAATAGTTCCGTTATCTTCTTCATATATAATGATTACCATTCCATTATCACCCCATTAAAAAAAACCACCGCAGTACAGCCCGTCTTCTATGCTGGTTTTGGGTGGCTTCGATGGGCAGATATATAGCACGGAATAGCTTTTTTTATTTAATTTGTCTAACACAAAACTGTATAGATAGATAGATAGATACTCTTTATTGTTTCCTCCAAAAGATTACAATAGTAAACTTATTATAAATATAAACAATTACAAGAAATAATCACAATGAGAAAACAATGGGCGAACTTATCGCTAAAAGCGATTTCTTCCAGGCAACCTTTGGATGGAGAGGAGTAATTATAAACAGTTTGATCGGAGGTACGATGAAATTCAATTATTTATGTATAATATGTTTGTATAAAGAATTTTTTATATCGATTGAGTGGTTTTTAAGATTATCCATTACAAACAGGCAATCAAAATTTTCCTTTTTTTTATACCACTAACGTGGCAATCAAGCATACGTCCCACCTGATGGTAAGCGGTTACCGTAGCCTGTGAACACTTGCAATACCAGAGGCATTAAGTGTTACGTTCCTGAAGAAACCTCTTTACCTTTCGAAGAACCCCATGCTGTAGTCTCTTGAGAAAACCTCGGCAGGGAGCTCATTCTATAAACATATTTCCTCTTTTAATATTAGCATAGATATAGACGAATGACTCGGTGTCATACCTGATCGTAGTCCAACCGGACAATGATTGGCGGCGTGTCAGCATGCACGTGTACCCCGAGCGACACCACCGGGCCCGCGACCGCCGCCGGCGCCGGCTGCTGCTTCGGCTCCGGCTACAATTTGACAAATAAGTAATCAGGATCATCAATGAAATGTAATAACAATACAACTACTACATAGATACCTAAATTAAAATTAATATTGTATAACTAAATTCAAGTTTAACTTTCAAATTGTTTATACACAATGTACTATACATTACTGCAGCGGCCAGCAATTGAGGCATTGATGGACGAACGTGCAAAAGTGGGCCGAGGCGTAGCCGAGGCACACAAACGTGAGTCCATCAATGCCTAGCCGGGCCAAGGCTTGTATAGTATTTTTCTCAAACAATGCGCGGAAATCAAAAATATAATATTACTTTTTAAGTTCAATAACGAATAGTGAACAATAATTTTTCACGCGCCATAATGTTCCTTTGTTTTTTTTTTTTCAATAAACAGCTTTCTATTTGCAAGCCAGTTCGAAATTTAAATAAAAAAAATTATTAGTTACCTCCTTGGTTCATGTTTCGAAGTAAAAAGTCATTATATTTTTAAATTACAGGACAGATATGAGTTTACATAGTAATTTATCTGGCCGCAAAACACGACAGATATGGATTTTCATACAACTTTTGCCGGCTGCTGTACGCATGTATCTGGCCAGTACGGCAATTTTGATTTATCTCGAAGAAGATTGTCAAAATAATGCTCACATTTCCAAGTATGTTTGAGAACATAATATTACAGTATACATACAAATAATTTCACACACCCTCCCACATACATACATTCAAATTACACTCTACACACAGGGAGCATATTTTTTCACAATTTTCATTAATACTAATTTTATTATTATCATCCCAGCCATAGTCCATCCACTGCTGAACACACGCCTGCCCCATAGACTGCCATAAAGAACGGTCCTGAGCCACTTGCATTCACTGACTCCCTGGTCCTACACTGCGTTTGCATATGGGGTCGCCACTCAAGAACCTTTCTTCTCCCAGCGATTGTCGGTTCTTCGAGTTATGTGATCAGCCCATTGCCCTTCCAACTTGCTTATCATTCGGGCTATGTCGCCATTATCATCATATCCACCATGTAACTGTCCACTGCTGAACAAACCTTCCCCATAAAGGAGGTTTTGTCAATAGTTACCACACTCGGAAGATTAGTAACCGCAATTAGCCTGCTGCCCATTCCTCGACCATAAAGTTTCCTTAGTTTCGCCTCTTACGACAACTACGGGAAAAGAAGGGGTGGCCATACCGGGACCACAAGCCAACAACAGTTATCGGCAGTTTTATAGACAAATATAAAGCGCCATCATTTAAAAATTCCAAAATAAATACAAAACTTACGTCTGGACTTGATTTTCTGCGTCTGAAAATAAAACAATATCAGTCATTAGTTATTTTGTTAGTAAATTATATAAAACGTTTTTATAAATAATACATACTTGGAAGGACCACGCACGAACTCTTTGAGTGTCGACGGCTTGAAGTCGATGCCGCCTTTAAAATATTTCATTCTCTGTACAAAAAAAAAAGAACAATAAGAAAAATAAGAAACGCGACACACATCCGTGCTGATCGTGCCTATTCGTGCTTAAAACTATGCAGCCAACTCGCCTCTTACACGAATTCCTCGAGTATATAATAATGAATTTTGTGACGTGAATTTATTCTTTATTTATTTATTTTTTATTTATTCTTTATTGCACAATAAAATTTTGTACAAATGGCGAGCTTAATGCCATATGGCATTCTCTACCAGCAAACCATTGGGTGAGAACAGAAAGCGTATAAAGGGCAGATGTGGTGAAAAATATGTGACAATTATAGTAACACATTAAGGCAATACACAATATAAATATAATATACACATATAATACATAAACATTACTTTTAATACATATGGATAAACTAATACATATGATATATATATATATATATATATATATATATATATATATATATATATATATATATACATATACATAAATTAAAACAACGATAAGCATTATGAGATTTAATAACTATTGAGTAATCTGTAACTACAGCTGGTTCTTTCAATCTAAATTGACATTTAAGAAGCTTGTTGTAAGAACTTCGAAACTCACATTTCCAAACAATTTTGAGAAAATAAATAGCAGTACTGAATATACTGTAACATACATGCAATGATAAATATTTGTACTCGAGTGTCTTGTGATTGCACGTCTGCATTGTACTTTTCCTTTTTGACGCAAACCAATTTTGTACTTTTATAATAATAAGAAATCTGTTATTAGCCTTAATATTTTAGATACTAGTATGTAAATCTTAACTGTAACGCCGTTGGTTTCTAATAAATAAATAAATAAAAAGATTGTCTGGGAGAGAATACTATATAAGCATTAAGTCCGCCTTTTGTACCAAACATTTTTTGTATTGAGGTCAATAAAGAGTCAATTAATAAATACAAATGTAATAAAAATAACCTTGAATGTACACATACAAGTGTACTTGATATTCTAGCGTTTATTTGAGCAAATCTTCTAAAGTTCTCAGTGTGTTTGCATGGCTGTTTCGGTTTGAAGGGTGGGATATGGCGTGAATTTACAGGGTACAGAGGAATAACACCTGAGTGCTCAGGAATGACAACGCTTGGGGGGTGTCAAGGGCGAAACAGTATACTCTGTTATGTCCACGGTACTGCTCATGTCTATAGGCGACGGTTACCACTTTCCATCAGGTGGGCTGTCACCTTGTTTGACATTTTAAGTTGTATAAAAAAAATCTACGTTATGAAATCACAGGTTTATTTCCGTGTTGCCAGCATTAAATCACTCGAAAGCCCTAATTAAGGGGTACACGGGGGAAGGGTTCTTGTTTTGTAGTTGGTTGAAAATAACACAAAATTACCTCCTCCTCTGCGGTAGCCTCGGCGTGTTTCTTCTGCTCCTTCCTGGTCATAGTTTTGATGTGCAGCGACTTGGTGACTACGGACAACGTGACGGTGGTGGTGACCAGCTCGAGCACCGTCCGCGGAGTCACCGCCGCCATCTTGATCTGCGAGCGGAGGCCGCCGGCCTGGTCGCGGGCAAGCGGCTCGGGGACCGGCCGGGCGGTCAGCGTGTAACACGACATGTCCGCTAGCCGCATCTTCCACGGGAACGACTCATCGTCGTCCGCTACAAAACAAAGATACGTGATTAAGTTTTAAAATCGGTTGAAAACTCATGCGAAGCCAGTCGAGTCGCTAGTATAGACATGTGCAGTGGCATAGCTAGGTAACCAAAGGCCCTGGGGCAAAAAGTAAACCATCCTAAGAATACAGGGGAGTTCCCCGCAAATTCTAAACAAAGATGTTCAAGACTTGTTGGGAATTCCCCCGTATTTTTTTCAAATAAGTTGCCATTATTAAAGTCGCGTTCCTGGAATCTGGTTTATTTATATTCCGCATGTGGAAGAAATTTTCACTAGTTCAATTTATAGTTTGTAAGTCAGAGTCCGAAGCGCTCTTGAGCTTGGGGACGGGCCACTAGCCCATCTAGCCCTTCGATAGCTACTCCATTGGATATTACCAAAGGGGGACTTACAAAAGTGTTTTGCTTGGCTACCTCTGTCCCATTCATGTTTCTACTGTGAAGCAGTTGTTTGAATGGCTATGTTTCGGTTCGAAGGATAGGATATGGCAGTGAATTTACAGGGTACAGAAAAATAACATCTTAGTCCTCAAGAATGATACATTATATAAAGGATATCATGGGCGAAACAGTATACTCTGTTATGTCCATGGTACTGTTCAGGTCTATATGCGATTGTTACCACTTTTCATCAGGTGGGCCGTCAGCTTGTTTGTCATTCTAAGTTGCATAAAAAAATATTTATAAATAAAAATATAATATTCTTACGATTATAATCCGGTTTTCTCATGACGAACGTGGGGCCATCGTGTTTTATGTCCTGCCACAGATGTTTTGTCATCGAGCTCGAGTGCATAGAGAGGCGACCGAGACTGGTAACAGTAAAATAATCTCATACTAAAGTCGCATTAAAAGCAATGCCCATTGCTGAACATAAACCTCCCCCTAGCGTGGTTTTGTAGTTGCCACACTTGGCAAGTTAGCAACCGCAGTTAGGCTTTGGTAATCATTTAACACAGACATTACTACCCATCGTTCGGGTGTTAAGTTCCCTTAATAGTCTCTTACGACATCCATAATAAATGAAGCAGTGGCACATTCTACGGTGGGACCATACGGCGAGGCTGACACACGGAGAGCCAGAATAACTGATTTTGTATTTGACATGTAATTTTGTGAAGTTGTGAAATCTCTTTTAGAGATAAATTTATTGCTTACATTGTTTCTAATTATTTTTATCACCGTCATCATTTCAACCATCATCCGTCCACTGCTGGACGTAAGCCTCCCCCATATACTGCCATAAGAAACGCCACTTGTATCCATTAACTCCCTCCACCCGTCGTCACTCCACCTAAAGGGGTTTATCCTACAATGCGTTTGCCCATACGAATCACTACTCATAAACCTTTTTTCCCCATCGGTTGTCAGTTCTTCGAGCATTCTATTGGGCGAAATGGTATGGTGCGAATCGCCTGATTTAAACAAAGATGTTCATTTTAAACTATTGCCCTATGTTTTTATATCAATTTAATAACTACCAGTTAAATTACGTGAATTTTAATCAAGAAGGAGACTTTGTACAAAAGTAGATTGCTTGGGTACTTCTGTCCCATTCGTGTTTCAACCGCGAAGCAGTTGTGTTTGCATGGCTGTGTTTCAGTTTGAAAGGTTGGATATGGCGTGAATTTATTGGGTACAGAGGAATAACATCTGAGTCCCCAGGAATGGCAACGCATGGGGGGTATCATCGGCGTAACAGTATACTCTGTTATATCCATGGTACTGCTCATGTTTATAGGTGACAGTTACCACTTTCCATCAGGTGGACCGTCAGTTTGTTTGCCATTCTAAGTTGTATAAAAAAAAAAGAAAAACAATAAAATTGTCCTATATTTTTTGCAAACAGGAACAAATATCCTACTATTTTTAATTATTGTTAAGCGTGTTGAGTCTCCCATCCGAGAAATAGGTATTGGCGAGCCGCACGCATGCTAAAGGTAAATGAGTTAAGGGGCCGCCTGAAAATCAGCGCTATATAGGTACATCTCGCTGAAGCTGTACATATATAGCAACAGCTGAGGTGGCTCCAGCAACCAGCAACATTAATTGTTTTTTTTTTATTGTTTTAATTTTTTATTTTCTTAATACTGGAAATAAAGGAATGTTGCGTTGGTTTGGTCATTTGGAGAGGATGGATGAAAGAAGAATTACAAAAGAGATTTATCGAGCAAAAATGAATGGAGATGTCGGTAGGGGCCGCCCTAGACGGATGTGTGTCGACCAAATAGGCGACGTGCTGAAAAAGGGCCAAATTAAAAGTACCCGTAACCTGCCGAGCGTGTATGAAAAGATTGATGAATGTGGAAGAAGCGAAAGATGTTTGTTTGAATCGAAGCATTTGGCGTTCCATTGTTTCTGCCTACCCTAATGGGAGACAGGCGTGACAGATATATATGTATGTATGGAAATAAAGGTTATTTATCTATCTATCTATTTTTTTTTTGCTCATCAGCTAAATAACAAATTTTAACGTAGTAGTTGGCACTTCAAGGACGTATTCGTATATCATGTGTAATACCTGAAGGCAATGACGTGCTTGTGGTCGGCGGCGTGCCTCTCCATCGCGTCGCGTACGGTGGCGCAGTCCAGCGCGGACGCGGTACGCGGCGTCACGTACACCAACACCAGCCCCAGCTCCACGCTCACCAGCATGTGCTTCAGGCGGCTGTGCGCGCGCAGCAACCATTCACCACTCCACAGAGGCTCGGGCGGCTTCGTCTGGACGTATAATTTATTATAACTACCCATTGCTGGGCTCAAGACAATTATATATTATGAAGAAAGAGGGAGCTGTTAGTAATGAAGCAATTCTTTATAAGGAGGAATGAATGATAACCCCGTCTGCCTTTTTTTTATACGACTTAGAATGACAAATAAGCTGACGGCCCACCTGATGGAAAGTGATAACCGTCGCCTATAGACATGAGCAGTACCATGGATATAACAGAGTATACTGTTTCGCCCATGATACCCCCCATGCGTTACCATTCCTGAGGACTCAGGTGTTATTCCTCTGTATCCAGTAAATTCAAGCCATTAACCGAAACACAGCCATGCAAACACAACTGCTTCACGGTAGAAACACGAATAGGACAGAGATACCCAAGCAATCGACTTTTGTGCAAAGTCTCCCTCTGGGCTGACCCATTACTGGCCTGAAGACAATTATTCATTATGAAGAAAGAGGGGACTTTTAGTAAAGAAGCAATTTTTTATAAGGAGGAATGAATGAGGAAACCATCGTGCTGAATTCCAGGTGTATTCATCACGATGGGCTACCTGTCCTGCCTTTTCATTCTCACCTGTCAACTCTCACTGGTGCTCCGCCAGCGTATACCGTTAGCTCAGGCGTGGTTACTATTCCATTATCATCCATTAAAAAAAAAACAGTCAAGTCAGTGCAATAAAATTGTTGGTTTACTAAGAAATGTAATAATTGTTAATTTAACACCGCACGTACTAGGCCAATGTATCGCCCCACCAATTATGTTTTAATTTCCTATATTTGTATTTAAATATTCTGTAAAACAACATATAATTCAATAAAAAAAAAAATTACGTACTGCCTGCGGCGGCGGCTTGGACTCCTTCTTTTCGCTGGGCTCGCTGCTCGAGCCCAGGCTCCGCGGCCTCACGTGCACCAGCTCAGCACCAGAACCCGTCCTGCTTGCACCGCGACCGCTTGACGACTGCAAGCAGTTACAATATTATAAACTTTCTTTATAAATATGAAAGTATGTTTGTTACCATGTAAACTTAACGTAACTTAAGGTTAGATTAGTTAACATTAGGTGGAGGAAGGGATTGTTAGGAATGTTGATTACCAGCAATATACCCTGTTGGGTAGGCCTCCATGTGATCCCCCCTGAAGACCATTGTACTGAATGAAAGTCAAACCTTGAATGTAAACACTGAACTAAAGTGATGCAATCAAACTACGTTTCAAATCACACCATGACTAAGCAAATGGGCAGAGCCAATGAAATAGCTTCTGCCAATCGCGTGATCCGCACAAAGAAACGCATGACCGACTAGCTTCAATCTACGGCTTTGCTCGCTTTAATTACCCTAAAATTATCCTATTGGTTAATCTAAAATGTGGAGCGTAAGGATTGTTAATCCCATTTTGCTAGCAATAAACCTTATCAGGTCGACCTCAACATGGTTGCCCTGGAAAACCATCATATTGAATTCCAGGTGCATTCATCACGCTGAGCTAACTGACCTGCCTTTTTATTCTCGCCTATCATCCCTCACTGGTGTCTCGCCAGTGTATACCATTAGCGCAGGCGAAGTTACCATTCCATTTTCATCCATTGAAGATCATTACATACACAAATATTTGTATTGTGTGAGGATTGAAGCCACGACTACCCTGAGGTGAGGTAGTGTAATAAACCGTTACACCATCAAGATCGTCAACTTTAACGATACCCATGAGAAAGAAGGAATAACCCGTTCCATTCCCATTCATACAGTAACCAGTAATACGGTAACCAGTACTTTATAACATATGGAGGGTAACCAGTAACATGGTAACCAATACTTTATAACATATGTAGAGTCACCAATAACACGGTAACCAATACTTTGTAACATGTGGAGGGTAACCAGTAACATGGTAACCAATACTTTATAACATATGTAGAGTCACCAATAACACGGTAACCAATACTTTGTAACATGTGGAGGGTAACCAGTAACATGGTAACCAATACTTTATAACATATGTAGAGTCACCAATAACACGGTAACCAATACTTTGTAACATGTGGAGGGTAACCAGTAACATGGTAACCAATACTTTATAACATATGTAGAGTCACCAATAACACGGTAACCAATACTGTAACATGTGGAGGGTAACCAGTAACATGGTAACCAATACTTTATAACATATGTAATCACCAATAACACGGTAACCAATACTTTGTAACATGTGGAGGGTAACCAGTAACATGGTAACCAATACTTTATAACATATGTAATCACCAATAACACGGTAATCAATACTTTGTAACATGTGGAGGGTAACCAGTAACATGGTAACCAATACTTTATAACATATGTAGAGTCACCAATAACACGATAACCAATACTTTGTAACATGTGGAGGGTAACCAGTAACATGGTAACCAATACTTTATAACATATGTAGAGTCACCAATAACACGATAACCAATACTTTGTAACATGTGGAGGGTAACCAGTAACATGGTAACCAATACTTTATAACATATGTAATCACCAATAACACGGTAATCAATACTTTGTAACATGTGGAGGGTAACTAGTAATAAGTAACATTGTAACCAGTGCTTTATAACTTAAAAAAAGGTATATAATTAATAAATATATAATAATGATAATGTGTTACTTACAGGTGGTGTGGTACGGCGTCTCAAGAAGTATTGCGTTGAAACAGGCTTCGTAGGGAGCGTAGTTGGTTGAGATTCTTCGAGCAAATAGAAAAAATATTAGGTATATAAGTGACAAAAACCGTCCAATATGATTAAATGATTTTGATTTTTTGTATAGACAATAGATATATATATATATTGTCTACACACAGCAGCATATAATAAATCGTGTGAAACATTCAGTATTTCACACGATTCAGTAACATAAACCGGAAAACAGCACAAAAACTGTAACTGGTTAGCTCAGTTACGGTTTTTGTGCAGTTTTCCGTATCACAGATCTTCTGATGATACGGAAAACTGCACAAAAAACACCTAGTCACAAACAGAAATGACGCATCAAAATCGTTACTCACCTGTGTTGGGTCTGACGATCGGTTTGTACGCGAGCCACGCCACGAGCAGCGGGTCGACCGCGACCGCCGTGGGCTCCGTCCACACGCCCACGAAGTCCAGCGAGTTGGCCACCGGCTGGGTGCACCATTGCACGGCGAAACGCAGATACGGTCTGAGCAAAACGATTACTTTTACGCATCATCTACACTACTTGGTTAGTTCCAAATTCGTGAATTTTTTTTTTTTTTTTGGTTCTACATTAGAATCTATCCATTATATTGTACAGTTAGTACTTCCGCCGCAGCAATTCACTAATAGAATCACAATTATCAAAACGGAAAAGCGTAGAAATTTTGAAAATTATTAATACATAAAAATCCATAAACTATGGTTCTACTTAATTCATAACCATATCGTAACCATAATCCATACTGACAACACACTGACAAAAAGATATATTTTTAAATTTATTGTTAAAAAAAAAACAAATAGCAATTTTACTAAATCGAATACATATATTAAAACTTTTTTTTTATACAACTTAGAATAGCAAACAAGCTGACGGCCCACCTGATGGAAAGTGGTAACCATCGCCTGTTGACATGAGCAGTACCATGGACGTAACAGAGTATACTGTTTCGTCCATTATATCCCCCATGCGTTGCCATTCCTGAGGACTCAGGTGTTATTCCTCTGTACCCTGTAAAATCACTGCCATATCCCACCCTTCAAACCGAAACACAGCCATGCAAACACAACTGCTTTAAAGTTGAAACACGAATGGGGCAGAGGTGCGCAAGCAAACGACTTACGTGGTGGTCGGTGCGTCCGGTGCGGAGAACAGCCACGCTTGCTTCAATTCTTCATCTTCTAGAATAGAAATATTGTGTAATCACTTATAAGTACATTAGGGACCTTTTTTTAAACTACTTTTTATTTTGGTCAAAGAATGTAATGTATATTTATTTATTTATTTATATTTATTCGCATGCCACGTGGTACAAATTAGATATTATAATAAGTTTATATAATATTATAATAAGCACATAAGACACGTGACACCCCGTAGGGGCACTGCGAATTACAGAGAGTACCATTCACTTTTGACGACAGTTAAATTCACATAGTATTATTTATTATTATTTATAATATTATATTATGAATTAAATGTAATAATAGTACATTACTGCAGCGGCCATCAACCGAGGCATTGATGGACGAACGTGCAAATGTGGGCAGAAGCGTAGCCGAGGCACACATACGTGAGTCCATCAATGCCTAGTTGTGGCCAAGGCTTGTATAGTACTTTTCTCAAACAATGTGCAAAAATCAAAAACACAATTTTACTTTTTTAGTTCAATGATGAATAACGAACAATAATAATTTATCACGCGCCATAATGTCCCTTTGTTATTTTTTCAATAAACAGCTTTCTATTTGCAAGCCAGTTCGAAATTTAAATAAAACCTTTTATTAGTTACCTCCTTGGTATCCATGTTCCGAAGTAAAAGGTCATTCCATTTTTAAATTACAGGACAGATATGAGTTTACATAGTAATTTATCTGGCCGCAAAACACGACAGATATGGATTTTCATACAACTTTTGCGGGCCGCTGTCCGCATGTATTTGGCCAGTACGGCAATTTTGATTTATCTCGAAGAAGATTGTCAAAATAATGCTCACATTTCCAAGCATGTTTGAGAAATACATATTAATTACTTATCATCAAAAATTTCATTTAATGTATAATATGTTTTATTTATTAGGTACTTTATTAAGTCAATTGCAATTTTTTTATGACTTTCTAAGTTTAGTAAAATAAATAACAAAGTAGTGAATGCGAATACTAACTGGTGGCGTGGTGAGCGGTGGCGCGTGCCGACTGTACGGAGAGTAGATGCGTATTGATATGCCGGGTCGTATAACCCCGGGCCGACACCTCCTCCGCAGTCAGCTCGATGGCCACGCACTCTGGAAGACATTATAAAAAGACTAGCAACCAGCCCCGGCATCGCACGGGTGCTTGCAGAAACAATGTGGTGCGGACTTATTAATAATATTACTATTCAGGATATCGGCAGTTACCTGTTCACTGCTGAACATAGGCCTTCCCCATAGGGGGGAATTAGCCAGTAGGTATACCATGCTTGATAGAGGGATTGGCAATCGCAGTTAGTTTTTTTTTAATGATTGATAATGGAATGATAACCCCGCCTACGCTATCGGTATACACTGGCGGGGCACCAGTGAGAGGAGATAGGTGAGAATGAAGAAGGTCAGTTAGCCCACCGTGATGAATCTAACAATAAATCAATCATAAAGGTTTCCAGAGGGAACCACGAGGAGGTCGACCTGGCAGGATATATTACTAGCAATAGAGCTACTAATCCTCATTACTAACAATCCCTTCTCCCTCTCCCCATCCGCAGTTAGGATTTGATGATGTTTTAAGAGGGATGCTGCTGCCTATCCCTCGATCATTAAGTTCCCTTTAATTGCCTCTTCCAACACCCACGGGGCTGGAAGGGGTGGCCCATTCTATGCCGGAACCACACAGCGAATGGTACTGTTACACCCATGATACCCCCCATGCGTTACTATTCGTGAAGACTAAAGCGTTAAGCCTGTAACTTCATTGTCATTGTATATTGTGAATGCATTTATTTTTGCAACCTTTTCCCTAAATCAGAAACAAATTTGATCATTTGTTTTCACCAAACCTTTCATTCATTGCATGGTGTTTTATAGAGCTCTTGCAACATTCTGGAATGTTAATGAATATTCTATTTTTTTTTTACATAATTTTGGTACAAACTGTCCTTACAAAAAAAATATAGTTACATTTATTTTTTATATTATATAAAAATAGATTACGAATACCGAAATAAATAGAATAGTATAAACTTATGTAGTTAATTAACAAAATTGAACTAGACTCGTATAAAGTACTAAACGCGTAAAAACTAACAGAGACATCGTATTTAACTGATACTGTCATATCGTACGTACCGGAGTCATTCAATGCATCCTTGGCAAGCGAGGTGTGCCGCAGTGCAGTGGAGGCCGCTTGCTGTACCAACGACAGCGGCACGTGGCACGCGGCCTGCAGGCGTGCTGCTGAACCGCACACCTTCGCCTCACCTGCGTTGAATAATTAAAAAAAAATTACATTATATCGTTTTTATCTAAAATACAATTTACAACGCCATCTAGTATCGACGGTAGAAAACAAACAATGTTAGAGTACTATAGTTGTTGACGGAAGGGAAGAGGGGGAGAATTAAAGAGAACAGCAATGGGATAATTTCCAATGATCACGTACATTCTTTTTCCCAGACCACACCAGACAGCTTACTATAATTTTACAACTATACCCTGTATATCCCCTATCTATCCTATTTAAGAGCTACGCTCTTGTCGGTGGAGATCTTGCCACTCACCACTATTTTCAGCGAGTCTCTTCACATCCTGATACGACACGACACTAACTTTTTCCTTGATCTGCCTGATATAACTATGCCTTAATCTCCCCCTTCCCCTCCTTCCTTCTATCTTTTCTTCTATTATAATGTTCATAAGTTCGCCATGTTTAAAGTGTCCTACTATTTTTTCTCTTTTAACCTTAACCCTGTATATATACTCACGTATTTTCAACGAGTAACTGAAATTGACGCTCTCCCGTCGCTCGAAGAACTCTCTGTTGAGCAGTATGTGCAGCAGCAGGCGTACGTCGAGGTGGGCGCACGGCCGCCGTTGGCACTCGGTCGGAGAGTTTATGCGTACAGCCAGCGACGATACTGCGGCCGAGATATGTAACCGCGCCCCTTGCCATAAAGGCCCGCTGTCGTCCGGCATCTGACAGGCCGCCGAGCACACCCTGGGGAGGACAACACGTATACAATTGTAATTTTTATAATTAACCGTAACGGTACAATGTCGACTCGATTTTATCGTCTCGATATAATGGGAGAAAAAATATATGTAATACTGAGACACCTTTAATTCTCCGCAACGATATCTTGAAATACAGCTTGATGATATCGTAGACGTGTGCGAATATTTAAAAGCGTTTACAGACAATTCTATTAAATTTTACTGTTTTAATTTATATCGTGGCGGTAAAATCGTACAATATTATACATACGCTCAATAGGAAAGTTGATCTTTAAGCTAGGGTTATGTAGCTTGGTGTTAAACAATAGGATAATGGTAAATTAATTAACTAAGCCACTTTCAAGAATTGTTTTTAAGTCTTCTTCAGGGCGAGAAAGGTGTTTACATCACACTACCTCATTTCTCATACAATATTTACAAGAACTCTTTACTTACAACACATATTCTATAGCACAGTGTAAACACAACAATGCTACGTCTTTAGCATGTCACAGCAGGGCAAAACAAAACACTAGGTCAAAACGTCGGTTGATTAGTTGTTGGAACGTTTTTTAAACTGTGTCTGTAAATTATCATAACTGTGACGATTCAACAACCCTTACCTGTGTGGATATAAGGGGCCGTTTATGAGAACGGTGGTATTGGGCAGTTCAAGGTCGAGCACGATCGGGGGCGCAGTGGACCGCTCGTGGGGCGAGTGATCCCACGGATGCACCCGCACTTGGAGCCCTGTCACTTCTATATTGACGCGACGCTGTGGCAGATTGTCGCAGAGCGCTTCACATTCTTCCACCGTTAGTGTGCGCATTGGTAAATCTGGGGAAATTATAAAAATGATAGTTGAAGACTAGACGAAACAAGATGAAAGGTAAGTGGCGAGGGAGACTTATATTAATCAATAAATCTCAGATAAATCATGTATTATCTGACGGAGGAGTCAGAAGACTTCGCAATAGGCGTATATTCATCATCATATCAGCCGTTGTCCACTGCTGGAAATAAGCCTCCCCATAAAAGGGAGTTCTGCTAGTAGTTACCACGCTTGGTACGCGGGTTGGCAACCGTAGTTATGCTTTTGATTTTTTAAGAGGGACGCCGTTGCCCATTACTCGACCTTTAAGTTCCCTTAGTCGTGCCTTACGACTCCCACGGGTAAGGAAGGGGTGGCCCATTCTATGCCGGGGCCGACACGGGGATCATCATATCTGCCATTAATTGTCCACTTCTGAACATAAGCCTTCTCCACAAGGGGAGTTTTGCCACGCTTGGCAAGCAGGTTGGCAACTGCAGTTAGGCTTTGGTGATATTTTAAGAGGGACGCTGCAGCCCATCCCACTTTCATTAAATTCTCTTAGTCGTCTCTTACGACACTTGTATATCCATGAGACAAATTATTATCATACATTTGAAAAGTATCTGCCAATCCACCCAAGCGAAACTGGGGCGGGTCATTAGTGCTTAATAAATAATAAATAATCATATAATTTCCAAGTAACATATATAATTTCCAAATTTTTTTGTTCGTGCGCAGTCGCATTGGATCTTTTTTTTATGCAACTTATGAAGAATGTTTTTTTTTAATGGGTGAAAATGGTATGGTAACCCCGCCTGCGCTAACGAGATACGCTGGCGGAGCACCAGTGAAGGGTAATAGATGAGAATGAAAACAGGGCAGTTAGTCCATCGTGATGAATTCATCAGGAATTAACCATGATAGTTTCCAGGGGGAACCGCGAGGAGGTCGACCTGGTTGGGTATATTGCTAGCAATGGGATTCTCAGTCTCCATTACTAACAATCCCTTTCACCCCTATGGAGAATGGTGACCTAATGGAGAATGGTTACCGTCGCCTATAGACATGAGCAGTACCATGTCATATAACATTAACAACAATAAACTGACCGGGCTGCGGCATCGGCGGTAGCTCTTTAAAGATGTTGTTGACGGCGGCCAGCCGGTGCACGAGGCCCATGCACACGCGCAACTCGACCAGCGCCAGCGTCACCCTCGTGTTGCACACCTCCACCCAGTCGCTATATGGCAACAGATGACATCATCAGGGTGGGGGAAAGAGACTGTTAGTAATGCAAGTCATCTAACATATCAAGTGAATCTAACCGTGCTCCCCCTAGAAACCATAGTGCTGAATTCCAGGTGTATCTATCTATCACAATTGGCTAACTGACCTACCTTTTCATTTTCACTCTCATTTATCATCCCTCACTGGTACCCCGCCAGTGTATACGGAATTGCCATTCCATTATTATCCATTAATAAAACATCATCACGACCAACCTTAGCCTACCTAGCATCCCTGGACCAACAGTACTACCATTAGGTTGATCCACTGCGCCTGCGCCCCGTCCGCGCTAACGGTATATGCTGGTGGGGCACCAGGAGAGATAATAGGTGAGAATGAAAGGCAAGTCTTTTAACCCATCAGTGATGAATTCAGCACGATGATTTCCAGAGGGAACCACGTGGAGGTCAACCTGACAGGTTATATTGTTAACTGTGACTAGTAGTCCGCATTACTAACAATCCCTTTCCCCCAGAGTATCTTAAAAAATTGTGTATGGTAAGACTTGTTCTCTGCAATCATAGGAGATTTTTATGGTGAAGCCCATTTACCTGTACTGAAACTCCAATGGCGGGTTGTCGTAAGGGTTGGTGTACGGTTGTGGCGGCGACCGCTCGTGGTTGTACTCCACGCTCAGTACGGGCGCTAGTTTACGCCAGAAGTCGTCACCTTCTTCGGCTTCTTGCATCTTAGGCTGCTCCTGCTGGTGAGACTCGTCCAGTTGCTCAGTCGTGGATCGGAATTCAGACTGCAAGACGAAATTGGTACATAATTTTTAATTAATAAAAAACTCTTTATTGTTTCCTTCAAAGAATGGTACAGATAATAAATAAAATATTTTTTTTACTTTCTATTTAACCAGACATTTACCATAATAAAGGCCATGTGACAGAACTTTTTGGTATTTGTTTAATTGCCTTAAAATTGTAGGTATGCACATTGAATTTATTAATTTAATAAGGATACATGGCGTGAATTTACTGGGTACAGAGGAATAACACCCGAGTCCTCAGGAATGGCAACGCATGGGGGATATCATGGGCGAAACAGTATACTCTGTTATGTCCATGATACTGCTCATGTCTATAGGCGACGGTTACCACTTTCCATCAGTTGGGCCGTCAGCTTGTTTGCCATTCTAAGTTGTATAAAAAAAAGACTGAAAACCGTGCGAAATGGAATAACATCATAAAAGAGGCAACAGACCCCTTTCAATAATACGTCCATCAGTAATGAAGTGGACGAAGAGAGAGAGAGGGACTAAAGATTAACAATATGTACATAAACAACAAGAATACTGAATTACATAAAAGCGTGACAAAGAGGCAACAATGGGCTTATTGCTAAACAACGATCTCTTCCAGGTAACCTTACTTCTTTATTGTACACAAAAGGTTATTTAAATAAAAAAAAACATAATAGTGCACAGATGTAAGCTTATCTCTAAAGGAGATTTCTTCCAGCAAACCTTTGATATGTGAAAAACTGACAGTTTATTAGAATTTACAGTCATACATATATACCAATCGACATAAATGTTATAGTTTGAAAATAAATAAATAAAATGTCTTTACAATTGAAAACACCGATAGGTATAAATAAATGAATATATATATATATATATATATATATATATATATATATATATATAGATACACCTTATTTTTATAACAGCTAATCTATACTTATAATAAATCTGTAGAGAGGTCAATTCTGTACATGAAATATATTTCCAAAATAACTATCAGGGGGTGATTAGTGATCGATACTGATGCCAAAAATGGAACCAGTAAAATTTTTATCTGTCTCTCTGTATGTTCGTTACAGAAACTACTCGACGGATTTTAACGAAACTTGGACAACAATTATTCTTCATACTCCTGGGCAGGTTATAGTACACTGGCGGAGCACCAGTAAAGGGTGATAGATGAGAATGAAAACAGGCCAGTTAGCCCATCATGATGAATTCATCAGTAATTAACCATGACAGTTTCCAGGGAGAACCGCGAGGAGGTCGACCTGGTTGGGTATATCGCTAGCAATGGGATTCTTAGTCTCCATTACTAACAATCCCTTTTCTCAATATGGATAAGGGTTAGCCCGTTATTTGTAACCCAGACTTGGCCACTTGCTCTGTGTTTTACTTAGCATAATTATTCAATTTCCTTCACCTGTAAATGCACCGGTGACACCCTGTAGCCCTCGTCGACTGCTTCTGCTGTCTCAATCTTGCCACTGTTCATATCCTCTTCGGGCCAGCACCACGCACCCTCCTGATCTTCGCTTTTACTTTTGCACAAATATATTATCGAGTCTTGATTGTTCTACACATACAAAATGTAAAAGTTACAGTCCGTTTGAATGGAAGTTAAGCAAAATGTAAATAAATAATTAACTTGACCATAAAAGAGTGTCTGCTTTCTTGTTATAAGACTGTTAATGTTAAAAACTGATTGTTTTCTCACTGTGATTATTTCTTGTAATTGTTTATATTTATAATAAGTTTACTATTGTAATCTTTTGGAGGAAACAATAAAGAGTATCTATCTATCTATCTATCAGCTTAAAATAGTAATAATAGTATAAATACCAATAATAGTATAAATAAAAAAAAATTTAATAGATTACATGTTTAGAGGGAGACTTTGTACAAAAGTCGATTGCTTAGGCAGCTCTGTTCCATTCGTGTTTCTACCGTGAAGCAGTTGTGTTTGCATGGCTGTGTTTCAAATCAAATGTTTCGGTTTGAAGGGTGGGATATGGCGTGAATTTACTGGGTACAGAGGAATAACACTTGAGTACTCAGGAATGGCAATGGATGGGGGGTATCATGGGCGAAACAATATACTTTGTTATGTCCATGGTACTGCTCATGTCTATAGGCGACGGTTACCACTTTCCATCAGGTGGGCCGTCAGCTTGTTTGCTATTCTAAGGTGTATAAAAAAAAAAAAATTTTGGAATTAATTCCATTTAAAATTTCTTTAATACTTTCAACTTGATTACTTTGTCATTAAACTTTATTGATAGAACATTTTAAATCCTATTTTAAATCTTAAAGTGCTTCGTTATGTGTGCATTTTGTTTCAAACTGGGAATTTAGTACAAAGACAGACATTTTAATAGTTAAAATAGGTTTAATATACGTTCAACCTTTTTATATTTTTTTACTCATAATATGGTTGTTTGTTTTAATTTTTTTTTTTATATCATAACGGTAGTAGTGGTCACTGAAACCCTAAGAACAAGGAATAAAAGTCTTTGCTGTAACCTATGTACGACCGCAACACTAGGGGTGTCGTGTACGCGTTGCTAATATATCTTTTTTGAACAATCCCATACTGTAGTCTCTAGAGAAAATCTTGGCAGGGTGCACATTCCACAGGCTGAAAGTTCGCGAGAGTAAGTTTCTTTGAAACCTCACTGGGCGTGGCCATTTAGGTGCAAGCGTGTGAGGATGAATTCCCTGTCGATGGCGAGCGGTGCCATGGTATAAGTCAACTCACAGGTGTGTCCAGGTGTCCGCAGGTACAGCGGCCGTGCGACTTCAGTGTGAGTGCGCGTGCACCGAGCCGCACACGCAGCGTTGTGGGTGCGCACACGCAGCTTTTAATCGCCGCGTGTGACGCACTCAACTCGAGCACGCCTCGCGCGCGTTTCCGCGTGCTACTGTCCACTTCCATGACCTGGAAATCGGTATTTCTTTGTTTTTTTTTTTTACTGAACCGATAGTGATTTATTTAAAATTAGATAGTAATAATAATAGTCGACTTGATATAATATAATAGTGTAATATACATAGGTATAATGGAATACAAGTGGATTTAAAAAAAATTTAATACGTTACGTAAACATACGTACGTAATATAAACGTTCGCATAGCCAGCATAGGTAAGCAACACAAGTATATAGAAAGGATTTCGTATTCGGCAAAAATCGTATCTTATGTAATATATAGCAACATATACGAACATATATCGTATTATAATTATATTCTTACGAATGAAAACAGAATAGCAACCATAACTGTAAGCATGGGTAATATGAATACCGATTCAATACCTATATATTGAGTTCTAGATATAAATGGTGAAAAAGGGTTATCAACTAATATCGATATCGACACAGTCTGATATCCATTTTCGAATATGTTAAAATTCTGTTATCCAATATTATTTTTTGGATAACATACTAGCCCTATTAGGTCGACCTCCACGTGGTTCCGCCTGGAAGTCATCGTGAACAATTCTTGTTGAATTCGTCACGATGAGCTAACTGACCTGCTTCATGCTCACCTATCATCCTTCACTGGTGCCCCGCCGGTGTATACCAATAGCACGGGTGGGGAAACCATTCCATTATCACCCATTAAAAAAAACATGTTCATTATTGGAGCAATATATAGATAGTTCTATATATTACCCACCCCTATTTAATTATGCTATTGGTGTACACTAATAGGGTACAAGTGAATGATGTTTATTTTCAAATCAGTTGACCCATTATGATGAATTCACCAGGAATTAATCACAATGGTTTCCAAAAGGGAATGTGTCATGTCACTGGATACGCTGGCGGAGCACCAGTGAAGGGTGATAGATGAGAATGAAAACAGGCCAGTTAGCCCATCATGACGAATTCATCAGGAATTAACCATGACAGTTTCCAGGGAGAACCGCGAGAAGATCGACTTGGTTGGGTATATTGCTAGCAATGGGATTCTCAGTCTCTATTACTAACAATCCCTTTCCCCCTCATCCCTGTATATTTCATTGTAGTTAATATATCACCAACCTTGAAAACAAATGAGACGTCATCCAAATAAGCGGTAAAGAATATAGGTGTGGGGGCGGCGGGCATGGGCGTCTCCTCAACACCCTCGCGGTCCATCCACGTGGGCAGCCACGACCACGCCCACTCCGACCAGCTCTCCTGCCGCGCGGGCTCCGCTGAGTTCGATGACATCACATCTACACAAACATACTATAATTAGTATGGTCAGATGCCATAAAGCAGTCTGCATGAATACTTCTGGCCCACACGTGTTCCTGCTAAGCTTCAAACAGCTAAGTTTCAATTTGTAGGAGATTACAGGGAGCTCAGGAATAGCAACACGTTTGAAGTACCAATGTTCATATTTACAGAAGATGGTTGCCACTGGAAAGTGGATCTGAATTTATATGGGATTAATGTTGCAAAAATTCACAAATTTATTATATTTTTTAATTCATTTCGTGGATATTCATAATTTCAATAACAATACATTTAAGGCATAATAGACTTCACATATTATTCCCACCAAGCCTTTTCGAGCTTATATTGTGTCAGTAAATAACCTACTTGTCTGTCTCGCTTTAACATATATTTTTCTCTTTTACATTGTCAATCTAAATATTTTTAATCTAAGGTCATGTTAAAATAGATACGTACGCAGCGGTGTGGACTGCACGACGCTGGGTTTGGGCGCTGGCGGCGGCTGCTTGGTGGCAGCGGTGCGCTCGCGCATCAGCCGCAGCAGCAGTACCAGCTGTTCGCTGGTGACGCCCCACGCGAGCCGCGTGGACCGCAGCTGCACGCTGAGGCTGCTCGCGCGCCTCGTGCTCGCAGACACCAGTCGAGTCAGTACCCTGTTCGTGTACGAGCATTCGTATCGTTGACACGCCATGACTTGATCGATTTACAACTTTAATGCATTTATCAGTTTATCGTGATATAGAAATATTTTTAAGAGAAGAAAGTTCTCAATAATTTTTTTTTTATGTTTCTATACCTTATACCACTCGGTATTACCTTATACTACACTGTCACTCCGTCATCACATTAGACAGAAATATTTATTTATTTACACTTTATTGCACCAAGTAAAAAGAGAAATAACAAATACAGTAAATATTAATGAGAAGTGATACAAAAGGCGGCCTTATCGCTAAGCAATCTCTTCCAGACAACCTTTGGGTAGAGGACATTGAGAAAAAGACAAAGAGTAGGTGGCGCACTATTATATAAATATTATCATATACAAACATATATAGATACATACATACATATATACACATACATATATAATATATACAAAATTAAATATATACATAACATACATACATACATACACATACTTAACAGCACACATACAACAGAAAAAAAAATGACGAAGGAAAACGAAGAGAGAACACAGGAAAATAGTACTAAAGTGAGAGGTAATAAGATTTAACAGAGGTTTTGAAGCTAGTAAGAGTTATTAATATAAATATTATTTCTCTATTAACTTTACTTATTGTATATCCATCACTTTCCATTTCACCATTACAGCCAATTCCCATAAATAATATAATAAATTAATTAATAACCCACCTGAGATCCAATTGACACCTGTACAACAATGGCTCCTGGTAGAAACGTATTTTGCCATCGGAGTCCGCACGGTCGAGACACAGTGTGAGGTCGTCCAGTCTCACCAGCCGCCTTATTACTGGCTCAGCTTGTTCTATATCTAGATTGAATAACAGAAAATAGTAGTTCTATGTTCAGTCTTATTACATATACAAACACAATACATATAACTACTATTAGTCGAATTTGACATTTGCCAAAAAAAACTCTCAAATTTCTTACGTGGTCATTAGGGATTAGTAATATATAGTAATATATATATATATATATATATATATATATATATATATATATATATATATATATATATATATATATATATATATTCATTTACAATATCTATACACTGATCAAACAACGATAATGTTAAAAGCCTGTTATCCAAAAAATAATATTGGAAAACAGACTTTTAACATATTCGAAAACAGCGGGTCTACCATGAAATGAAATTCCGAAATTTCGGACTCAATTTCGTGTTTTTGTTTATACCACATCAGATCAATAAATGAAATTTAATATTTCGTTTATCATACATCCTATCATAAAAGTCCAAAGGAGCAATATTTTAACATTTTTAATATTTCCAAACGGCATGTATTATGTAATTGTAACATCAAATTTGTGTTTCGTTTGGCTCCGAAATTTCGGAAAACAGTTCATGGTAGGCCCTCAGATATCTGCCGATTTGGGCGATAGCGAAATGGGTCATGACCTTTTTTCGCTATCAATATATAGAGGAACCCAATATATAAATTTTTTTTTGATGGGTGAAAGTAGTATGGTAACCCCGCCTGCGCTAACGGAATACGCTGGCGGTGCACCCGTAAAGGGTGATTGATGAGAATGAAAACAGGCCAGTTAGCCCATCACGATGAATTCCTTAGTTTCCAGGGGGAACCGCGAGGAGGTCGACCTGGTTGGATATATTGCTAGCAATGGGATTCTCAGTCTCCATTACTAACAATCCCTTTCCCCCAATATATAGATATTGGATAGATGTTCATACTATCTTTGCCTCCATATTATTCATGTCTAATGATCATCACATATAACATGCACATTACAGAATCTACTGTGACTCCCATGGTACCATTCGTCATGCATTGCTATTGATAAAAATTATGGTGTTTTTGCTATCATACCTTGTAACTTCACTCCCATATTCAACCTTAAAACTAAAACACAGTCATGCAATTGTTACACACACACATGTGAGTGCATAAGACTCGATATAGCATATTTGGTAGCTTTGACTTATTTTACCATATAAAAATATACCTGCAAAAGCGGGTTCCCAGTTGGCGCCAGCGCTGTCAACGGCCAAATGCTTCACGTTGAGCGATAGCACGATGTCGTCCTGCACGTACTTGACGATGAGGTGATGGACGCGGAGTGCTATGTTGCTGACGATTCGCCGCACCAGCGCCTGCATGTACCCGGGCGGCGCTTCCACCACTTGCGTCTTGCGACTGGTGGTAGTGAGTAAATAAATAGATAGATAGGTATATAATTTATTGCATTATCTGTAAGTTACAGCGCACAAATGACAACAGACATACACAGTAAAAAGAGATAAAAGAATGCATATATGTACAAAAAAAAACAAAAATATAAAACAAGTAACAGTTTCCATCATTCATGCGTGTGCCATAGTAACACAAAATGGACACAACTCAGTTTATTGTTTTGCCCTCAAAAGAGCAAAACACTGATATTCTGTTGTGGCCAAGTGCCAGTTGCGAAATTCCTTACTAAAACTTTTTATTTTTAGATAAAATTCTTAACCAGTCACTGTGTAAAAGAGGTAGAGTCAAAGCAGTTGACAGTTACCATTGATGTCATGTACTTAACATTCCACAGCATTTAATTATTAAAAAAAAATAACTGTATTTGTGTCAATATATGTTCTTTTATATTTAATTTACCTGGGAATCTCCGGCGGTGGGCTCTCATCGGGAGGTGGGGGTGGATTCAAACTCAAAACACACTCTGAAACAGAGTACATTTAAACCAATATTAATTTTAAAAATACTTGTAAAATAAAATGTGATAACATGAGAATCCTTTTCATTACTTTTTTTTGTAACTATAAAGTATGAAAATACCTATGTGACAGATACACAATTAAATAAGACTACCATTTTGCACGCCATAAAACAATGTGGCTAATTATGTGATTCTATAACATTAAGATCTACTTCAACCATATTTAATAAAAAAATAATTATTATTCTATTGTATTCTTCATTGAAACTCAACATTACATTTCAATGTAATATACTTATATTTTCGACTTTTTTTTATATATTTACATTTCTCCCATACAAGTACGTGTTGAAAAAAAAACAGCTTCACTTTTAAAGAGAGTTATATACTAGTATCACATTCAACTCACCTATTGTGTCTATGGTGACCACAATGGGCTCCGACATGATCTTCGTCCACGGCACCTGTATAAGCAGCTCGTGGATGCGGCCCGAGACGAGCGTGAATGGTAAGGCGACTTCTTGCTGCAGTACGTCAGCCTTGAGCACCAAGTTGTGAAGCGCCACCCCGCCGCCCCATAGTGACACCTAGTACCAATTCATAAATATTATTATATTATCAGAAAATTTTATTTCTACACTGACCCATAAACCCATATGGTATTGGCCTTTTACACTGTTTAAGTGTTAAAGTTGAATGAATAAATAAAATAAATATAATACAAGTTGTTATTTAATGCACTCACCTGTGCATCAGCTGGTTTGAAGTCCCGTACATATTTGTCGACGTAGCTGAGTAATATTGGTGTCACATATGACTCGATTTTAAACATTTTTCATTAGGCACTGATCACAGTACCACTGTGGTGAATTCCTAAACAGCAACTGTAAATAATTACATTATTGAAATTAGTCAGAAAAAAGAGACTAACGTAGAGTCATTTATAAATGTGGAAGCGAGTTCGTGTGGTACTGCTCATGTTTATAGGCGACGATTACCACTTTCCATCAGGTGGGCCGTCAGCTTGTTTACCATTCTAAGTTGTATAAAAAAAAATTAAAATAATCAAGTTAAAAATATTTATTCATTCTCCACAATACTGTATAAACAAACTATTTACTTAAAAATATGAGATTGACACTTGTGAGAAGGAAAAAGGGATTGTTAGTAAAGAATAATAATCAGGTCAACCTCTCTGCCGTCCACCCTGAAAATACTATGCATCATACTGAATTTCAGGTGTATACATCACAGTGGGCTAACTGAGCTGCTATTTTATCCTCACCTATCATTCTTCATTGGTGCCTTACCCATGTAATCTGTTAACACAGGCAAGTTCACCATTCCATTACCAAATAGAATATTTTATTTACTGATTCAAGAAGAAAAAGATACGACTTTTACATAAACTTCTTTCCAGATAACGTAATTAATTTTTAATGGGTAAAAAAATAATTAAATAACAATAAAATACACAAGTGTTTATTACTCGAATTCTTTTTTTATCAAACAGCCAGGATCAGGTGCTTAATAAACGTAGCTGATAAGAAATATACAGATATTAAGTATAACGCTTTGATGATTATAACATATTGATAATAAATATATTTGGTACATTTGAAGGCTAGTAAATTGAAATAAAACAAATTATCTGGTGACGTACTATATATACATTTTAACATTTAAATTAGATGTTATAACGTACCCATGGTAGTATAAATAAAATTATGCAGCAATTATGAAACACGTAAATTCACATTAGAATTATTGAAATTCGAAATGAAACATGACAGACATTATAAATTAATAAATAAAATACCGGTATATGAAATAAATTGTATTATTATTCAGTAGTAGATATATGTATTATTATGGTGATTGACGGATTGACATCCTAAATAATAACAAAAAGTTGACACTGATTGACAGTTATAGTGATGTACCTGAAGAAAGAATTAGTTTGACTGTAAATAATATTTCTATGAAATAAATACCAAGTGTAAAAGTTAAATTTCTCTAATTTTATGTTTGCTACTTAATTTACATAATAATTTATTAACATTTCTTTCATAATAAGTCTATATATATTTTTTATTAAAATCTTAATTACAATGGTAATGCCATTTTTTCTACCGATTCAAATCGTTTTAATTCAAATAGAATTAGAATTTTGAGATACAATTGAAGAATCTTGTGTATACGTATACGTAAACGTAAATCTTAATGTACTGTTTAACTGTGTACAACACACGCCACAGAAATTAATCTAGTTTCAAGGGTTTGATGTGTCAATGTCACTAAATTTTATTACCAATAGTTGTTCCAAGAAAGAATAGAATCTATGAAATTAATAGAGTCGTTATTTAATTTTATAGTAGAATAGATATTAAAGTTTTTGGAAATAGAAAAATTTACTCATTTTAGTTTTTAGCGTTTATTATTAGATTATTAGTTATAAAGTAATGGAAGAGATGCAACAAAGCACTGTTTACGTCAAAATTAATTTATCAAAATTAGTAATCAAGGAAGTGTCATGTGAATTTATGATTTTTTTATCTAAGAATAAGGAATTACAGAAATCTTTGGTATTTATAGATACATGCTTTACCGATTTGAAAGAGTCTGATTCCGAAATCTGAATAAATGAGTCATTTAAGATTTATACGCCAACAACAAAGTGCTGTTTGCATCGTCGGAGTATCAATTACAACAAATGGTGACAGTATGTTAATAGTTGAAGTATATGCAAAAAAGGTATGAAAATATGTGCAAAAAACATGAAAAACTGCATTTATTGAGTGAAATGAAGTTAACGGCATTCTAGATAATGATAGGACATGAAAGAATGGAATAAGTGAGTGAGTTTCTATTTTTGGGTTCATTCTTTATGACGGGATGGAAGGTGTAAGTAACGCATCTGCAGTTTCTGCAATTCAAATTTCATATTGTGGGAGTCTATGGACGGTAGGAATCACTTGCCATCAAGTGAACCGCATAATTGTTTGCTCTATATTATAAAAAAAAAAAAAAACTCATAAACCCGGCCGCGTACATTGGGTTATTGCAACATATTTCACGATTAGGTTATCGAGTTAGAGAACCTGAAGGCGTCAATTCTTTACAATAGAACGGTGCACTGCATATGGCGGGTTCTACGCACTCGATTTAAGTACCTAACATTTATTTATTTATTTATTTAACACTTTATTGCACCAACATAACAAGATTTGTTAAACAATTTTCAATACGTATAGTGTAGTACAAAAGGCGGTCTTATTGCTAAGCAATCTCTTCCAGACAACCGGTCAACAACATTCCGGTCAAATGGCATGCGTACGTAATATCGTCAACTCATTGTGTTAAACGACCAAATATAGTACCCGGAGGAGTGCTCGCCATCTATTCTCTATGTAGAGGTGCACATATTGGGTTCTTTTTTTAATGGATGAAAATGAAATAGTAACTCCTATGCTATCGGTAGTGTCGGCTACACTGACGAATCACTAGTGAAGTATGATAGATGAGAAGGAAGACATAGAGCCAATCGTGACGAATTCTACAAGAATTAATCACCATGATTTCCAAGAAGAACTATGTGAAAGTCGACCTGAGAGCGTATATTGCTAACAATGCAATTGTCATTACTAACAATGCCTTTCCATACACATCGTCGGGTTTGCTCGTTTGATTTTGTGGTCATTCTAAGTGTTGCTAGGATAGTGACGAACAAATATTATTCAAAATATGTGATACTTTGGATTAATCAATACTACAATTCTCAAATTTGTTATTAGGTAGATCGATACTTTTAAATTAAAGTTTATCATTTTGATAAACTCTATTTTAAAAAGGTACCAGTTTTCTGGGTAAAATACACAAATATATATTGGAGATCCAAAATATAACATGAAATTTATTTATAATAAAATACATTAATTTAAATAACAATAATTTAAAATTATTTTAATCACATTAAATTTATTTAAATTTATGAAATTTGTACCCGTATATATAGAGTAATAAATTTTGGAACAAGTTTTTTTATATATCCTCGATATTTTAAATAAAAATAATTTTGAAAAAGAATCGATTTCAATGGTTGTTGCTACTCCCAAATATTTTAGCCCCCAATACATTTTAAATGTTTGTGTACATCTCAAAAACAACTTATTTAATAAAAGTTATGAATACGCAAAACCGTTCTGAATATTATTTTACTATTTTGCGGCCAGAATTTGATTTAAATATTTCTATTTTACAAAATTGTGATCTATTGTAAAATATTACTATTTTACAAAAAAAAAAATTATTATAGCATTCAATTCTCTGTCTTTTCTTATATTAAATATATTTCGTGTTATAATTCAAAAGCATATTTTTAATTGAGTTATCAGTAAAATTCTATTTTCGTTGTTGTTTTATTTTTTATACAAATTCTAAGTGGAGTGGATAATTTTATCTCGATTTAACTCACTATATAATCATTAAAAATAATACTTTTGGTAGTACAACTCTATTTCTATATTTCTTAATCTGTGCAACACAGAAATATGCAAATTAGAGTTTAAGATACTGTCAGTTGAGTTATTTGACATGTTGACAAATCAAATGTCGAGTCGAGTTCCGACTGGAGTGATATGAGAGGTCGGTGGGTCACTAAAAATGTATTTTCACAGTATATTTTAGTTGCTCGTCATGGTTTTTGCTCTTTGTCTTTACGAATTATAAATTATGGCTTTTTATAGATACGTGTAAGTTGAACGCTCAATTTAATTACCCTATAATTTGTTGTAAGGTTACTCTGAAGTTTTGTTGTCATTTGGTTATTCATTTTATTTGGGTACTTACTTACCCTTTCTTTCGATTTTTTTCGGGTATTGATGGATTAAATATTGTTATATAATAAGGAACAACGATATTTGTATTGCATTCTTGTTTAGACCGTCAAGAGAGTGATTACACCACTAATTTTATTTATATTCTGTTATTACTTACAAATTAAATGTAAATCTTTGTTTACCAAGTACGTATAGTAACTGTTATTAATTATTGTATAAGAAAATGTTAATTATAATTTTAATACTAAATAATTTTTTCTCTTTCAGGTTACAAAGTTAATAATAATAAAAACAGAGCAAATTCCATGTCAAACAAATTTTTATAACGGAAATTATGCAAGAATAAGCAAATTAATTATGCTTGTATATAGTGGCTGTGGTTGCTAAGCTAGTCATAATTCCCTTAGCTAACATATATTTCTAAAGCTATGCTGAAACTGACTGACAGTTTTTACAGATACTTGAAAATCACATGTGAAACCGTAAGTTGTAGGACACATGTGAGAAAGATCACATATCTGAGTGTTACCAGGAAGAAATGCAGTGTGGAGGGTGGCATATGTACATTGTTCTCAAGCTCCTGCACTCCAGCTCAGTTACGGTTGTACTCAAACAAGAAGAAGTTAAATTTACAAATACCATTTTCAAGTTCAAATGAATCTGAAATACTCGAGCAAATGAGTGAGTTACAACCCAATCAGAAGCATGTTAGCCAAGGGGGGCGATTTCTTGTGTAAGTACAAAAAGAATATTCTTGTCAACTGTAATACCTGATAAGATATTATTTTGCTTCATCACAAGTCATCATCATCACATCGGCCATTATTATTCACTTCTTAGTGTAGGTCTCCCCCATAAAGTTTTGCATATTAGTTGCTATGCTTAGCAGGCGGGTTGGCAACCACAGTTAGTCTATGATGATGCTTTAATCCTTGTAGGTCCCAGCATAGAATAGGTCACCCCTTCCTTTTTCATAGGTGCCATAAGAGGCGACTAAGGGAACTTATGGCCAAAGTATAGGCAGCAGCGTTTCAAATGTTCACATACAAAGGCCTAACTGCGGTCACCAACCTCCCTGCCAAGTGTGACAACTACTGACAAAACTCGCCAATGGTAAACACCATAAGAAAACAGCTACCTGGTTTCTTTTAATGGGTGATAATGAAATGGTAATCTGTTATTGCGTTATCAGTATAGGCACCAAACATGGTGACAATGAAAGCAAGTCAGTTAGCCCACCATGACGAATTCTACTAGAATTAACCTCAACGGTTTCCAGGGGTAACTATATGGAGGTCGACCTGATAGAGTATATTGCTAGTAATGGGGCTGTTAGATCCCATTACTAACAATTGCTTTTCTCCCAATGGCCCCTGATTCCTGGTGGCTCTGCTATTCCATGCATTGCAAAGAGTCAGTTGATGTGGATGGCTCAGGATTGTTTCCTATGTTAGTCTATGGGGGAGGATAGGAATTCTTAGTAATGAGACTAACTAGCCTCCTTACAAGCAATATACCTTGTCAGATTGAACTCCTTGTGGTTCCCTCTAAAAACTATCATTATCGATTTATTGTTAAAGTCCTTATAGTGAGCTAATGGACGTGCTTCATCCTTGCTTATCATTTCTCACTGGTGCCCTGCCAGTGTATATGGATTACCAGAAGAAGACTTTGTACAAAAGTTGTTTACTTGGGCACCTCTGTCTCATTTGAGTTTCTTCCATGAAGCAGTCGTTTGCATGGCTGTGTTTCGATTTGAAGGGTGGGATATGGCTGTGAATTTACAGTGTACAGAAGAATAACACCTGAGTCTTCAGGAATGGCAACACATGAGGGTATCATGCGTGAAACAGTATACTCTGTTATGTCCATGGTACTGCTCATGTCTATAGGCGACGGTTACCACTTTCCATCAGGTGGGCTGTCAGCTTCTTTGCTATTCTAAGTTGTATAAAAAAATATTGATAGCGCAGACAGGGATACCATTCTATTTTCACCCATTAACAAATTATGAAGGAGGCCTATGTCCAGCAGTGGACGTATAGTGGCTGAAATGATGATGAGGATGTTTTAAGCTGCTTAATGCTGCTGTCTATCCCTTTAAGTAGGGGAAGGGATTGTTAGTAATATGAACCACTAGTCCCATTGCTACTAATATACTCAGGTCAACCTCCATGTGAGGGGGGAAAGGGTTTATTACTAATGGATTCTAACAGCCTTATTGCTAGCAATAGATCCTATCAGGTCGACCTCCACGCGGTTCCACTTGGAAACCATCGTGGTTAATTCTTGTTGAATTATTCACAATGGGCCAACTGACTTGCCTTTATCCTGAACTATCATTTATCACTGGTGCCCCGCCAGCGTCGATATCGGTAGCGTAGGCGTGGTAACCATTCCATTTTCACACATTAAAAAAACCTCCAACCCATTGATACCATTGTGCTGAATTCCATGTGAATTTATCGCAATCGGCTAATCTGCCTTTTTATTCTCACTTATCCTCTATCCTTTCGTTTCGCTAGCATACTCGTATACTACTAGTTGGCGGGGTTACCATTCCATTATCGTCTAGTAACTATCCCTCATACCATATAAATAAAATATTTAGTGTCACAGGATGAATATAACATTCAATTTTTCCCACATGTTCAACTATACTGATATCTAATGGGGCATTAGATCCTTTATCTGCCCTAATTACATTGTTTGTAAATGTATACACAGCGTTACAAAATATTGATACTTATCAATAATACGTATTAATTCGTGGGCAAATATTAATTACCAGTTATCTAGGTTCAAACTGAGATATTAATAAGTTAAGCGAATATTTAATTAGTTACTAATTAAATACATAGTAACAATCTAACTGCATGCAACGTTTGTTGATCTTACACCCTTTTCACATATTTGAACAAAGTAATCGAAAGTGCAAAATGTATACACCTATGGATAAACTTGCATCATCCATCTTTTTTTTTTTATTCTTCATTAAATTATTATTTTATTTTTAACAGTTACTAACAGCTAACCTGTGGGAGACTTTGTACAAAAGTCGTTTGCTTGGACACCTCTGTCACATTCGTGTTTCAATCTTGAAGCAGTTGTTTGCATGGCTGTGTTTCGGTTTGAAGGGTGGTATATGGCAGTGAATAACACTTGAGTCTTCAGGAATAGCAACGCCTTGGAGGGGTATCATGGGCGAAGCAGTATACTCTGTTATGTCCATGGTACTGCTCATGTCTACATGTCTATAGGCGACAGTTACCACTTTCCAATAGGTGGGCCATCAGTTTGTTTGCCATTCTAAGTTGCATAAAAAAAAGTTAATTTCGAGATGCATATTAAAAAGGTATAGTGCATAGAAATTGTTTACTTATCTTGCATGAATGAAAAATTTATGTTGTTGTTTAACTCCTGACAGCAATGGTAGTGGTCAGTCTTCGAGTGTTGGAAGTCACATACTTACTAACGGTAGCAGAATTTAGCAAAATAATTGTAATAAAGTTACCAAAAATTTGTTTGTTAACTTTATTAAACACAAGTAGCATATAGGTGAATAAGAAACAATATCATAAAATTTAACGAAATCATTTGTATTTTATATTAATTCTGCTTGCATACTTTTGCTATCTTTAAATATGGGACCAGGTCATATTAATTGGTACGAATAAAATATAACTTATGTGTCAACAAAGTTTTAGACCACAAAGCTATTGAGATGCCATAAATAAAAAATAACAACAAAGTATAACAAAATTAACTTTTCTACCAATTTTAAAAAGAGCGAGTTTCATATTTCGGTTTTTTTTTTTTATTTTTGTTACCTCATAACTTTGTTAGTAACAAATATTTTTTTTTTTATTTGAAAGAATATACTTACAGATTCGTTCTACAGAAATTTTATCAAAACCAGTTTGGTAGTTTAGTTTTTATATCAAAGTTGGTTTGGTTGCCACAGTTGTAGTCAGTTTTTTTGTGGAGCACTCTTTATCTAGCTCTATGAAATGTAAATAGAAAATAAACACCATTGTTTATGTTGTAATAATGTTTATTTGTTAGTTCACCAGACAACAATAGTGTTAATGATGATTGCGAGACCAAGTTTGGGGCTAACTCCTCAAGTAATGCCAGGAAACGCATCACCGTACCACCAGACTTCCGTGTCTGGGAGCCAGTAGGGAAAAGAAGTGATAAATCTGCAGGTAATGTACATATAGTATTCATTTTATTTGCACTTTTATGTACAATAGATTAAGCCAGTTTTTACATGCCACTTTGTCTGCGAGATACAGATGTGTTCATTAAAAAAAAAAAGGTTGTCTATGTCGTTCTCTATGGTATCGAATGAATAATAAAGTTCAGTAATTGCTTATATTATTAAAGTATTAGGAAGTAACAAACAAGTAAATTATTTTTCAGATTTATTTCAGTAAGGTCCAGCTATATTCTGTCGGTTTGCCTGCTTAACCCTTCTTTTCCATTATAACATTGAATGCCCGAAAAATTCACTTTTAAATTGATCGTGTCTGGATACCTTTTTAATGTCCATTGCTGAAAAAAAAAACATAGCTGTCAAATTTATTTTTTTCACCAAGTTTCCTTTGATTTTGAACATGAATTATATCACTTTGATGTATTAAACAAATAAAAAAAAAATCATGCAAAGAAGGGTTAAATTAGAATTAAATATACTGTACCTATTCCATTATCATCATATCAATTAACTGCCCACTGCTTAACATTGGTCTGCCCCTATTGGGGAGTATTGCCTGTAGTTACCACACAAGCCTAACTACGGTTGCCCACGTAATTAGGCTTTTGATGTTTTAAGAGGGACTCTGCTGACCATTTCTCGACTATAAAGTTCCTTTAGTTGTCTCTTACAACAGCTATGGGAAAGGACCCCATTATTTCATGTTATAAATAGATAGAGAAATATTGTTTCCTCCAACAGATATTATAGTTCAGTTATATATCAAATTTAATTCAAATCTCTTCGTCAAAGTGTGATTACAAATATATATTTACAATATTACTGGTACTAAAATATAGTTTTATTTGTTTATTTTTTTCTTATTTATCTGTGTATATTAGTGACCCAAACTGATCTGTTAATCAATTATGACATTGTTTATCGCAATCACAAAGATACTGGTCAGAGGGGGTAGATAAGCTTTCAGAATGGACGTGTAGGGCGTGCATGCATATGAGTTTTTAAATTATATAAAACCATAGTATTCGATTGACTATATTATTACCCCATAACTGGTACTATAGTTATATATAAATAAACAATCTATTGCTATGTATGTAAATAGGTTTTAATTTTTATTCAATAGCATATTTTAATTTTAGGTTCTTCGTTTAAATTCAAAGTAATGTCGTACAATGTGTTAGCGCAGTATTTATTGGAATGCCATCCGTATCTATACACGGACTGTTCCCCCAGGAACTTGAAGTGGAAAGTCAGAGCGGCACGCCTTTACGATGAAATCAACAGTTTGGCGCCTGATGTAAGAATATTTCGTATGAGTTTAATATAGTGTTTCAAAATTCTAACGAAACCCTCATAGTTATATTAACTCTTTATACTCCAATGTAATACTTCTTTTACCATACCAAAAGGGATTGTAAAGATTAGAATTAGGAATTATAGTATCTTGTGATTACTCATAAAATAAAGTTTATCATATACAAAAAAATCAATTTTGTTTACAAAATACGAAAAAACCCCTAAAACTTTAAAAACGCAATTTTAGCATGGAGCCGGTGGAATAGAAAGAAAAAAAGGCTTGAAGTGGAAAGGGTTAAATGTCTATTTAAATAGAAATTAATTAAAATTTAAATAAACGAATAATTTGGTCCGACCATAAGACAGTCTGTTGATGGTCCAATAGTAATACACATAAAAAAATCGATCGATCGATCGATCGAATGTTTCCATTTGTTACAAATTTAATTTAAGAGAGTGTTTCTGTGGTAAATTTAACAATACTTGGTGACTTTTGCATTAAGCTCTATTGTTAAGTTCGATCTTCATTCTTTATAAAACTTTAAGCATGGAATTTTATATCGAATACTTTGTTAGTTATTTAATCTCAGTCTTGTTTAGATAATTTTCCATTTATTTTTTACAATTTGAATAAAACACAATCAATAATAGACATATTGTATTTGCTCTAATAGTGTATTGACAACATTTGTGTGTTCAGTAGAATGTTAATATATATAATTTTTAATGGCTGACGATGGCAATGGGAATGCTAACATGGTAAGAGATGAGGATAGCTAGGAAGCTAGTCACTTGAATCATCATAACCAATTCATCAAGAACTAATTACGATTGGATTCTAGTACGGACCATGGAGTACAGCGTTAATGAGTCAATTGATTTGTTATATTATTGTCCACAGATAATTTGCCTACAAGAAGTGCAAGCGTCGCATCTTAAGAACTTCTACAACAAATTCGAAGAGATCGGTTACACCGGTATATTTAAACAGAAAACTGGCAACAGAAAGGACGGCTGCGCCATATACTACAAGCAGAGTATGTTCGAGAAAGAGGAGCACATCAGTGTAAGTGAAACGTTCATATCAAACAGTTATACAGTGCCTATCAGTTGACAAATTTTATTTCAACACTTGTGTATTATTTAAATCTTGGTGCTATGTCGTAATTGTAGTTATATTTTTTATAACATAGAAGATTCCGCCTTATATTTATGGTATTAAAAGTCATCGGCAATGTCGATAAGTCGTTTGTCTATACCTATAGTTGCTTGCCAAGCGAACTGTTTATACATATTCATATTGGGTTAAATGTACATGAATAACAGTGATTCATGTGCCTATCAAGTTATGTTCCATTTCCTGGTTTACAGTTGCTTTATTATTATTTTTAATTTTTTTTTGTGTGTGTAAAAAAACTATTTTCTTTTTCAATAATTTAAGATTGCAGAATAACCGTTTTCAATTTGGACGGGACCAATGTGAGAGTAAATTTCAAAATTGGCGTAAAAATCACGCAATATACAATTATACACACAAAAATAATAATCGCATTGATCACATGTTCCATGTTGAAATTGGTTGAAAAAGTAAAATCATTAATTGTAAATGATTGCGTTGGTATTTATATCCTAAAATGTGTGGGGGAACCTGCTGAACCTTGGCTCTTTGTGTATTTAGGCCATTTAGCTCGTCTCGAATGTTCCCGTGCTATTACATGATTTTGTCTTTGGTATTCGGTACATCACTGCAGACTATTTAATGTGAAGTAAGTCGCTTGCCGCCATTGATCCTGTGTACGGTGTTATTGAGAAGATTATTTTTTTGCCGAAAAAGGTAAGTATTGTTAATATATTTTAAAATCTGTTATTCCTGCAAGTCTTTTAAGGGTCACTTAACTTTTATATGCAATTGATTCCGCCTGGAAACCATCGTGGTTAATACTTGTTGCATGCAATCGTCACGATGATTATCGATTCAATAGTTTAGTTTTTATTGAAGTCTGCTTTTTTTTGTGTTGTAAGACAATATTTAGTTATCATTGCAAGTTTGTTGTTTTGATAATCGAGACTCTACTGTATACAGAAAAAATGCCTAAACCAACATAAATAAATATACTTAGAATAGTTCACGTATAGGCAATTACCAAGTGTGTCGATTTTACTTTGTCATGAAATATCCAATATTCTGTATTTGTTTCTATACAGAAATATCTCTCTCTTCTTTTCATTTCATCATCGAGTTTCCTCTTGTCAGTGCAACCAATTCATGCATTTTCTTCCAGCCAGCTCTATCCCAGGCCATATCTCACGACATGACCCCTAGTTTTATCTGTCCCATTTCCCATTCCCCGGTCTTTTCCTTCTTTTACTCTTTAGTTTTCCTTCTACTATGCTCTTTAAAAATCGTCATGTCGTATAAGGTGGTCCAGCATTTTGCCTCTTCTATTCTCTATTGTTTTTATTGATGTTCTTCTCTCATTCACCCTTTTCAAGTCTTCCTCGTTCGTTACTTTTTCTGTCCACCTTATCCTTTTCATACTCCTCCATGCCCACATGTTGAATATCTCAAACATCTGTGTTTCCTTTTTCGTTATTGTCATTATTTTCATACATACATACATACATACATATCTGTCACGCCTGTCTCCCATTACGGTAGGCAGAAACAATGGAACGCCAAATGCTTCGATTCAAACAAACCTCTTATTATTATTATTTTTAATGATAATTAAATTATGATATATTCTACTAATGAGTTTACCATAGTAATTTACTACACAGGTAAAATAGATAAGTTTTGCAATACAAAAATATTTTCAATTGTAGCTAGAAGAGTATATAATCTTACTAGAAATTTGTCTTATGACGGCAGATGCATATTTCAATAGTCACTCGTCAGCAATTGCCCAAAAAAATTTAGATTTTATAAAAGTAACTGAGCAGTTTAAAGACGAATTACGTGTTATATATGTAAGAAATGAATTCTGTATTTAAAAAGTATTGGCCTCATCGTACAATGATTTTTCGGTGATTTCGGAAATTCAGTCGCGCTAATTTTGGTGTAGAAGTTGCACCGAGGTCAAGACGTCTTATGGACGTTTGCACTGAAGAGAATGTAAAGAAATTTGAAACATTGATAAGAAAAGGCTGTCGAATAACTCATAAGCAGATAGAAGAGATCCTGCAGATTCATGCACCAAGCATTCACAACATTCTTCACGATATGATTCGAATAAAAAAAATTTGTATGGTTGGTATGGTATGTAGAAAATGTTAAAAAAGTATGAAAATGGAACTTCTAACTATATTAATAAAATCATCACTGGTGATGCAACTTGGCTATATTATTTTGATGTGCCTTCTAAAATCAAAAACTAAATTGTTTACCTAAACTAAATTGTGGGCCTACTTTAATTCAAGTTCGAAAGTTTTGGTCGGTAAAGAAGAAAATAGTTGTTGTATTTTTCTCAAGACGAGGAATTTTAGATAGAGTTGTTTGGGAAAATCAGCTTACAGTTACGGCCTTTTGATATATAAAAGAGTGTTTGCTACAGGTTATCCAAAAACTCAAAGAGCTCCGTCCAAAATCAAGACTCCATAATTGATGTTTTCACCACGATAATGGTCCTGCACATTTGTCACACTAAACTGTGACTTTTTCTATGTCATCGAAGTAAAACTATTTGAACATCGTCCGTACAGTCCTGATCTAGTACTCTGACTTTGGTCTACTCCCAGTCATTAAGAATCAGAGGGCCTACGACGAAATATTTCCCGAAATTTCGTTGCCGAACGAAACAAATTTGATGTTAAAAGTACAAAACTGTTTTAAAATATTAATAATGTTAAAATATTTCCATTTGACCATTAAGGAAAGATTTAAGACGAACGAAATGTTAAGCTGCATTTACTGGGCCGATTTCAGTAAGACCCGAAATACATAATTCAGACCGAAAATCCAGAATTTCATTTCGTGGTAGACTCCCTGTTTAAAGGAAATAGGTTTGCCAGTGACACCGATCTGTTAGCTGTTTTAGGCCAGGCCTCTCCCAGAAGAAAAATTGTAGCAAATGTTTGGTTTCTAAGAATAAGCGACAAGTTGTAATAGTAATTATTTTGAAAGATTGTAATAAATAAAGCTGTATTGCAAAACTTGTCCAGTTACCTCTGTAGTGTACTAGTTTACTTTGAACTAGTATTTTCATGAAACAGTATACTTGACTAATAATTAACTAATATTTATTCCGCCCTTCCTTTCCCGCGGGAGTTGTAAAAGTCGACTAAGTGAGGGCGAGGGATGGGCAGCAGTGTCCCTAAACATCTCTAAAGCCTAACTGCGGTTGCCAATCTGCCTGCCAAGCGTAGCTACTACTGGCAAGACCCCCCAAGGGGGAGGCTTACGTTCAGCAGTGGACGGTTAAAGGCTGGTATGATGATGAAGATGATTTATCAGACCTTCATTATAATAATTATGATCATATCAGCTGTTATCTGTACACTGTTGGATATACCCCTTCTCCATCCCGCGTCAGCTGTCTTGTAAATTAAACTAGCTTTTTCCCGCGATTTCATCTGCGTAATCGTGGGATATGTTTACTGATCGAGATAAAAGGTAGACTAAATCCTTCTCTAGCCCATATAGGGCGTGTATACAAATTTCATAGTGATTGATTAAGCTGTTATGGCGTTATAAGGTAACAAACAAATAAACTCATTTTCATATTTATAATGTTAGTAAAGACTAGTTATTGTCCGCGACTTCGTCCATTCGTAAAATAAGTAGCCTATGTCCTTCCTCACGGTTCAGTGGTTTTGATGTAACAGACACATTTCCCTTCACTGCTCTGCTCCTATTGATCGTAGCGTGATGAAAAGTATACTATAACCTGCCCAGGAGTATGAAGAAAAATTGTTGTCCAAGTTTCGTTAAAATCCATCGAGTAGTTTTTTTTTTCTATAACGAACATACATACGCACTACGTAAATTTTTCAATATGTCCATTTTCATTTGTTTTTTGTCAGCATACTTATGTAGCGTAAATATATAAAAAATCTTATATCTTTTGAATTTCTATAGAAAATTAAATAGTAATTAACAGGGCACATGCGAGGTTGCGTATGCAGAATAAAATTTGGTATTATTATTCTTTTAAATACATAGACGTTTCCCCATGCGTTGACATTCCTGAGGAATGGCAATGCGTAGGGAGTATCATGGGCGAAACAGTATACTCTGTTATGTCCACGGTACTGCTCATTATTATAGGCGACGGTTACAACTTTCTATCAGGTGGGCCGTCAGCATGTTTGCCATTCTAAGTTGTGTAAAAAAAAACAATTTAATTGAATATTTTAATTATTCGTTTCTCATACATATTTCAAAACGACTTCTTCTTTCTCCCGGCTATTATCCCAGTTTATTTGGGCTCTGCTTATCTGCGTAGGTACTTCAAAATTGTGTCAATACTTAATAGCAGTTATCAATCATTATTGATCATTGATCTAGCCCTCTAGTCTAGACAATTCGCACCAGAGGCTATCTGTCTAATTTATTTACAAACATGTTCAGGACATTGTTGCAGTCAGAATTGTAATCAATTTAATGTAATTATATGATTATTTATTGACATAGATACAATGTACTTACTCTCTATTAGTATTAGTACATTACTGCAGCGGCCAGCAACTGAGGCATTGATGGACGAACGTGCAAATGTGGGCCGAGACGTAGCCGAGGCACACATACGTGAGTCCATTAATACCTGGTTGTGGCCAAGGTTTGTATTGTACTTTTCTCAAACAATCAAAAACACAATTTTACTTTTTAAGTTCAATGACAAATAACGAACAATAATAATTTTTTCACGCGCCACAATGTACCTTTTTTTTTTCAATAATCAACTTTCTATTTGCAAGCTAGTTCGAAATTTAAATAAAACCTTTTAGTAGTTACCTCCTTGGTAGCCATGTTTCTAAGTAAAAGGCCATTCCATTTTTAAATTACAGGACAGATGAGTTTACGTAATAATTTATCTGGCCGCAAAACAAGACAGATATGGATTTTCA